GTAAATTTGAATCCTGATAAATAATAATCATTTATATCATTTTTTTTTAAATTTACATACTGTTAATCTGATTACTATTCAATATCTCTTTATAATAGTATATTTAATTATTCATCTGTAAATTCTTAATCTTTTTCTTCTAAATTTTTATTAAACAATTCCCAAGTGCTTTCTTTAAAAATAGACTAAAAATCATCTTTAGTAAATTTATTAATAGGATTTATAATAATTTCTTCTAAAAGCAATTTTTTAGTTGCAATTTAAATAATTCTTTCTTCAGCTGTATATTTACTTACTAATCTAAATACTTTAACTTTATTTGTTTAACCCATTCTATGTGCTCTACTAATTGCTTAAAGATCTCTATATGGATTAAAATCACTATCAGTAAAAATAATAGTATCAGCAGAAGTTAGATTAATTCCTAATCCTCCTGCTCTTGTTGAAAGAAGGAATATTTTAGATTTACCTGTTGAATTATTAAATGAATCAATAATTCTTTATCTGTCCATTATACTTGTAGTTCCATCTAATCTTTCATAGCTATAACCTCTTAATTATAAATAATGTTGCATTAAATCAAGCATCATTGTAAATTAACTAAAAATAAGCATTTTATGTTGCATTTCCAATAATCTAGGAATGATTCTATCTACAAATTTTAATTTATTTGATTAATTAATCATTTCTTCAATATCTTCATTTGGAAATTCTCTTTTATAAGTAAAAAGATAAGGATGATTACATACTAGTCTTAAAGACATTAATATGTTTAATAAATTAGCTTTACTAGCTCCTTTTTTTTAATCTAATACTTTTAATTTCTCATAGTTTCTTAACATAACATTTTTATATAGAAACTTCTATTTATCTGTCAAACATAATTTAATTATAATTTCTTCCATTTCAGGAACTTATAATTTTACATCAGCTTTTGTTCTTCTTAAAATATGAGGTTTTAATAAAGAATTTAATTCTGTTAGTGTTGTTTTTTTAACTTCTTAAAAGTCTTCTAAATCCTAATTATTAAATAACACATTCAATTATTCTTTTTTAAGTTATTTTACTTTTTAAGGAGCTATAAATTCAATTAAATTAATTAATTCTTATAAATTATTTTATAATGGAGTTCCAGTAAGTAAAATGATATGCTAACTTGAGAATTGAGAACAAACCTTAAAGAATTTTGAATCATTATTTTTTAATCTGTGAGCTTCATCTACAATAAGACATTCCCAATTAATTTTTTTAATGATAGCTTAATCTATAATAGCAATATCATAGCTCGTGATTAATACATTAAATTTGCATACATTATTATTATTACTATAATAAAATTCTTTAGCTTTGATAATGTCTCTACTTTCTTGGTTACCTGTGTAAACTATAACATTAAAAGTTTCTGCCCATTTTTTTAATTCTTTTAACCAATTATATAAAATGGTTGCTGGTCCAATTATAAGAAATGGTCCTGATTTTTTAAATTCATATTATAAAAAGTTTAAAAAGGAAATTGTTTATATAGTTTTACCTAATCCCATTTCATCAGCAAGAATTACATTATTATTAGTTTCATATGATTTTTATAACCATTATAATCCTTAGAGTTAAAATTAATGTAATTATCCTCCAGTTATCCAAACAGGTTGATTTTTTCTAGCTTTTCCTGTAGGAACTTTTAAAAATTGTTTAATAAATTAATCATATTCTGAAGTACCATATGTTTCTTCTAATATTTTTGATTTTAAAAATCTTTTAAATTCATCTCTATACTTTTCCATAATAAAGTAAGCATCTTCCCAACTACTTTCTTCATAAAACATTCTAGACCATTTAATTAAAAATTTATAATTATTTTTAGTTCCATATTATGTTATTTTAGGCATATCTTAATTAAATATTTCCTTCCATTATTTTTTTTAATCATTTGCTCCTCTTTTACATCCTATAATTCTTTCAGGTTCCAAATATTCTAAAATATCTTCTTCAATATAATTAAGTGATGTCTATAATTCAGCATCGTTATCATTTTCTAAGGTATCTTATTTTCCTTCATTTTTCTCTATATAATTTTTTAATTTCCTTTAATTTACAGTTTAAACTTAAGCTTAACTAAAAAAATGACAATGTAAATATGATGATTATTCAAGAAGAATTAAATAACACTATTAACCTTTAAATTTCAAATGAGTTAAGATTTATCCAACACCAAAACTTTGTAAACATTTCAAACAGCAATGAAATATTAATGGAGAAGTCTTTGTTGGTCTTTCAGATAATAATAATTATTAAAAGACTTCTTCTGATATATGTTTCCTATTTACCGGTGATCTCAAAATAGCTTCAAATGGAATGTCATTTAAAATGCATTCTAAATGAATAAATGTATTGCATTTTGAACAGATTATTTTTTCATTTGTACTTTATTCCTCACAATATGGACAATATGATTATTCATATTAGCAACATTGTGGACAATACCAAGATCCTGGAGGCATCTTTTTAATTCCAATACATGCCATATGAAATGATCTATAACATGAATCACAACACAACAAAGGTCTATTTTTTTATCTACATTTCCAACAATAATCTTCATTATAATCTGATTCATATTAACTATCTGATTAATCATCCTCTTCTTCTTCTACTTCTATTGAAGACTCTTAACTTAATTTTCTTAGTTTCCTAGATTTCTATGATTTTTCACATGATTTGATTATTTGATCTATATCCTCTTCATCTTAATACTACTTTATTTCAAATTATATATTTACTTTATAACGACTTGGCTTTCTAATTCTTTTCTCTTAATTCTCACGCTAATTATTACTTCTCATTAATTTATAATAAAATTAAAACAAATTTCACTTAATCACATAAAATCATTTCAAAATTGTTACTAATTATTAAACTAGCATTCTGTCATACTATCCTCCTGCTTAATGATTCATCTAAATCCATTTATGTATAGCCATTTATTCTAATCTCAATCTTTAAGATGGATCTTTCCTTAAACAACATTTTGAGAAATCTTATAATTCATAAGAAACATATTTAGGAAAATCAACTCTTCCTTCTATTATTTTTCTCATTGTATCTTCTTTTGAAGATTAATAAAATGGTGTTGTTCCAGTTGTCAATTCATAAGCTAAGATTCCTATTGACCATAAATCTACTGAATGATCATAATCTTAACCAGATGCTATCTCAGGAGACATATAATCAATTGTTCCACAAAAAGATTATCTTGGTTTTGATTCTGGTGAATATGTTGCTAATCCAAAATCAGCTATTTTTAAAAATTACTAAATTTATTCATTTTATTTATTACTAGACTTATTAATATATTTTCTGGCTTTATATCTCTATGAATTACTTTCATTTTATGCATATATGAAATTCCTTCTACTATCTATGCAATATAATTTCCAGCTTTATTTTCACTAAATCTTCTATTAGTTTACTTCTTAAGCAATTTATATAATTCACCATCTGGTGCGTATTCTAAAATTAAAACAATCTTATTTTTATCATTTATACAATACTTTTGTTTATTCTTAGAATACACCATATAGTTTAAGAATGTTTGGATGATTTAAATAACTCTAAATTTTTATTTCATGAGCTAATTATGCTTCCATCTTATATTTGTTAATTACATTTTTTTAAATTACTTTTAAAGCCACTAACACTTTAGATGATTTTTCTCTAACTTAAATTAATATTTTACTATGCTTAAAATACATCACTAAATTTGCCCTTTCCTAAGAATTTGCCTATATGAAACCTATCTGATATATTTTAGTATTTGGGACTCAAAAGTTCTGCTGCTTTTAATTGCATTTTTAAAGTAGAATTATAAGCAATTTATGATATTGGAGATGGGCAATCTGTAGATTCTGGAGTTCGAATAGGAGATTTGGATGCACATTATCTTAGAGCAGGTTTATCTCTTTTTTCGATAGATCTACTGTTATGTTGAATAAGTAAATGGACATTAGTTTTTTGAATGATTGGATCAGGATTGATATTTTTATTATGTTCTTCTGATTAAATTATTAACTAAGTTAATGCTGATTATAATCTCATTTTAATATTCTTAATTTGTTAATCTATTTTGGTTGTTGATTATACTACTTTTTACCATTCATTTTCCTCAGATAGCATTATTGTATAATAATTTATTGAAATTATTTATATGGGAAGTGGAACATCAAATAACCAGTTAAATAATTATAGGTATCTATGATTTAGAATGGTAAGGATGCTATCTCTACTTTAAGAGCCTGAACGACTAAAAACAGATCCAAGTGATTTTAATCTAAGATGGGACGATACAACATTGTTATCACATAAAAATAAACTTAAACATTAAACTAATCTTCTTGAAATAGTTAGAAATGTTCCTTCAAAAATAGTTCTTAATTAAAACTAATAAAACTTACAAGCATTTAATGCTAAGTCACCAGGGATCAAAAAACCATTTATTGATTATGCTACCACTAATCTAATTGATGTGATAAGAAAATCTAAAAAAATAGAGGTAACAATTAAAATATTGTATGAGAAAGTGGAAATATCAATGGAAAAATATTTGAGCATAAAAGAATCCTAAATGTTAAGTTCTTAAAGACAAAAGCAACCTAGAAAATCTTTATAAGTCTAACATACTTTAGAAGTTGTCTAAACTTCACATTTAGAGAAGAGTGTTAATGAAGAAGGCATGGCATAAATCAATTAATATACTGTCTTAGAATCTTTAGGATAGGGAGCTTTTGGAAAAGTTAAAAAAGCATAAAATTTTAAAGCAGAAATCTTTGTAGATATATTAACTCGATTTCATAGGCAATTAAAATAGCAAATAAAAAAAAGTTAAAAAAGAAACTCCTTTCTAAATCAAATGCTTATACAATGCTTGAAAGAGAAATAGCTATCATGAAGAAGGTATCTATTTTATTAATTAGATTTCCCATGAAAATGTTGTTCAATTATATGAAGTTATTGACGACCCTAATAAAGATAAATTATATCTAGTAATGGAATTTATGGGCAAAGGAAGTATATTAAGCAAAAGTTTCTTTAAAAAATAGAGAGCAACATCAAATATTCTTGATGAAATTGAAGAAAAAAATTATATATCGAAATTAACAGAGGAATAATGCCGCCATTATTTTTCTGATTTTATTAAAGGATTATATTACTGTAAAATATTATTCATACTTAGTACATGAATGTGTAAATGTGATTCACAGAGATATCAAGCCAGAAAATCTTTTAGTGAATATTAATGATTAACTCAAAATAGCAGACTTTGGAGTGTCTCATATCATGGAAGATGGGGGAGATGGACGAATATCTAATTAAACAGGTACTCAAGCATACTTAGCTCCTGAAGTTTTTAAAGGTATGAATTTAATTAATTATTTAGGATAGAATTTTGATGGAAAGCCAGTTGATATTTGGGCAGGCGGTGTCACTTTGTACTAAATGGTTTATGGAAAACTTCCATTTACAAGTTAAAAATCTATGGAATTGAGATAATAAATCTTAGAAGACAAGTAAAGGGATTTATTTATTTAGTCCTTCTTTTTTATAACCCTAAGGATTTTCTAATTCAATTATTAAATTATTATAAGGTTTATTATAAAAAGCTCCTGAAAAAAGGTTAAAAATAGATTAAATTATTATGGATGATTGGGTTACAGATTTTGGAAAATAACCAATTATTAATTAATATATAGAATATATAGATGTTACAGAAATGGATATTCGATTTGCTTTAACTAGTCTCAATATTTAAATGGCTTTGAAAATAGTTGTAAAATTACTATATTAAGCTAAAAAAGCCAGAAGAAAAATTGCTGAAAGAAAAAAAATGCAAAAATGATCATAAAATATTCTTTATAGAACATCAATTTTATTATTTAGTATTTATGATTTTTTACATAATGCAGAACTTTAAAAATTATTTTTATAATAATGACATTTAGGTATTCTCAAGAACTAACCCTTAACACATACGAAAAACCTCCTCAAAATCCAGAATGGTTTCAAAAATAAGAGAATATTGATTTAATTTTGAATAAGATCAGATAACATAATTTGCTTAAAAGAATTCATTTTACAAGTAATGAATAATTGCAAGTAATTTAAATAATAATTTTAAGGAAAATGACCCTTTATTATTAAGAAGTCATAGATTAAATAAAAAATTGGAGGAATTTGATCATTTTCATGAAGAATAATTAGAAAGTTATAGAAAGATTTTACAAACTGATAAGGAGCAAATATCTAATGCAATATCCCAAAGAAGAAGAATGGGTTCATTTGTTAAACATGTGAGAAGCATTAGTACAACAATTTTGAAGCCGTAGTAAATTAATTTTTAACAGTAGACTAATTTAAGTGAATAATATTGTTAATCTATAATGTAATGAAAAGAAGTTGGATAACTAAGTTATAATGAGATAGAAAATAAAATCAATTTAGGAAAATAGAAAAACAATAGAAAATTGTTCTAAAAGACTTTAATAATTATTTAAAGAGGATTCATCAAATCAAATATCAAGAGTTCAAAGTCATTTAGAACAAAGAAATAAAAAGAAAAAAAATTCAATTGACTTTATTCGAAACCTTTATTGATTTGATTTGTATATAAAATATTTGTTTATGTATCTTTTAAAGAAAACTTTAAAGCCAAGAGATTATGATCAATTCAAAGCATAAATTACTTTACTTTTTTAAAATGAATACTTCTACTTCTATTACTAATAAGCACTAATCCTTCAAAAGAGTGAAAGAAAGACTTGTATGTGAAGCAATTGAGAAAGTTGAAAGATGGAGATAAATGTTTACTGAAGGATTATAAACAAATAATGGTGAAATAATCAAAGTTACATTGAATTAAGCAGCTGATATAGTTGGAATACCTAAAAAAACCCTTGAAGATTATACTCAACTATTTAAAAAGGTGAGATTACTTACTACAGATATTAAGCAATTTTCTAATGAAAAGATGGGATTTCTAAGAAGCTATTTAAGAAAGAATCAAAATAAACTTAAAAAGAAGCTTAAAGATCTTAGACTTAAAGAGCTTGAAGCCTAAAAAAAGACTTAAGAGAAGATTTAATAGTAAAATTAATTACTAAAACAAAAATTACATGATGAAGCTGAAACCACAGAAACTTATGTTGCTCAATAGGAATCATCAAATCAAATCATAAGTGATGAGTAAAATTATATTGATACTTAATTATAATTTTTTCAGGTAATTTAATTTTTATATTTACTTTAGGAAGAGGATTAAAATTTTCAAGATTATGAAAGCCACTAGTGTTATTTTAATAGAGTATCTAATTTCTAATAAGAGGAAGATATTGAAAATTATTTCCAATCTATCTAATGAATCAGAATAAAATATTTATTTAACACAAATTACACATCTATTATTTTTATGAAGTCATCATTTCAAAATTTCTACTAATTATAAATAAATACAATTATATATATAAATAATTAATTTTATCATGCCTAATTCATTTCGCATTAATGGAGGATACTAAATAAATACTTTAGAATAATTAAATGGCATAACTTTTTACTTATTTTAGAAAAATCAGAACAATTTAATCTATTAAAAATTTATCAAAATAGTTTTAGATGGAGATCAAAAATCTTTAATACGCAAAATAATAGAAAATTTTTAAATTCATCTTGATTCCTTAATCAATAAATTTACAAAAAATGAACCAGAATAGATTAATTTATATAAAGATTAAATAGCATAGGAATTTTATCAATATTTATCCAGTGTTGAAATATAATTAAACAAAAGTAAGAAAAATACTTTTAAATTTACATTAAAGATGAATTAAGATATTCAGTAGCAATATCTTGAATATAATGAATATCCTAAAATAGCTGTGATTATGTATGATATTTTATAGTAGATCTACTAATAGAGATATGATATATTATTCAATTCTAATCATATTATGTAATCAAAGTTAGTTGAATTCTTTAGAGAAGTATTAATAATAAAGTTTAAAGGATATAAAGTTGATTATAGAAAATAGAAACAATTAATTTTATAATAAAATGGAGATATGTATTAAAAAATTTTAATTTAGAATAATATCGAAATTTAATAATTAATAAACGTTTGCATTTTCAAAAAGTAAAACATTCCATTCATAATATCCTCGATTTTGTTAATAAAAATTATTAAAAGATTAATCCCTAAAATAAATTGTAAGTGAAGGAATGTTGGATGATAATTTCGATTCAATTGGTTATACAACAGTATTTTCAAGTGGTAATTTGATTTATAAAGGTTTTTTAAATTTTGGTTTATTAAATGGGGAAGGAATAATATAAAACATTTAAAATGAAATACTCTATTAAGGAAGCTTTATTCATAATTAAAAACATGGAGATGGAATTATCACTTTAAATTAATAAAATTATTAAGGTTGCTTTAGAAAGGATTATATGGATGGCATTTTCAGAATTTAAAATGATCTAAATTAATAAATTTTATATTTTTGTAGAGATATATAGGTTGAAAAATAAAATTTTGAAAAATCAAATAATTATACAATTTAATCAGATAAGGGTTTATAAATCATTTAAAAAAATAGTTAGAATAATGATGTCACTTTAAGTATTAGTTAGTATTTAAATTTTGAAATTTCAATTTTTTCTTATAAAGCATTATCTCCTGGATAATGGTTATTTGAAACATAAGTAGATTATTTTTTAGCTTATTTCTTAAATTATTTTGCTATGTTTTCAAAATTAGAGCAAACAATCATTTTTAATACAAATGAATCATCAGATTATATTTGTTGTGATGAAAATTAAGAGTTTCAAATAAATGAGATGTAATTTTAATTGTGAAATATTAGGTTATATTAAAAATTAGATTAAAGTAAAAAGGATAAGAAAAGGAAAGTATTTGTAATGAATAGTTAAAGATCACATTTTATGATAATGATAGAAGATAATAAAAAATTATATTGTTGTGATTCTTTGTATAAAGTAAATAAAAATCTTGAAAATGCTTTTTATAATTTACTCAAGATATAAGATAGAAATTGTTATGCTCTGAAATGTACATAATAAAAGAATGGATATGATTGTGGAATATATTCACTCTATTATGCAATTTAATTTATGAAGTATGATAATTTAAGTATGGTTGATTTGGAGATGAAACTTTGTTTAAGAAATCCCTCTTAATTTAGATGGAATTTGAAATAGTTAGTAAAACAGAATCATGATTATTTATTAACAAACATTTGAATTTTAAAATAAAAATGAGTAGGCTTTTCTTTCAAGATTTTCTTTCATCTAGAACTAGATCTATGTAAGAGAGAAAGAAGATTGTAAAAACACAACAAGAATTAGAAAGAATAAGTGAAAGAAAAATAAGTGAAACATTAAAATCTAACGAACATATTGTTGAGGAGTTAAGACTCTATAAAATGAAACTAGAGAAATAAGTTCAAGAATATTAATAAAAAGTATTGCATATATGAAATCTAGAATTTAGAATTGGTTGAAAAACTATCATATTTAGAAGTGCAAAATACTACACTATAATATGAATTGGAAACCTCAAGATTGAAATTAGAAACAATTACAAATGCTTAATAATCATCATCTGCATAATAAATTAATCTATTGAAGGAATAAGTTGATTCATTAATTAAATATAAAACTGAGAGCGAAACATAAAAGTCATAAGTACTAACATTAAAGAATGAGAATGTAAACTATTAGAAAGATATTAAAGAATTAATAGAAACAAATACACAAATTAAGTCATAATATTCAAGTATAATAAAAGAAAATAAGAGATGTTAATAATAGTTAGAGAATAGTTAAAATGAATTCTAAAAATTATCTGAAAAGGTATTATATACATTTTAGAATGTAGTTTAATTAATTTGAAGCTATGTATCATAGTAAAATTAAATATTATGAAGAAGTTCAAAAATAATTCGAGTTAGAATAATAAAGAGAAAAGTTTTAATATTAAGAGTTGGTTAGAGAGTTACATCTATTGGAAAATGAAAATTAATAATTATACAAATAATTGTAACTTAATTAATACGAAAAAGAAGAGAAGGGAAAAAAGATTTAAGATGAATAAAATTAGTTAAAATTGGAATTACAAAAAATTTAAGATGAAAATAAAATATTAGAAAAATCTCATAGAACTTTAAAAATAGAAAAAAAAGTTATATATGATAATTAGAATTAAATCAAATAAAAGATTAATAAGTTGGAATAGGATTTAAATTAGAAAGAATAAACAATAAAAAAATAGGAATAAGAATTACAGGAAAAAGTTCTAATAATTCATTAGCTTGAAAATATTGCATATGGTTTAAAATAGAGTGCTTAGGAGGGTAAAGAAAATACAAATTAAACTTTGTTACAATATAAGGATTTAATGAAGGAGTGTGATTAATTAGAATAATAAATTGCTAGATTAGAATAAGATAATGATATAGTAAAAAAGGAGTATGAATAAGCTTTATATGAAATGAAAGATCTCTAATAAGAAAATAGACAATTATCAGAGAGAAATGCTTTACTTATAAAGGATAACTAGTAAATATAAATTGAGAATACAAATTTATAAATAGAAATCTAAAATTTAAATTAAAGAGTAATAGAATTATAATAATATGCAGTTGAATTTTAAAAGGAATTAAAAGATCATATAGAATAATAAAGTAAAATAAATTAATAAAGATCATTTTAAAATTCTCAATATTTATAAAACTCTGCTACTTTAAGTAATCAAAGAAATAGTTATAATTCAATATAAAGAGGTACAGATGACTCATAAGCTATGGGGAATTAATCACCATTATCAAATTAGACAACTACTGTGAATCAATTAAAAAAATTAGTTAAATAATAATGTGTAGAAGGGAATCCTGGTTATGGTTAATAATCTATAGAGAACACAAAAAGACATTAAGCTAGAACTGATCATTTTTCGAATTCAAGCAAACTACAAACTGATAGATAATTTGATGATCATTCGAAAGAAAATTGTTTATAAATCTTATAGGATAAATATTATGCATTAAGGAATAGAATTTATGAATAAAAAAAATGAAAACTATAAATTATTAATTTATATAGTAATAATTATTAAAATCAACAATTTTTGTGTTTAACTCTTAATGGATTAAAATCTTATTCTTAATGTTTAGATCGAATGAGTTTTGGTTTAATACAAGTTTGATGGTTTGTTATAATAGTTAAAGGCATTCGTTGATTTTATTAAATTCTAGTTACTGGAGGCATAGATTTACAAGAAGAAATTGTAATAGGAGACAAAGCTCTTGAAACACTTTTAGTATTACTTAAAGAATTATTTTATAACAGATTATTGAGCTGACCATAAGTATCAATTAACAATTGATTTTGATTTTCTTCAACTAATACTTATAATTAATGTGGACTAGTGAACATAACCAAAAAATTACTACAGAGGATGCAAACGACATTGTTTTCTCATATATAGAATAACAGCAATTGCTAAAATCTTTGTATTAACTTGCATCAATTAAGGTATTTTGTTAACTTGATAAACAATTTTTGTATGGTCTTTAAGCATTTTACAACAAACAAAATTAATCATATTGTTATCCATTATACCATCATTTGAATCAGTAGAATAAACAACTCCTGTGCATAAAAGACTTTATACTTATTCATATAAAGTGTTAACTCTTAGTTTCCTTTGAATATTAAAATATTAGATTACCAATTTAATGTTTTTAAAACTAAACATTCTGCTTATTTATATTCATTTTTATTTAAGTTTAAATCACTTGCTTTAGATAATTTGCTCATTCCTGGAATGTGTGAATCATCTTCAATCATTTTTGAACTCACCATTAAACAAAGTAATGATATCAATTTTGGATTGTTACATTAGAGTAAGTGTTGACATCTATCTAAATAATGAATTGTTAAGTGAAAAGTTTGATCAGTTAATTATAAGCTTTATTTAGTCTAATAAACGAATTCAATAAGTTCATCTCTTCTTTCATAATTTGTGTTGATATTGCTTAGATCTTCAAATAGATTTTTTGCTTATTGATGACTCTTAAACTAAATATGTTTATAAGCAATAGATCCATCTTGATAAATTGCTATTCCACATTATTTGCAAATGTTTTAATATGGTTTATGTTGGCAGTTTAGCATTCGTTAAAATTAAATATATATATAAAAATCACTAAGCATGAATACTTTTGCTTAAGGCCTTTTTTTCTTCTTCAGGATTTTTGCGTTTCCAATTCATATTTTTTATCAATTTTTTAGCAGTTCTCTTTGCCATTAAAACAGTCCAAAAATCTTCATGTTATTATTCTTTTGATTTTTTAGGATGTTTCTCTTCCAATTCTTCAAAATGCCTTTCTTTTTAAAATTAAAAATCAGTTTATTTTCTTCTCATTTCTTCAACTTCATGTTATAATCTTAGAAATGTAGTAATTTCTTTACAATCTATATCTACATAGATTTGTTTGTCTATTTTATACTCATCTAATTTAATGATACTATTATTAGTTAATTCTGAATTTTAACATAAACTACGTAGAAAGTGAATTTCTTTTTTATTAGTTTTTGATTAACTTCTTTAAGTAGTAGATTATTTTTATGGAGATGGTTAAGGAGTAAAGATGGCCTAAAGATAAAGGAACATATATACCATGCCTAATTTTTTAATGCAATTAATAGCACGAGATTTCTCTTCTTTTTCATTAGTTCCTTCAGAATTTGATGAACTACTAGATGAGGATACATTTAGAATGAATTATTAAATTTTTTTCTCGCCTAACATTAAAGCATGTTATCTATCAGAGCTTCTAGATATTTAATTATTATTGGTTTTTCTGGGAGGTTTTAATTGTTATTTACTTTTTTCAATAAGAGATAGTCTATGTTCAATTCTGAATTGAGATCTATTATTGATGGTATCTTTGGAAGATCTCATCTCTCTACTAACTAGTGATTGAAACTTAAATGCACCAATCCCTAATTAATTATCCATTAAATGAATTAATAGGCAGAAAAACTACGCCATTATGCTCAAGAAAATGTAGTGTTCCTTCTTTAAAAATTGATGGAAGATATTCTAGCCTAATAGCCAAAGAATGTGGTAAGATCAAATAAAAATATTAGGTTGATTGGTCAATTGCTTGGTTAGATAAAAAAGGAAGAGATATTGTCAAATAAAGATAGAAATCAAATTCACAATAATCATCTTCCGATGAAGAGATAATTGAATTACCTAAAAGACCACCTGCTGCTAGAAAATAAAGAGCATCTATTTCAGCTGAAGCTTATGGATAATACAATAGAAAAGAGGTGTATATTTAATAATAAAATAACAGTCATTTTAACCTAGAGTGATTGTAAAGACTTAAGAATAGAAGGAAAAAATAGGTAAAAGATTAGAATAATCATTTATGTTTGCATCACTTGATTAAAAAGAAAAAGACATTGTTATTGATGCAATGGAAGAACGTAATTATAAGTATTCTTTTATTTGCATTCTTAGTGTCTAAGATTGGGTTATTAAATAAGGAGATAATGGTGATAATTTATATGTTGTTGATTAAGGAGAGTTAAATTGTTTTAAAAGATTTACAAAAGATGGTGAAAACAAATTTTTAAAAGTTTATTATCCAGGAGAATCATTTGGAGAATTAGCTTTATTGTATAATGCTCCACGTGCTGCCTCAATTCAATCTAAAACTAACTCTATTTTATTTGCATTAGATAGATAAACATTTAATCATATTGTTAAAGATGCAGCAATGAAGTATTCATCTAATTATCATTTCTAGAAAGAGAGAAAAATATGTAAATGTACTTAAATCTATTGATTTGCTTTCAATGATGGATCCATATGAAAGATCTCATGTTGCAGATGCTATTAAAAGTGCTTCATTTTAATAAGGAGAATATATTATCAGAGAAGGAGAATAAGGAGATATTTTTTATATGATTGAGGAAGGAGAATTAATTGCCACTAAAACACTTACATAAGGATAAGAACCAGTCAAAGTTTTTTAATATAAAGCAGGAGATTACTTTGGAGAATTAGCCTTACTAAAAGACATTCCAAGATAAGCTAATATTGTTGCTCAAGTAAATTCATTTTATTTAGAATATTATAGACATAAGTCAAATTAATATATTTGGATAGACATAGTTTCAAAAGAATGTTGGGACCTCTTGAAGATATATTAAAAAGAAACACTGAGAAATATGAAAAATATGAATAATATTGGATCAACTAAGGTAAATGAAAATTTACATATCATTCAAACATTTCTCTTTTTTTCTTCTCTTTAAAATAACAATTATTCTTCTCTCTCTTACATTTTTCTTAATCTAATAATCTATATTGTTTTTAATAAATCTCTTCATTTATATTAAGATTAAACTAAATTTGCCTACTGATAATTTATTAATATTTATAATGCAAGAAAGTTAACAACTTATAAAAAAAGATTACTTATTAATTACTTATTAATTATTTATTACAAATAATCACTCAATCACAAAACATCATAAATTATTTTTATTACCAAATAAATTATCTTTCTGCAGGAGGTGTCATTCTCAATAAGATATGAGTCTATAAATTAAATATAAAAATTATACTCTTCTTGCCTGCTGTAACATTGTTTTCCCTTCAATATTGTTTGTTAATGCTTCATTATAATCTAAAATTCCCTTATTCCAAGGATCTGCTTTGTGATACAAAAGTAACTAAGCTATTTCATTATTATTATGTAATAATGCAAGAAATAATGGAGTTCTACCTATCATATCTTATGCATCAGGATCTGCACCATTTTTAAGTAGAATTAAAGCTGCTGCTTTACAATTTCTTACACAACACCAATGAAGAGCTGTCATAAAAGAAGGATCATACTCATATACAAGATATTTTTCCACTTCTAACAACTGCTATATTTAATCACCCTTATTCATTTTACATAAACTAAAAAATTTCTCACTTCTTTGACTTTAATATGGTACTTTTGGAAATACATCTTTTTTGCAAAATTCTTCTAGTGTTAGTTTTAATTTATGTATATGAGTTAACAATTAAATCATATCTAATCTAATTCTCTTATATTTTGACTATTTTTTCTATTATAATTGATTGACCCATGGCTTCACTGAGTTTATTAACTTTTTCACAGTTCTACTACCAAACATACGAGTCTCTAATTTATATTATTAATACATTAAAATCTTCAATAGTTTTTTCTAGTGAACCTTCAATATGATAGAGTTATTATTTCTTTTCAAATTATCTAACTGATTAAATCAAAGCTACACTCTTACTTTATTATTCTAAATTTATAACTTAAGGTAAAACAATTAAATCATGTATTATTTATTATTATTCAAATGTTTATTATAATAATTTCGAGTTCTTTTTTATTTTTTAAACATTTATTCTTTAATTAGACAAGCTATTTCTTAAAGTTATATTCTCATGAACTTACTATGGATTAGTGTAGAATTACTTTTTAAATATTTGGTTTTCCTATAAATCAATGAATCTCGAAGGCTTATTATTGTTTCGAATAGGTTTTTTGTCCTCAGCAATAATTGATCTATTTTTATTTTTTATTTTATATTAGAAGTTTTTTTCATGAGTTGGATTTGCATTTATAATATCACGCATCAAGATACTTAATTTAACTTTTGCATTCGAAACATTTAGTGAATTAAAATATCCAATTTAGCTTATTTTCCGATTTTTAGGTTTTAATTAGAGCTAAATATTCTAGTTATCTTTTTTTTTGATAAGCTCAATAAGTGTACTCTATTCTGTCTTAACTCTTTTCATTAATTTTTATAATTATTTTATTTATCATTATTGGTAAAATTTACAAATATTTTATTTCAACTTTTTATTTATTTACTTAAGAAAGAGTTAATTTATTCCTGAAGAATTAAGTTCTCTTTTTTATTTGCCAAATATTTATTTCCTTAATGAAAATATTAAATGAATAAAATAAGATTAATTTTAATGTTTGATAATATAATGAATGACGATATTATAAAAGATATGATGAAATCCTCTAGTAAAATCTCTATAATTTATTAATTTCTTAATTTTTGAATATATTTATTAAATTTTATTTTATTTTTACAACAACTTGTTCATTCTTTTATTTTATATATATTGATCTAAAAAATAATTTATTAGTTCTAAAGATCAGAATTATACTATAAATTATAAAAGTTTACGATTTAATTTTTAATAATATGTAAATATTTGTTTTATTTTAAAAAATAAATATTATCTGTTTTGATTTATGTATATTTAGTTTTATAAAGGTATCTAATTTAAATAAATATCTCAATTTTGTCAAACAAATGTCTCAATCATTAATGATTCATACTGAATAACTCTAGTTCTTCTTTATTAATCAAGTGAATAAGCTAGAAACTCTATTTCAAAAATGGATCAATACCAAAAATTTAAATGGAAATCATAACCATTCCTTTTAATTAGAATAATAGGCTATTCAAAGTTAAACAGCAAGATAAATCTCTCATTTTTAATATTTCTTAAATTATTTACGTTCAAAGAAAAATGATGATCATATTTCCATTCTAGGTTAGATATTCTACTCCTCTTAAAGTACTACTAATAACACTAATTAAAGTTAAGCTCTATTAATAAAGACAAATTCTCAAAGATCAAAATTATTAAAATAATAAAAAGGTCGTTAATTTTCAACAAACTCTAATCTTATTGATCATACAAACATTTTCATACCCGTATCCTACAAATAAATAAACAATTTAATTAGCTGAAAAATGCAATCTTAAATGTAAATAAGTATCTAATTTTTAAGAATTAGATTTAAATCTTATTTATTAATGTAGAGGTAGAATATCTAATAAAATTTTGAGGAAAAAAAAACTAAAAATATTTTTAGACATAAATATTTATCAATAAATAAATCAAGTAGAAATGAATGAACTATTTAGATTAAGTTAAATATTATTTTAATATTTAAATAAGTCTTCTTTTTAATTTATTTTATAAATAGAAAATGATTCAGTAATAAAATATTAATCAAAATATTGAAATTAAAAACCTAATATATATTTTGTGATATAAATAATAACAAAAAATAATTTAATTATCAAGTTAAGTAAGTGAATTCTTTGGCTTTAAGTTCATATAGCTTTGAATTATTTATTCTGATTTATTACATTAAATCAGTCATTTCCTACTTAATGTGCTATTTCTACTATTCAGATTATTGAGTATTCTTTGAAAACTATTAGAATAAGATTTAATAATTATTATTTAATCGAAAAGCTTCTTTTTCTACATCAATTATCTATTAAAGTAGAAATTTATATTCTTTGTCTTTTTTTGATGGTTGTTATTAAGGAAGTAAATCATTTTATGAATTAGATGTAGTTAATTATATTGTCTTATCATTGTGTAAGGCATTATAAATTTCTTTCTTGTCATTATCATTTAATTCTGATTCCTCATCAAAATTTTTTCTCTCAACTTCTAACTTTTATTACAAATCTTATATTTAAATGTTAAACTAATGTATAAGTTCATCATTCATTTATTTTAATTGTTCATGCTGAATTTACAACTGTTCTAATTGAGATTTTAAGTTAATTAATTCTTAGTCTTTAAAGAGAACTTATTATTTTAATTATTTATTCAAATCTTCCAAATCTTCTATAATTTATTCTTATTCTTAAAACTAATGATGGTAAACACTGTTTTTATTTCTTAATTCTTGCATTGCACATGAAACCTCTTATTAGACTTATAACATTTAGGATTCAAAAAAACTTTTAATATCAGTATATTGTTTTTGTAATTTTTAGATTTCTTATTTTTAATGATGAACAAGATCTTTATAAGTATTTTCTAGTTCTTTAATTTATTCCTATTATTCTTACTTTTCTTTAGATAACATCATATTTTAATTTTTCATTTCTTGATATAGTTTTTATTAATACTGTAATTGCTTTTCATATTGTTATTCATTATCTTCTATTAATAATCGCTGATCTAATTTTAATTTATTCAACATTTGCCTCTCTTTTCTCAATTCATCAAGAGCATTTTATAGAAGAGTATCCTAATCATTTCTACAAACTTCTATATTTCTATATCTATCATTTTGTAATTGCATTTACTATTTCATTTCTTCTAATTGGCATTTACATTATCTATTTATTTGATCAATTTATTAATCCTTCTCTTATTTTAATTAGCTTAATTATAACTCATAGGATTGCAATAATTATTTATGATCTTAATCCAACACAATATATTGCTATTATAGGTTTTAATAAATTGAATTGATTTCATTTATAGTACTTTATTAATTTTAATAATTTTTTAACTGCTCTTTCAAACTTTCATTTTCTGTAGTAAGTTCAATATTTTTTTTTTATAAAGCCTATAAAGCTTATATCTATGAATTGCTTCTTTAGGTTGTTTTATCAGGGGTTTAAATTCTAGTGTGATAATTAGAGCGTTAATCATTTGAGATGGAAAAAGAATTTTCTTTGTTAGTAGAATTGTGAAAGTTTGGTAAAGGTGCAATTTAAGCCATATATTAATCAAAGATTTTTTGTACTTTAACACTATTACTTCTGATAGAACATGTTGATGTATCGTTATCCATTCTTATATATAACTTAATTAATTTTAAAATAATATTTTTGAGAATTGTAATCTTTATTTCTTTTTAGAAGTTTATTTATAATATTTTTAAGATAATTTGAAAAGTAGATAAAATTTGTAACATTTATATATTATAGAGTTACGATAAATAAAAATAATCAAAAATAATAATTAAAAATATGAAACTTTGGATTCTCTTACAAACAATATAGATAAATCTAAGATATAATAAGATAATACCATTTTTGTTAAAATATATAATAATCAAATAAAAAAATAATTGAATGGAAATATAAATTATCCTTCTATTAATTATCTTAATAAATATAAATAATGAATTATCTATAAATAAATTATCTGAAAGTTTAAGTTGTTAATAATAGTAAAATTTGGTGGTTTTTACATATATATCATTTGAATTAGAATTATAATAAATATATTAAGTAATAATTTGATGGATGAAAAATTCAAAATGGATCATTATTTAAGGCCTATTATAATTATGAGAATAGATGAGCCATTAACTGAATAATAATTTAGATCAAATAGAAATAACGATACATAATCAAAAAAATATGAAATAATATTAGAAAAATTTCATAGAGATGCAGCTGCTGCTGAAGAGACTTTAATTTAATTTGCTGAGCCTTCTTCAACAACAACTAATATTTAAACTTTCATAATAACATTTTATTCTTTATACACAGCAATGACACTTGGATGGAATGAAGAGAGGATTAAAAATGAAATAGATAGATTAGCTAAGAATGAAAGAATTCCAAAGGATATTACTGATTTTATTGAGAAGAATACTTAATATTTTAATAGAGCATATTTTTATTTAGAAAAAGAATCTTATTATATTGATATAGAAAAGAAATTACTTGAAGAATTAAAATAGAGGAATTTTGGTTAAATGAATAATCTAACAACAATTGAAAATTATGAGAGATTAGATGGTAATTTAAATGAGAGGAAAACATTTGTTAAATTCAAAATAAAAACTAATGAACATTTTAGTGTTAATAAAGAGTTGGTAGAAGACTTTAATGTACCTGTAAAATAAGAATTTGATTATCTAAAAGATTTAGAGAATACTAAATAGGATACTTAAAAGAAATTACAGTAATTTCGTATGAAGGCTATATATTAATTGTATAGTCATTAGAATAGAGCTTTAAAGAAAATATTTTAAAATGATAAAGCACATTCAGGAGTTATTATTTTACCATGTGGAGCAGGTAAAACTTTGCTTGGAATTAATGTGGCTTTAAAAATAAAGAGAAAAACATTAATTATTTGTGATTAAGTTAATGATGTTTTTTAGTGGTAAAAGTCTTTTTTAAAGTTTACTGAAATGGATAAAAATAATATAGCAATAATTTTAAGAACTTAATAAGAATTGCCAACAGTACTCTTAGGAAGAGAACATATAATCGTAATTACAAATAAGGATATGATTTCATCAAATAGAAAAGATATAAAACTTGTTACTACTTTAGAGTGGCCATTATTAATTATGGATGAAGTGCATGGTTTGCCAGCAGCATAAATAAATGCTGAAATTTCAAAATTAAAGGCAAATATGAAAATTGGTTTAACAGCCACTCCTTATAGATAAGATAATAAAATTAAAGAAATCTTTTATAAAGTTGGTCCTAAATTACATGAGTCTATGATTGTAGATCTAAAATAAATGGGATATGTTAGTAAAATATATTGTATTTAAATCTATGTTGGAATGTAAGATTAATATAAGCAAAAATATGAAGAATATAAAAGAGTTAATAATCAATTTGTTATGAATACTTTATATTAAATGAATGTAATTATTATAATATATTTAGCCTAAAAAATTTGAAGTCTTATAAAATTTAATTTTGATACACAGAGCTAGAAAAGATAAGATTTTAGTATTTTGTGAAAAAGTTAATAAATTAGCAGACACAGGTACTCTTGAGAAGTTTGCAAAACTTAATAATTGTCCAATAATCAGTTAAAAAGTTGAATAAACAGAAAGATCAGCAATTTATAAATTATATCAAGAAGATAAATTAGATGTAATTATTTTCGGTTAAATTGCTGATTAAGGTTTGGATTTACCCTCTGCAAATGTTGGAATTTAAATAAGTTTTAACTTTAAATCTGTAAGATAAGAATTTTAAAGAATGGGAAGAATTCAAAGAAGGAAAGAAAATTAAATTGGAGAATATGATTGTTTTTTTTATTCAATTGTAACAAAAGGAACTAAAGAAGTAGAGATATAATTTGATAGATAAATAGCAGTTATTAATTAGGGATATCCTTATGAGATTATTTCTGCTGAAGAACTTAAACCTCCTTAATAAGATCCAGATAAAAAATAATAATTAGAAAAAATTTTGGATGAAATGTAAAAAAAGGTTTTAGAAACATGTACAAAAAGAGGAGAGGATGATAGGGAAGAAGATGGATATTGAATTTATTTTTTTATCTAAAAGAAATCAGAATTTATAATTTTTGTTTTAGATTATCCATGTCTAATGATTCTATTGTACTTATGAAAATATTTATAATTATCAATTAATTAAGTTATCATTTCATAAGTAATCAAATTAATTTTCTTTTATATTTATTATGTATTGCACTAGAAAGAAGTTTTTTTTAAGATGATTATACTATTGTAGCAGGTTTCTTTCTAAATCCCATATTACTGGATTAAAAAGTTCGAATTTATGGTATTTATCTATAATTTATGAAAAATTTAATTTACTTTTTTGGTGGGGTTAAGTGTGTTTCCACTTCATCTTCCCAATCTTAATCATCTATTTCTCTTTAAAACTTATTTTTAAAAAAGTCGATTGAAAGTTGAGGGTCTTTAATCAATTCTTCTTATTCTGATACAGTAAGCAATTGATTTATATCCATTTCTAAAGTCTCTTTTGGAAGTAGATTAAACAAATTATTAAAGGATTTTTTGATCCACATCTTTGAATTGTTAAAGTTTTATAAATTTGATTCTTTTGCTTCCTCTATTAAAATAATATTGGTTTAAATTAGTTCTTTGAGAATAGACTTGTCACAATTCATATTTTAAATTTAAATCAATAATACAAAAATTATTAATATTTTAATTATAATGAATGATACGATAGATAATGAATTGTGTTTACAAGAAATGAAGGAAATCGAGAAAAAAATTCTTAAATATTTATGTGAATAGTTAAAACTAGAACAACTTACTGATCCTTAATTGAAACAATTGAATTATGAAGACACCAAAAAAAAACTAGTATTCTCCTTAAGATCTCTTGATTCTGACACTGAGACATCAGATAATATTTCATGTACACCAAGTAATCGATGCTCTTTACAGATGGCTAGATCTCCTCTCATTTTAAAAAGATTAAGTGCTTCCATATCAGAATAACTCTAATGATTATTGTATATAAATTTTATTGTTTAACTATTTCAAATATATCAGTTTTTTTCATTCTTATTGATAAATTTGCATTTCTAATTCATGAAGACTTCGAAAAAAATTTTATTTCCATTTTTAGCTAATCTGAATCTTTTAGAACAAATAGAGAAGGTGTTAAAATTAGTTTTTAGGCGGATATTCTTCTAAAATTTATTAATATTTATCTTCTTTACGGCAATAGGCTATACTAAATATCTTAATTTAACTATTTGCTATAGTTAAAAATGACATTACTTCAAATTATCAGAAAATTTTTAAATAAGAATAAAATTCTGAGATTTATTGAAATTTAGAAATCATATGGCTAAACGATAAAAAGGATGGCCAAATATCACTTAAACTTTATTGATCAAAAATTTCCTATACTGAAAACTATGAATTTTATGTTCTAATTGTAAACTCTAGTAGAGTTTTATTTTGATATTATTAGAAACTGTAATGAGAATCTACTTAACAATGTTAATTTGTGTAATTCTTTGAAAAAGAATTCATACATGTAATTTAATAAATAAAATGTAATTTTAATATTTGTATTAAATAAGATAGAATTAAGGTATGATAAATAAGAAAACCAATTTTAAGGTTGTTAGAAAAGCATTTATTTATGTAAGATTGAGAATTAATAAACTTAATTTAATATATTAAAAGTATTTTTAATTGTAGTATAACTTGATTAACTATTTTTGGAATTAGGATTTATTAAAAATTTGCAAATAAAATAAAATAAGTGACTTATTATGAAATGATAATGATATCATAAATTTGAGATTTATATAGAAATTAAGATAAAAACACAATTTTAATATTAATTTATGGATATCGAACAAGAATATGATCTGTTCGTAATAGGAGGGGGATCAGGAGGTCTTGCTTGTGCTAAATAAGCTGCAAAATTAGGTGCAAAGGTGGCTTTAGCTGATTTTGTAAAACCTTCACCTTTAGGAACAAAATGGGGATTAGGTGGAACATGTGTAAATGTAGGTTGTATTCCAAAAAAACTTATGCATTTTGCAGCTACATTAGGAGAATTAAGACATGATTAAGTTGAAGCAGGGTATTTAAAATTTTAAGGATTTTTAGATGGATAGACACATAAGTAGATTCAAAGCATAATTGGGAAAAAATGGTAGAGAATGTGAATAACCATATTCGTAAATTGAATTTTGGTTATAAGAATCAATTATTGAGATAAGATGTGAAATATTACAATAAATTAGCAGAGTTTATAGATGCAAATACAATAAAGGTAAAAATAAGAAATATTAAAAGTTAACTGATAATAAAGGACAAATTGAAACAGTTAGAGCTAAGACTATATTAATTGCAGTTGGAGGTAGACCATCATACCCAGAAAATATTCCTAATATTTAAAATTTAGTTATAACATCTGATGATTTATTTTGGTTATAAGAGAATCCTGGAAAGACTTTAGTTATAGGTGCTTCTTATGTTGCATTAGAATGTGGAGGATTTTTACATGGAATAGGAAATGAAGTAGCTATAATGGTGAGAAGCATTTTATTAAGAGGATTTGATTAAGAGATGGCAGAAAAGATTGGATAATATATGGAAGAGAAAGGAATAAGATTTATTAAAGGAAGTGTTCCAGATATGATAGAAGCAACAGAAGACAATAAGAGAAAAGTGACTTGGATAATTAATGGATAAAAATAAGAAGAAATATTTGATACAGTTTTAGTTGCAACAGGTAGAGTAAGTGATACATAAAAACTAAATTTGGATAAAGTTGGAGTAAAAATGAATAAAAATGGTAAAATATTATGTTCTGCAGATGATAAGACTTCAGTTGCTAATATCTTTGCAATAGGTGATTGTGTTGAAGGTAGACCAGAGTTAACTCCTACAGCAATTAAATGTGGATAATTATTAGCTAATAGATTATATAATAATGGCAATGAATTAATGTCTTATGAATTTGTGGCTACAACTGTATTTACTCCTTTAGAATATGGTTGCATAGGATATAGTGAAGAAGATGCTATTAAGAAATTTGGAGAAGAGAAAATTACTGTTTATCATTCAATATTTAAACCATTAGAATGGAATTATTTTGAAATGCACTCAGGTGAAAGTTGTTTTGCTAAATTAATTGTTTTAAATGATAATCGTAGAATTATTGGATTTCATTATCTTGGACCTCATGCTGGAGAAGTTACTTAAGGATATGCAGTAGCAATTAAGATGGGAGTGACAAAAGAATAATTTGATTCAACTGTTGGTATTCATCCAACTTGTTCAGAAGTATATTTTTATTTTTATTAAAAAGGAACTTGTATAAGTAACTGCTGTTAAAGGAATTGATGATGCTTAAAAAGAAGGTTGTTGAGGTTGAGTCCCCTAGCCTATTTGGCTAGGGGATGTTTTAAATAAAAACTCCACCTAACCTTTAATAGAAGTATTCTGATGCTAATTTCAAGGAAGAAAAATATTTGTTTGTTTTAATTAAAACAAACTTAATGAAACATTTATTGGAAATTAAATAAATAAATGTTGAAAAAGGATGTTTTTTGGAATTGAAATTTGTTTAAGAGTATTTCTCAATAATATTATTCAATCTTTATTTTTTAGGTTTAGATTTAAATTAATAATTATTTAGAAAAATTAAATAAATCAATATATCAGTTTTCCTAGTTACTTTCTTCTCTCAATAACTAAATTTTGTTTATTTTCTCATTCATAACTTTTTCTAAGCCTTTTTATCAGAAAAATTCTTATCAATTTTAACAAATTATAATAAAATAGGTTATTAAATTTGAAACAGACTTAATAGCTAAATCATAATTCTATAAATTTATTGCCTCTAAAGATAAATCAAATTAAAGATATTTTCTTGAGGATTTTCATTTAAATTTTTTTAATTTTAGAACTTAAAGATTATAATTAATAGAATTATTTTATTTATTTATCTGTTAAATCATCTTTAACTTATAAATCAAATTAATCTAAAATTTCTTAAATTTTGATTGGATCCTCAATTATTATATATGCTAATTCTTTGAATAATAAATATTTTGGATGATCTTCTTTGATGTTTTCTCTTTGATAAAAATTCTTATTTTAAAACAATTTTAACATTTATTCAATTATCAATATTTTCATCTTTTAAATCGATAAAACTTTACATTTTTGAAATATCCATCTAAAAATTAGTTATTATAAATTATATCAGCAAAAGGAACATAATTTATATACAATTAAGTAAGTAAATTTGGATATTTATCAATATCTATATTAATAATTGTTGAAACATCTGAAGATTTATACAATTTTAAAATCGATATTTATTTGCAGTCTTTGCATTTTAATATCATTATGCAAAAAAACATACTCTTATAATTTTTCAATAGCTTTCTTAAATAAATTAATTAAAATGATCTGTATGAATGACATGCATATGTTATAATTTATTATCCACTGCTATTTTACTATAAAATTATTAAGCCAAGTTCTTTAATTTATTGATTATTTTACGTCAAAATTTAGGATCTAAATTTTATTGACTGAAAAGATATAAAGCTGACTTGTAGAATTTAAAGAATCAATATATTGACATTCTAAAAAGTTTTCTGATCATAATTAAATTATATTAATAAAAGTTAATTAAACAGAAATAAAAACAGAAGATTATTATTAATATCTAATAAAGATTCCTTAATTTAATTTTTCCTTTAAATATTGAAGATTATGAAGAAAAAAGAAAAATCGATTATTGAGATTATTTAATATTATTAATACTTGTAATGAACCATCAAGATAATGGAATTAAAGGTGTCTTAAAACAATAATTAATTGTTGATTCAGAAAGTGGTCCGTACAAAACAATTTAAGAAGCAATAGATAAGGCTGAAGCAAATACAATCATAAAAATAGCACCAGGACTTTATTCATCTAATATAGTGATTAATAAACCTGGATTACGTCTAGAGCCTAAAGAGAAGGTTGGAGATATAATAATAGTTGTTTCATCTTAACCAACAATCTTGGTAGATTTAAAAAAAGATGAGCGTTGCACTTTAATAGGATTAAAAATGTCTCATAGTGGAACAAGTGAAGAAGTTGAAGAATTGGAAAAATTAATTGAAGGTTAAGAAATGGCTAAACATTTATTTGGAAATCATGAAGATGGAGGTGGTGGATTAGAATAGAATCCAGATGAAGAATTTGTTAGTAAAGTACCAATAGAAACAAATATGAATTGTGTTGTATTATTAAATGGAGGCAAATTATTCATGGAAGATTGTTTGATTGCATTGAAGTATATTTTAAAATTCGAATTTAAGTTTCATTGTAAAGTCTTTTAAAGGTATATTACCTGGTATAGCAGTTAATTAAGGAGCTGAAGCTTTGTTCATTAGATGTGAAATTAAAGGAACCTCATCAAAGAATTAAGATGCTAAAACAATTGGAATTTTAGTAAAATTAGGTGATTTGATTATTAAAGATAGTAAGGTTCATAATCATACATATGGTGGTATATTAATATAATAAGCTCCTACTAATAAAAATATTAGGGTTATGAATAGCAAAATAATACAAAATAAAAAAGTAGGAATACATGTTGTAGGGGCAGATGCAATTCCATAAATAGAGTAATGTAGAATTGAAAATAATGAAGGACCTGGAATTAAAGTAGGAATAGGAAATAGAGCTAAGATATTTGGAAATGAAATTAAAACAAATGTTATAGGAATTGAAGTATTATCTGCTGATCCTTAAATATTTAATAATAAAATTGATAAGAATTTTACTGATGGAATATTAACTAAAGTATTTGAATAATTAAGATGTGATGGTAAGATTAAATCGAATCAAACTATATCAGGGAATAAGGAAAATGGTATTCATTGTACTGGTTAAAATAACTATACAAGAATTGAATCTAATACATTTATAGGATATAATAAAAAGGCAGGAATCAAAGCAGATACTGAAGCTCGTATTTCAATTCATAAAAATAAAATATCTAAAAATCTAGGTTAAGGTGTGTTGTTAGTTGAAACATCATCTGCTGTTATTGAAAAAAATGAAATTACTGATAATATCAAAGCTAATGTTGCATTAGGTGGTGCCAATTCTGTGGATACTTTTATAGTCGAAAATAAGATTCTAGGAGGAAGATGTGAAGGTATTTTCTTGATTGAATGTGGAAGATGTTGGATATTTAGAAATACGATTGCTGAAAATGTAATTAGTTTTTTAATTTAGATAGAATGATGGAATAGTATGTATTACAGCAGTACCAATAATAAGTGGAAATTTAATATAAAAAAATAAAAGCAATGGGATTATGATATTAAAGGATAGTAGACCTGATATTACAGAAAATAATATTAATGATAATGATGGAATAGGATTATTTATACGTGATAAAAGTCATGGGAAAATACTTAATAACGTTATTAAATCTAATGAAATTGAACTTGTTGTTGAAAGGAGAAATCCTTCTTTAGAATCAATTGTATAAGAAAATAAAGTAACAGGAGATATTAGAATTCCTTAGAATTATGATTGTTCAATATAATGAAAGAATTTAATATAATAAAGAATTATTTATATTTAAAATGCTTTTAGCAATTTAAAAAGCTAGATAATATTTTTTAAAAACCACATTTTAATTTATGGATCAAAAACAAAGTTTTGCAAGAAGAGATAAGTTGAAATCAATTGAATAGCAAATCTAAGAGTAATGGGCAGCCTAATAATCCTTCAATTCTAATCCAGATGAAAGAAAGAAATTTTTCTTGACTTTTCCATTCCCTTATGTAAGATATTTATAAATATACTTATAGGCTAATGGTAGATTACATTTAGGTCATTGCTTTTCTTTTAGCAAATGCGATTTTATTGCAAGATTTAAGAGACTCTAAGGTTAAAACGTACTTTTGCCATTTGCATTTCATTGCACAGGAATGCCAATAAGTGCTGCTGCTAAAAAGCTATAACGTGATTTAGAGATAAAGGTAAATTATAAATCCATTTTAGTAATCAGGAGTTGAATTACCAGATAAATGTTAATATTAATCCTTACTTTAAATGAATATTAAGGAAGAAGAGATACCTAAGTTTGCTGATCCATATTATTGGATTCGTTTTTTCCCATCTCTTGCTAAAGAAGATTTGATATCTTTTGGATCTTCTGTAGATTGGAGAAGAAGTTTTATTACTACAGATGAAAATCCATATTTTAATTCATTTATAGAATGGCATTTAACTAAATTAAGGGAGGCTGGATATATTAAATTTGGAAAAAGACCATCCATTTTTAGTACTTAAGATGAATAATTGTGTGCTGATCACGATAGAAGAGAAGGAGAAGGTGTTAACCCATAAGAATATACATTAATTAAGTAAAGAGTATTAAAACCTGAATTAATTGATGCTTCTTTAGCAGGCAAAAATTTATTTTTAGTATGTGCTACTTTGAGACCAGAAACTATGTATGGTTAAACTAACTCATTTGTATTACCAGAAGGTGAATATGGAGTATTTGAAATGAAAAATGATGAATTTTTTGTATGTAGTGAAAGATCTGCTTTGAATATGGCTTATCAAGGATTAACAAAGGAAGATAAAAAACTTAATAAAGTTGCCACTGTTAAAGGAACTTAATTAATTGGTTTGGAAATCAAAGCTCCTTTGACTAATTATGAAAAAGTTTATGTTTTACCCATGCCTGGAATTAAAATGAATAAAGCTACAGGAGTAGTTACATCAGTACCAAGTGATGCACCTGATGATTGGGCTACTTTAAGAGATTTATAAAAGAAACCAGATTTTTATCACATTAAGCCTGAATGGGCTGATTTTAAACCAATTCCAATAATTGATGTTCCTAAATATGGGGATTTGGCTGCTTTGACTGCATGTGATTAATTCTAGATTAAATCATTAAAGGATAAAGATTTATTACAAAAAGCAAAGGAAGAAGTTTATAAGGCAGGTTTTTATGAAGGAAAAATGATAATTGGAAAATATTAAGGAATGAAAGTTTGTGATGCAAAACCATTAGTTAGAAAAGATATGATTCAAAATGGTGAAGCATTACCTTATTATGAACCAGAGAATACTGTAATTTCAAGAAATGGTGATGAATGTGTTGTATCTTTTTGTGATTAATGGTATATCACATATGATAACTAAGAATGGAAAAACAAAGTTAAAGAACATGTTTAAAACAATTTTGAAACTTACAATGCAAAAGTTAAATAAGAATTATTAGAAGCTATTGATTGGATTAGAGAATGGGGATTATCTAGAAGTTTTGGATTAGGAACAAAAGTACCTTGGGATAAATAATATTTGATTGAGTCACTTTCAGATTCAACAATATATTTTGCTTATTATACTGTTGCACATTATTTGTAAGGAGATTTAAATGGAACAATTCCAGGACTTGCTGGATTCACTCCAAATTAATTGACAATTCCTGTTTATGATTATTTATTTTTGGGAAAAGACAGTGAATAAGTTCCTGCAGAAATGAAATAATAATTAGATGTAATGAGAAAAGAGTTCTTGTATTATTATCCAATGAATTTGAGATCATCAGGTAAAGATTTAATAAAAAATCATTTAATTTTTGCATTATTTAATCATGCTGCAGTTTGGAAAGACTAACCTCAATTATGGCCAAAAGGTTATTTCTGTAATGGTTATATTTTGGTTGATGGTGAAAAAATGTCTAAATAAAGTGGTAACTTTAAAACTGTTTAAGATATGGTTAAGACATATGGATCTGATGCAACAAGATTTGGATGTGCTGAAGCAGGAGATTTATTAGATGATGCTAATTATGAATTAAAATTAGCTGATTCTGCTATTTTAAAATTAACTACACTTGAAATGTATCTTGAAAAAATATCACCATTGTTATAAAATTATCGTACCTAAGCATAATCTAAAAATATTGAATTTTTTGATTAAGTTTTTGAGAGCTAAATTAATCATTAAGCTATTTTAATTGTTTAAAATTATGAAGAAATGAAATTTAGAGAAGTTGCTAAAAATGGATTCTATGTCCTTTAAGGATATAAAGATGATTATTTATTAGCTGTCTAAGCTGAAGGACCTAATAAAAATTTAATTATGAAATACATTGAAATCTAATTAACTTTAATGAATCCAATAGTTCCTCATATAACTGAATATTGTTATTAGAAATATTTCTATCCTTTTGTTAAAGACTAAGGATATCCAGAAACATTGACTAAATATGTATTACCTCATGTAGGAACATATGTTTATAATGCAAATATTTTAAGATAATTTAATTATCTCTAAAATTTAATGAGTACTTTAAGAGTTGCGATTGCAAAATATAAAGAAACACTCAAGAAGTAAAAAAAACCTGAAGTTATTAATAAAGTAACATTAGTTGTTGCTAAAGATTTTGCTGATTGGTAGAAAGAGGTTTTAATTCTTATGAATAGATAATTAATAGATAATGAACCTGGTTTTGATTTTAATGCTTAAATCAAAGCAAACAAGGGTAAAAATATGGCTGCCTAATTATAATTTAGTAGTTATATAATGGTAAAAATATATTTTTAAAAACTTTAGGGTGAATTTAAATAAAGAGGTGCAGATGCTATCAATCCAAATCCTACTCTTGATGAAGAGGCATTTTTAAATAATTTTACTCAATACATTATTGGAGATTTGAAAATAAAAGAATTTGCAGTACTTATTATTTTAATATTTTTAAGATTATTGATTCTACAGTTGCCTAAAAAAGCGATATTAAACCAGTTTCATAAGCAGGTAACAATGCTCAACCTGGAAAACCTTGTCCATTGTTTGAATGATTATTTTTAAAATATAATAAAAAATCCTTAACAATATTATTAAATATTATTTATTAAAATGGATGTATTATTCTATAATAATAATTATAAGAAGAATTTGTGATTAATATAAATAATATATCTTAATTTTAAATTTAGTATTTCAGATAGGCATCACTGAATTTTTATTATTATTTCTATAAAATATTTTAATTAAGGAATATGCTAGATACGCCAAAGTACAAACAGTAAAAACTGAGGATATCACCCAACCAGCTGCAACATTTTTACTCGCCATAATTACAAATGCTCCGAAGTAGAACTATTTTCAATAATATTTAAATACATAACATAAAATTAGTAATAAAGATCTGTCAACCACATTAAACCATTTAATGTAACAGGGATCTAATTTATAATGGAAATAAACTAATCCAGCCATCACAAAAAAATCTAAAAGCATTTAGTATAAATATGAGGATTCTTGTAAGTTTGAAAATACAGAACTTGATCCTAAAATCAATAATTTAGCCTATATATATAACACTACAAAATTTGATTTAAATTTAAAATCCAAAGAACGATCCATAAATTGAAAAGTAGGTTGCAAATATGTTGATAAAGGGTAATAAATTCCACAACCTATTATAGCAAAAGATATATATAAGAAATGAAAATCACTCATACACTCTACAGATGGTTATCTTATTAAAGTATAAGGATACTCACTGTAGTCACAAATAAATGAATCAATATAAGTTTTCATTACAAATATAAATTGTCCACTAATAATTTAAATTGTTTTACTCACCCAAAATCTTGAACTTGTAATTCCTGCTATTTATCTATTCTCATCATAACCAAATGTATTATCAGCTATTTATTTGCTAGCTTATAATCCTAAAATTATATAAGCGAAACTCATCAAAATAGCCATAAAGAAAAAAAAATTATATTAACTCCAAATAGCAGAATAATCAACCATTTTTATGGGTTTAAATTCAGAATTATTATTTCCCATCCAACCTACTTGAGAATCAAATGCTAGTGTTATTAATCCATATAAATCATAAACTCTTAAAAACACTGCCAAAAAATTTGTTATTGTCAGTTTAAAATGGAATACTTATTCATTTTTCCTCTTATCAAATTCATTAAATTCATTAACTAAACTATCAACTATTAAAGGAGCTATTGCTTACCAATCTGGGTTAATTTCTTTTTTTTCTGGTTAAACAGGAGCAAGTTTACTGTAAATATCTGCTAATTAATTCATAAATCTTTATGTATATTTTTTTGGTGCAATCCAAATAAATGTATGCATACTTTTACAAATTTACCATATTTTTTTTTTAAATTCACTTGGATTGTTTTATATTTTGTATTTATTATTTAATTTCTCCAATTCTATTTCATATAAAAACTCAATTTATTCTTGACCTTAATATTAATTTTTACTTTCTTCATTATCTTTTTCATTTGGTGAAATTTTATTCAATTCTTTTCTTTCCTCCTAGAACTTTTAAATGAGTATAAAATTATCTTCTTCAAATCCACCTCGAAGATCCTTTTAATCTCNTAAACTAATCCAGCCATCACAAAAAAATCTAAAAGCATTTAGTATAAATATGAGGATTCTTGTAAGTTTGAAAATACAGAACTTGATCCTAAAATCAATAATTTAGCCTATATATATAACACTACAAAATTTGATTTAAATTTAAAATCCAAAGAACGATCCATAAATTGAAAAGTAGGTTGCAAATATGTTGATAAAGGGTAATAAATTCCACAACCTATTATAGCAAAAGATATATATAAGAAATGAAAATCACTCATACACTCTACAGATGGTTATCTTATTAAAGTATAAGGATACTCACTGTAGTCACAAATAAATGAATCAATATAAGTTTTCATTACAAATATAAATTGTCCACTAATAATTTAAATTGTTTTACTCACCCAAAATCTTGAACTTGTAATTCCTGCTATTTATCTATTCTCATCATAACCAAATGTATTATCAGCTATTTATTTGCTAGCTTATAATCCTAAAATTATATAAGCGAAACTCATCAAAATAGCCATAAAGAAAAAAAAATTATATTAACTCCAAATAGCAGAATAATCAACCATTTTTATGGGTTTAAATTCAGAATTATTATTTCCCATCCAACCTACTTGAGAATCAAATGCTAGTGTTATTAATCCATATAAATCATAAACTCTTAAAAACACTGCCAAAAAATTTGTTATTGTCAGTTTAAAATGGAATACTTATTCATTTTTCCTCTTATCAAATTCATTAAATTCATTAACTAAACTATCAACTATTAAAGGAGCTATTGCTTACCAATCTGGGTTAATTTCTTTTTTTTCTGGTTAAACAGGAGCAAGTTTACTGTAAATATCTGCTAATTAATTCATAAATCTTTATGTATATTTTTTTGGTGCAATCCAAATAAATGTATGCATACTTTTACAAATTTACCATATTTTTTTTTTAAATTCACTTGGATTGTTTTATATTTTGTATTTATTATTTAATTTCTCCAATTCTATTTCATATAAAAACTCAATTTATTCTTGACCTTAATATTAATTTTTACTTTCTTCATTATCTTTTTCATTTGGTGAAATTTTATTCAATTCTTTTCTTTCCTCCTAGAACTTTTAAATGAGTATAAAATTATCTTCTTCAAATCCACCTCGAAGATCCTTTTAATCTCTTATAAAATTCTTTAAGTCAGGAATGATATCTTAAAATAAGAAATACTTTTGAATTGCTATCCTTTGAAGCGTTTATAAATAAGATTCATTTTCTTATTTAAAATTATCATAAATTAACAAGGCAAAGTCTTCTGCAGATAAAGTAAAATTATCATTTATTTATTTAAAGCTCTCATATTATTATAAAGTTTCAAAATCATCATCTAAAGCTAATACTTCTAATACTAAAAGGAAGTCATCTTTTTTTTAAAAAATTTAATAGATTGCTTGCCAAAATCTCTTTGCTCTTTAAGGATCCTTTTATAAAGGTTTGAATTAATCGTATTCCGCTTTGTCTTCTTATAAAATAGTAGAATTTCTCTTTCTTGATCTTTCTTTGAATGTTAACTTTTTGTTTTTTTTTCGTTTTACCTCTTCATTATTCTTTTTTTCATCTTCCAACTTTTATTTTACTTCTTCAAGCATTTTTATTTCATCGTTTTTAAGCTTTTCATTTGTCTCCATTTCTTCTAATTCATAAAATCCTATTTTGCACAATAAACAGGAGAATAAAAAATCTTAAATTGTGTACCAAAATCCACTCTGCTCTTATTATTGTTTCATAGTATCTGCAGATGATTAAGATTAATTATCTATTTAAGTTAAGCTTAAACTATTTCTATATCTATTTCTTCTATTATTTTGAATTTATTCTAATTTCTTTTTATTTTCATAATCTTTTTTTGTAACAAGAATATATTTAATTCCATTTTCTTAAGGTTCTGGATGTTCATACATATTCACTGGATCTCCTTATTAAGTTAAATCATTTTTTAGTTTAACTGAATCTCTATGTTGAACAAATCTAACAAAAAGTAAGGATGAAATTTCTTCGGTTGCATAAACCCCTTTTTTTGCAAATTATTCCATTACTACTTTTAGTACTTCTTTTTTTCTCTTTTCTAATTCTTCTTTGTTTAACAAAACAGAATAAAAAATGGATAATACAGTTACACTTATTATGATAATTAATATAGAATAAGCTACAGCTAATTATGCAAATATGGCGAACTCCGAAGAAGAGTTTTCATAATAATCTGCTAAAATTGGAAATATAGTTCCAATTGGACCTAATATAAATGTCCATACTAAAATTACAACAAGGGGTTGGGTAAAATTTTAATATTAAATTGAATCTTGTTTTAATGTCATCTAATATTTGTAATATAAAAATGATAATGGTAAACCAATTGCATTTGCTAATAATGCATTTTTTGTTACTTCATTATCTACAGACAAACCTATTGGCATTAAGACTATAAATGGTACTATTGAGCCAACTATTGTAATATCCGAAATTCTATTTAAAAATCTTCCAGGTTTAATTTGATTTTATAATTATTCTTCATCTTAAATTTTCTCTTTAGCTTCAAAAGATAAAGCATGATTTGTTAAAATAAATAAAACAGAATGAATACTCAATAAACCAATTATCTATAAGAATAAAATTATAATTTACTGTTCCTTTTTTAGTTCCAGTTGCTGTGATCGGTTCATTCCAAGCAAAATAACAGATGAAATAAAATGATATTATATAACATATGGAATTATACCAAACTGCATAATTATTTAAGTTAACATACTCGTAAGCAGTAAATAACAATTTTTCTGCTTGCTATGGTAATTTTATAAGATATATTGAGACCACAAATATATAATAAATAATAAGTATTAAAATTGGAATAATTCCAATACATAATAAAACAATAGTAGCTATGTAAAATTTTTAATCGTCAAAATATTCATAAAATGTTAAAAGAATTCCTAAAGGTAGAGCAAATGAAAAACATGAAAAAAACATTACCAAATATTTTTAATATTTTTTTTCAGATCTAAAAAATGCTACTGTTAGCCACATCAAAGATATAATTAATGGACAAATACCTATTAATCTTGAAATCGAACCGATATATTCATTTTCAAAAGTCATGCTCCATACTTTTATGCATATAACACTTAAAACAACAGTAAATAATAAAGTCGTAAATAAATATAAATTCTTTTTCGTGAATCTTGTATTACTTATAACAATTCCTAAGATTATAAAAATAGGTATTCCAATAAGTAAAAAACCAAAAGTTATAATTTAATCAAAATCATATGATTGTAATCCAGTGATTAAATAAATATAGCAAATGATCTCAATTGTAGCATAAAAAATTGAAATAAATATTGGAACAATATATTCTAATTTTATTTTCTTAAATAAAGTAGTTACTTTTTTATTCGTTTTATAATTTAGATAATCTTTTTATATTTGTTCATTTGCATATTTTAATAATGATAATTAATATAAATCCCAACGAATTGTCTTTTATGGGATATGAAATAATCCTTTTATTAAAAATATTGATAAAAAAAATATTACTATAAAAGTTGATGGAGCAATTATTTAAATGATATTATCAATTATATATTCTAAAGTTGTTGATTCAATTAAAAGTATAAAAGCTATTATTTTAAATATTATAAAATATGACACTAAAACACAAAAGCTACAATTAAATAATGTTGCTATAAGAGTTGATGAAATTTTCTTAATATAATATAAAAATCCTCTATTTATGATTGAGTTTATAAAAATAGCAATACTTAATATACAATAGCCAACTCCTACATAATCCCCTGAAAATCCTTCATAATTTCCAAAAAGGTTAAGATGGTATCCTACCAGAACCGAAACTGGTACTATTATTAAAACTATAAATAAAACTATCCAAATCCAATACTCATTTCTTTTTTAACATCTAAAAATTTTTTTCATTATTACATTTATGATGATAATGTATATAAAAAAGCATATACAGGCAATTATTGAGCTAGTTATTAGCGAATTTCATCATTTTCGATGATTGAACTATTTTGAATTGCCTAAGATTAAATTTTTTTAATTACAATAGATTCTGAGATAACACTAAAGAAAGTGCTCCAATACACTATTGTTGTGATTAATTCATTGAGACTGAAACTTAATTATTTTTCTTGAACTCTACATGTGCAATATGTATCAAATCTTTCTTCAAATTCTTTGTATTTTAAAAAAAATTATTCTACATAACCTAATTCTCGAGCATCTGGAATAATTTCATTTTTTTGAATAAGTAGAGCTAATTCTTTAGCTTCGTCGATTTCGGGTATTGAAAATTTTATTTCTTCACCGTTCAAATAAATAAATAATGATTAGGGATTGATTTCTTCTTATTCTCCTTTTTATATTATAACTTATTAATCTTAATCTGGTTGCATATAGATTGAATTTCTACTTCTCTCTTACTTTACTGTATTCATAAAATTTGATAAATTTATTTAATAAAGATTTATAAAATTAAAATGATCTCATTTTTTTTAGGCTTAAGTGCTATTATTTTTCTGTTAAAATATATAATATTCTTTTGTCGTTTTTTAGTTTGTATTATCAGCTTTTCTTTACAAATCCATTATTATAAAGAAATAAGTTCAAATATATAAAGACTATTAACTTTTGTTAAATAATTTTATTTTTGACAAAAAATATTTTATTAATTCTTCTTTAATTGCATTCCCTTTAGCAATTTCTTTTTAAATAATCATTTCCTGTGTAGCTATCTAATAAAATTGAGAAATTCATGCTAGACCAGATTCATTAAAACTATTTTATAATTTAATTGAATCCTCATTTTTATTATTTTTACATGGTTTCTATAAAATTTTATTCAATATATTAATTTAATTGTTAATATTTCTTCATTCTTTAAATTCAAATTTGAGATTATTTACTTTTCAAAATTGAAATTGCTATGCTGCAATTACAAAAATTTTTAGAAAAAATTAAAACTCTTGAATTTAAAGTGTAATATCCTAACCTAAGATTTATATTCTTTTAAATTGTTAATAACTTATTAGAATTCTTTAACTGAAATAGTGTTTTGGGTAAAATTTAATTTTTTCATAACATCTTGTAATTTGTATTATTTTTTTCTCAATATTCTTTTAGAGAACCTAGAACTATAAAAAGAGGATATTTTACCCAATAAAAGTTTTTATATCTTTTACTTTATATAATTTCGTATAACTTCTTAAATAGCAGCCTTTTAGTTCTTAGATGCATAATTGTAGGAATTCTTAAATGTTTAAAAGACATTAAGCTAATTTTTAGAAGCTTGTAAGAATTTCTAAATCTAATTATTCATTATCCAGAAAAATTAGAATGTTTTAAAAAAAAGTTGAACACTTCAAATATTCATCTCTTTATTTAAAACCTAACTCAAAATTATAATTTAGTAAAGCAATTGTTAGTCTGACTTTTATTAATTCCCCAAAAAAAGGCTAATAAATATGTTAACATAATTTTTAAAAGTAAACATTTTTTTTTTAGATCACCACATTGTTCTAATATTTAAAAAATTTTTTAAAGCTACATTTACTACAATCCTATTTAATTGAATATATTCAAATTTATAATCTCTCTATTATTTTAACTTCTACTTTTTTTAATTTTATTTTATCTAAATTCTTTATATTATTAATACTAAAATCAATAGGTTTGAGATTAAGCTATTTTTAAAAAATCATAAAAATAATTTTCTTTTTTTGTCCATCTCTTCTTCAATAAAAGCTGATCAATTTAGCAATTAGACTTCATTTAAGGCAAATAGTTTTGGATTATCACTGTTTTGATTAATTTAAAAAAAGTTTCTTTCCAAAGATGTAAATTAAGCAAATTTTTAATAATCTTGAACATATTTCAATTATTATGATCCTTTTCTTTAGTAGTCCAAATTAAAATTGATGAATTATATAATATATCAATTATTTTAATTAATTTATATATCTTCTATTTAAATAATAATTGATTCTAAATAATTAGATTATTATAACACCATTAAATCTATTTTTTTTATGAATAATAAAAATAATATAAAGTAAATAAATTAATTATTAATATTGTTATATGATCAATATAGCCCATTCTTCTTTGCATAAGGGTTGTTTTTTTAATAGTTTTCATAGTTTTTTGGTTTTCCATCTTGAGTAAATAGACTAAAAGTACTAACATTAGAGTGAGCAATTTAATATGCTAATAATTAATTAATAAATTATGTACATGCTCCACCACCAGATCCACCACCATTATAAGCAGGTCTTCCATAACCAATATCATTGTAAGAGTTTTTCGTAGGTTATTAATATTATTATTTTGATGTTACTTAAGATATTGGAGACTTTTATAACATTTTTGTTTATTATTATTCAAAATTAGGCTATTTATGAGTTGTTTTAACACTTTATGAATAACCTTATAAATTAAACTATTATTATTATTATTAATATGTTTATTTCTATTATTATTATTTTGATTAAGGTCGATTATTATAATTTTACTGATATTAATTAGCTTTACCATATTTAGCTGGTAGCTACTTATTCGATGTTCCATAAGATTAACCATACTATTGATGTCCAAAAGGATTACCTCTTCCTTCTGCTATTTCTTATTATCTAACTTTCCTCATTTCTCTTAAAGCTTATTAAAATTCCAGATGTTCTTATTTCCATTTACCAGTTTTTTTTGGCCTTAAATATTTAGCAGCTCTTTTGTTCTATTCTTATTATTATTCTTTTATTTTTTAAATATCTGGTTCTGGCCCTATACAAACAGATTCATGTTTTCTGATTCTATCAGGATTGAATCTTCTTCCACATTTTCTACACTATTATTGTTATTTTAATCTTTCTTACTCCAACAAGAGCCATAACTTATTATGGTTATTCATATAAAACTTGTTATGATTTTTATCCAACTTTCATACCTCCTTATTACCTAACTTATTTTTCTTAATCTAACTTTTATAATACTTATTAAGCTATAAAGAATATTATTTATTTATACTTGTTGGCATTTATTTTCGATGACCAGGATCCATATTCTTCAAGTCATTTTAATATTTTATTATACAAGTTTTTTGATGAATATCAAGAGAAGCTGTTCCAAACTCTCTCCCACATATTGTGCCTATAAATGAGTTTATTCTGTACAAAGCAATGTTTTTGGACGTGCTCCAAAACCTCCTCCATTTAAATAATTCAAATTATTATCATTTGTTTTTTAATTTGTTTTTCTCATTAATTTATTATTAAAAAATCAAAAATCAACACTTAATTGTTTTAATACTAAATAAATACATATCTATAAAATTTTAAAAACTATAAATAAATATTATTATAAGTATAGTTCAATTTTTACTTTTTTAAGGAAAGTATCACTCAAAATCAAGAAACTCCTCTCTTATTTCATTGAATATATCTTCTATCCATACCATATGTAATGATGGATTATGTATTAATAATCTACCAAATAAAGCCTCTAAATCTTCACTCTTATATATTCTATGTTTGAATATTATCACTAAATATAATATATTAATTTTACTTATTAAATCTTTTTTTAATTCATAATAATCTTTTTTTTCTTATCCTTTTAATATAGGTAGTTCATAAACAAATTCTCCATTTAATTTTTCTACTTCCGCAACAAATTATTATATTTTTATTTATGATTTTTTATTTGAAGATTAAGCTCTCTACCATTTTTTCATTGATGCATTTAAATTAATTTTATCTCCAGACTATTACTCTTTAGACTTTAGATTTATATAATAAATTACAATATATTACATCAAATTATCAAGTCGACAATTTGATAGATTTTGTCCTTCTCTTCTAAAAAATACTGGTGGATGAGCTATAGGATCAAATTAATTCTTTTTTCTTTCTTACATAGAACCAGCACTTCCTATTCTTCTTTTCTGTGCTTTAATATTCATTTCATGCTCATATTATTCAAATTTCTCTTTTTTATTTCTATTATTTGGAGTTCTTTTTTTCATAAATGGCTGATTGTTATCAATCCTAAACTAAAATAAATTGATTAATCATACATTTTTTTTGTTTAAACAACTGCTTTAAATGTTTTTAATACATTATTAAAATCATCCTCACAATTATATTTACTCTCTTGTCTCTATTTTTAATCTAAAGACTGTTATGATAAATAATCATACAGCTTTTGGAGGTTTTATATTTATTAATGACTTTGCATTTTATACTGCAATTTAATGTTTATAAAGATGATCTACTGTAGCTCTTAAGCCTCCAATATTTCGAATATCCATAGCAAATGTTTTTTACATTCTATTTTATAAACTATAATAAAATAAATAATTATTATTTCTGAATAAAATAATAAATTATAATAAAATTATTTGAAATCAAGATTCTAAGATCCTTTAAATAATTTCTTTATCTGATAATTTTTATATTTCTTAAAGATCTGCTACATAAAAACATTCATTTAATTTAACCATACTCAATGTCTTTGATAAATATTTTATCATATATGTAGCTAATAATTAATTTCTATTTAAAGATTTTAAATTAACAGACAACTTCGAAAAGTATTCTTCAAGTAATTATATCAGATTTATTATATTAAAAGTTAATGATTCAATATTACTCTCTGGAGTATTATCAATAAAAGCTTATTTCATTTGTTTTAATTGTTTTAAACAAAATTATCCTCTTTCATCACTTAAAAACTTTTATTGTTCTTTTAAAAATTATGACTTTTCTACTTAAAGTAACCAATAGAATGAAAAACATCTTAATTTTTAAGCCAAATCTAAAAATTATTACTCAAGTTTTTGAATGTACAAACTAAAATTAAATGCACTTCTTGCAAAATTTAATTAATTCAAATATATTCTTTAATTAGCTTCAAATTCAATTTACAAATAATTTTTTATTAAAAATTTTCTATAATCTGTTTATTTAGGCTCTACTTCGACTAATACTTCAGCTAATTGTCTTTTTTAATTACATTATTCTTAAATAAGTGGACTCTAATAAATTTCATCCCAATTAATTCTATTTTCTTCATTAATTTATAAACATCCTTAAATTAATTATTATAAATAAGAATTATCTAATTAAGGTACAACGATTGGTTTACAAATTTTTTCTTACAATTAAATTATATTATCAGCAATTATGGGAGGTTTTTAGAATAGTAATTCATACAAAATCATACCTAGAGACCAAATATCACATTTAGACGTATAAGGTTATCTTAATATAACTTAAGGAGCCATATAAAGAGGAGTACCGGCAATACTTGTCATTAAATCATTTTCAAAATCTATTTTCTTTGCAAATCCAAAATCTGCTAGTTTAGGAATTCCTTAATGTAAAAGTATGTTAGCTGGTTTTAAATCTCTATGAATTATTGAGTTTTAATAAAGTGAATAATAACTATATAGATCTCATTCAATACCCATATAAGATTTGTCTTAGGATATTGATTACAGAATTCGAGTCTAATTTACCTCTTTTGATTATTTCTCTTAAATCACCACCATTACAAAATTCTGATATAATATAAAAATTGTTTTGAGTTTCATAGAAATCTAAAAATTTAACAATATTTTTATGATTAAGTTACTTCATTGATCTAATTTCATTTAGTAATTATTAAGTATTAGTCTAAATTGTTATTTTATATAAGTTACTTGATTAATCATTCTTCTATCAATTACTTTAATTGCAACAGGTATTCCATCATTTGATATTCCTTTATAAACAGTTCCATATGCTCCTCTACCTAATAGATGATTCATATTGAAAGAATATTTTCCAACAAATTTTTACATTTTGTGTTAATAAAATTAAACGATCACATTTTTCTATAAAATAATATTTAATATAGTATAATATCACAAAACAATTTTAGATTAATGAGATATCAATTTAGTATTCTAAATTTATTAGTATTTTTGTTTTAGTATTTCTAAATTCTTTTTTCTTTCTTCAATTTCTAATTCAATTTATTTTAAAAACTAATTTGTTTTAGTTTCATATTATAAATTCTTATTGACATTCTTATAATCAGAATTCTCTATCTAATTTACTTTTTTTATAAATTATTCATAAACTCTTAATAATTTAATAAACCCTTCATTAGATAAAATCTATTTTCTTAAACACCATAATATTTAGTTAGAAGAATGAAATTCCTTTTAAAATATTACATTAATTAAGCTAAAAAAATAGTAGAATTTATAGAAATTCGAGAATAGCATGTACCATAACATTTGTTTATATTTCTATTTTCATCAAAAAAATTGAACACATAGGAAAAATGATCAAGTAATGATTTAAACTCTGAATCAAGAAATGATATTTTGAAATGTAAGTAATTATAACATAAATTTACTTGAGGAAAATCAATTATATTTAATGCAGTCTGAATATATAATTTGTATAGTAAATATTGATCTTTAGCATAATCAATATTTCCTATATAGAGTCCACTGTGAATATTAATTCCATTTATCTTTGGCTCATGAATGCAATTTCATTAAGATCATTTGGTTAGGGTCTAAGTTCATTAAATTATTATATATATAATCAGTAATGGGTTTTCGTAATATCCGCATGAATTTTCAGCAGACCGTACGTGATTTTACATCATAAGAATATAGTTTTATTAATCAGTGTAACTATGACTAAAGTCCATGAAGAATTGTCACCATTTATGAAAATCATCATAAAATAAAATTTTATTAAATTAATGAATTTTTTTATAAAAATAATCAGATTTTAAAGTTAGAAATCATGCCTGTTACAAAAATACCAACTTATTTAGCATATTTAAAAGTAGAAATATTTTCTTTATAAATATAATCTCTGCAACTTTTCCATTTAGATAGTTTTTCTAATAGTTTATCCTACTTCTATTCTAAATCAATAAATTATTCTATTTTTAATGGAAAGTCATCGATTTCTAATATTTTTTTTCTTCGCTCTTCAAATTACAGCTATAATAAATACTCTACTATATTAACTAAATGAACAGAAATAAGAGTTAACCAATCAGAATTGTTAAGATTTATTGGTTAATTCTCAAAAAAATGAGAACGATTTATTTTCATTTTTTTAAGAACTTATTCTTCATATTTTAATTATCCATTAATTTATATAAATTATTCTAATCTATTAAAAATACTTATTAATGAATTTCTAGTTGTAGGTATAACAAATTTATGATACAATCCTAGACCAACCCCTCCAACTACACTTCCAATAAGTGCTCCTACAACAGGTAAAGGTATTAATATTTATCCTGCCATTGCTGATCCAATACCAATCGATACTTTTGCTCCAATATGTCCCATATTTTTTAATTTATTTTACATACTTAATACTTTATTTGAAAATACTTTATGAACAGAATAAAGTAGAAATGTTTATCCAATTAAAAATCCTACAAATGGTAAATTCATTGAAAGAGTAGCCAAAGCTGTTGTTTCTGCTGTTCCATAACCAGCTCTTTATAATTTTTTTTACCATGATATATTATCATCAAGACAATCAATTATCAATATACCAATTCCTGATCCTATTGCTCCTGCTGCTAATATTGATGGATCAATTGGTTTAGGAGCACCACCTTTTTATGCTTAACCTATCTTATTACAAAACTTTTTCTTCATTTTTCTTAACTATTCATCCATATTCATTGAAAAATTAACTATCAATTTTGATTATCCATTTTTATCTATCTAATATTCACAACCTTCTTATTCATATAATCTTATATTTTTCACATATTCTATGTTTGTCTCTAAGATATGTTATACTCCTTAAGATAATTTCATATTCAAATTTTAATATTTCTCAACTTCTGTCCATAATTTTTAATTAAAATAATCAAATGAAACTATTACTATTTGATGTTAGTTCATATATAATACTATTTATTCTTTACTATGTAAATATAATTTAAATGCAGATCTCTTTCCGCTTGTTATTATATTAATCTTTTCAATAAAAAGTTCATCTTTTTCTTTCACAAAGTCTCGATCATTTCTATTTACAATTATTTATATTGTTTATATTGGCATTTTTTAATCCATTCCCATTCTAATTAAAGTTGTTTATAAACTAGAATTTATTGTTGGATTTATCATTTTTTCTTCTTTATATTCTAAATAAGAAATCAATATTTTTTTTGTAAATTCAAAATAGTTATTGAATTCTGGTCTCCAAAAATTTGATTTTTCTCTTAAATAATCATTTTTAAGTTCCCTAACTATCGTTTGTGAAGCATCTGTTTGAATTGCTTAAAATGTATTGACATTTGCTAAAGCAGGATAATCTTAAAAGATTTAATTAACTTTTAACATTTATTCATCTACAAATTTTGAAGCTTTAATTATAAATTATTCTATATCTTTATTAATAAAATAAATTATTTCTTTTATTTTTTCAAAAAGAATAATAAAATCTGCTTATTCAATCAAAGCAAATTCATGCATTTGTATTGCAAATTTATTTACTTAATTTTCAACTTACCCTTCCAATATTTAATGTAATTCTTTCGGATCGAAATCATTTTCTAATAATAAATCTATTGTTTCTTCAATACTAATAAAAAATTATGATATGATATTTTTAACAAATTTCATTAATTATTATATAAATCCATTATTTTCTCTTATCATTATAGACATACCTTTAAATTAAGAGATAGAATTTTCTAATTTATGCTATGTTAAATCCATGATTTTAAATTCAATTTCCTTTTTAGAAAACTTAGGTTTAATTTAAATGTATTTTTGAAAAAGTTCACATCCATCAATCAAAGTATTTGCTATAATTGCATTTCCAAGTTTAACTTATTTTTATTACATCATTTCCGCTTCTTATAATTCTTCAAGACTCCCAACATAACAATCTTATTAAATAAAGTATTCCCATATAGTTGTTAATAATTATTTTGGGCAAATGAGTATAGGTATTAGTGATCTAGTTTTGAGTAGCCTTTCAAAAGTATTAAGGAAAATTTGTTCTCTTAGATTGTATCTGTTCTATGAATTAAAAAGTGTAATTTTATGATTTTCTATTAAATTTAATCTATAGCTCATTTATTTAGGGTAGAAGGGGAGAGTTTAATTATTAGTTGATATTAAGAAAGAGCATTTAGATGGATCAATCAAAAAGGTTTAAGAAAAGATGATTACTAATTTATAGTTTTCTATTTTTGATGTCATTATTTTAAAGTTTTCAGCGGAGAAAATTGCAGGACAATTAAATCTTTGAGTATAGTTTTTGCATTCAGAAATGTAATCATCACATAAAACATATCCCTAAATAATTTAATGTTAATCTCCACAATATTGATAAGCATTTTATAAGAATTCATTGATCATGATAATATTGTATGTATTTAATAAAAATTATTCATTTTTAGATTTTAAATCTATCCTATTTATTAGCTGTAGGTTATGGTACAACAATAGGTTTAATATTCCTAAATGTATAAAAATAAATAAGAATACCAAATTTTTTGAGCATATTCATGAATAGTTCTATCACTACTAAATTTGCCAGATCTAATAGAATTGCAGAATGCTTTTTTAGCCCATGAGATTTTATCTTAATATAATTGATCAATCTGAAAATATAGAATAAATAAACTACTTTGATTTGTGCTTATGCATAATGATAGAAATCATGTGCAACTAAATAGAAATCATTTCTATTAGTGATAGAATCTAATAATCCATGATGATCATGTCCAAATATACCAGATCTAATAGATTATATAACATTCCATAATGGTTTTTATATATATTAAAAAGGATCTTAATTCTTCATATTATCTATTAATTTTCCAACTTCTTCAACTCTAGCCCCAAAAATAAATATATTATCAAGTCCAACTTCTTCAGCAATTTCTATATTTGCTCCATCCCATGTACCTAAAATGATACCACCATTCATAACAAATTTCATGTTAGATGTTCCAGATGCTTCTGTACCTGCAGTAGATATATGTTATGAAATATCAGATGCTGGAATTATAATTTCAGCTGATGATACATTATAATTTGGTAAAAATACTACTTTTAAGTAATGATTAGTGTCTAAATCATGATTTATAACTTCAGCAACTGAATTTATCAGTTTTATAATTCTTTTTGCATTCAAATAACCAGGAGCTGCTTTTCCTCCAAAAAACACAGTTCTAGGAGCAAACTTTCTTCTACCTTCTGTAGGAGTATCTTTTAATAAAAGATATCTATATATCACATATAATATGTTCATGAATTATCTCTTATATTCATGGATTCTTTTAACTTATATATCAAATAATGTATCTGCATTTACTTCAACATTACAATATTATCTAACCCATTTTATTAGTCTTAATTTATTATTCCTCTTAACTTTCATAAATTAAATTAAAGCTAATTAATCTTCACATTTATCTTCTAAATTTTTTAATAAATCCATATTAAGAACCCACTCATCTGTACCTAACCATTCATCGTACAATTTAGCTAATTCTTAATTACATGATCTAAGCCATCTTCTAGGAGCTACACCGTTTGTTATATTAATGAATTTCTTGGGTCTCATTTCATAATGATCTTTAAATAAATCACTTTTCAATAAATCTGAATGAATTCTTGCAACACCATTTACCATATGAGATCCTATTATTGAAAGATTAGCCATTCTTATCTTTTTTATTGGACCTTCTTCAATCAGTGATAGCATTGATAATTTATGTGCATCTCCTGGAAATTTCGCACTTACTTTATTCAAAAAGATTAAATTCACATAATAAATAATCTCAAGATGTCTGGGTAATAAACTACCTAATAAATCTACACCCCATTTCTCTAAAGCTTCGGGTAATACTGTATGATTTGTATAACCAAATGTCTTTGATACTATTTCCCATGCATTTGCATGAGTCATTCCTTCTTAATCAATTAAAATTCTTAATAATTCTACAATAGCTAAAGATGGATGAGTATCATTTAATTAGATAGCTACTTTTTCTGGTAATGTTGACCAATCTCTTCTTACCTTTTTAAATCTTCTTAAAATATCTTGAAGTGTCGCACTCACTAATAAATATTCTTATTTAAGTCTTAATTCTTTTCCTGCATATGAACTATCATTTGGATATAAAACTGATGTTATGTATTCTGCTTTTTCTCTAGCTTCCAATGACTTGAAATAATCTCCTTCATTAAAACTAGTAAAATCAAATTCATTTGCTGGTACTGATCTCCATAATCTTAATGCTATAGTATTAAATGTCATATATCCTGGAATTGGAGTATCATAAGCTCTAGCTACTATAGTTTCCTATTATATTTATATAATTTTTATACTCCTGCTTCCCATAATGATTTCTCTTAACCATTCTCATGTCTTTTTACAACTTTTCCATAAAATTTAACTGGATATTATACATCTAATCTTTCTATTTCCCAAGGATTGCCTTTCTCTAACCAATAATCTGGTGCTTCTACTTATTATCCATTTTAAATCAATTATTTAAATATTCCATAACTGTATCTAATCCCATAACCAAATGCTGGGTAATTCAATGTTGCTAAAGAATCCAAAAAACATGCTGCTAAACGACTTATAATATATTCATTAATTACCCTAATCCTCCATTACCCAATGCTGGATCTACTTCCTCATTATATAAATCTTCCAATTTATAACCCAACTCTTTCACTGCTTCTGTGTAAGAATCTTATAATCCAAGATTTCCTACTGCATTTTATAGACATCTTCCAATCAGAAATTCAATTGATAAATAATACACTCTTTTGCAATCCTATTCATGAAAATACAATTAAGTGTCATTAAAACTTTCAATCAATCTATCTCTTATTGAATGAGATACTGCCTAATAACAATGAACCTAATGAAAATCAAATCTTGTTCTAGCTAATGAAAATTCCACATGATTCACTATCTACTCCTATATACTTTATTTTTTATTTTATCATTTTACCTTTTCTTGTCTGAAGGCAAATAATTTTACATCAAATGCCACAATTTCTCATGATTAGCCAAACTCTGTGTAGACCCAAACTCTGGTCTAAATAATTAATTCATGTTTGAATTCGATCCACAAAATGATTTCCTAGACATTAAGGTCGTCGAATCGTTGCCCGATACCTACTTTTATAAACCTGACATTTTTGTTTAAGATATTTATAAATTATTTATATTCCAACAAGCTATCAATAGTGAAATAACATAAATTAATTTTATTCATCATCAAATAGTTGCTAGTGCAAGTATTTCATACTTTAATCATCAATCCTCGCATTTTGCTTTATATGCTTAATATAACTATTTATTTATTTGCTCCTATAAGGCTTTATTATTTTAAGATCATCTTTTCCAAAATGACTTTGAATTGACCCAAATTTATTTTCCATGATTGGATAATTTTTTATCTGTGAATACATAGCTTATTTTTTAACTGATATTGTTGGTGTCATGGGACTTATTGATTTTGATAATTTATTACTGAAAGTTTTTGAAGAATAATAATTACTTTACTTTATTGGTGAAAATTGATTTTTACATATCAATTCTGGCAAAGCTATTTGATGCCATTAATTTCTTAATTAGATTGGATCCTTTGATTATTTAATAATTTCAACAATCTCATTATTATTAAACCGACTCTAAGTATACTGATTTTCAGACTTATTATAGAATATTCCAATTCCATTTAATTATCCATTTTTTAAATCTCCAATATATTTGTCTCCTGACTCAAAAATGATTCCTCCCTTACCATCTAATTTCTAGTTTAAGAAGTAACCATATTCAAATTTATTTAATTTAATATCATATAATACTCCAATTCTTCTATTTTCATTTTAATTTATAAGAGTGCTAAAGAAAATTTATGTTTCATCTATTAATTTCCAATTCTTAAGTTATGTTTTTAACAATATTAACTAGTTTATATAATATTATTACAAAATAAGAATTATTTAATTTGTTAATAATGTCTAATTCTTCTTAATCTTATGTTTGAATATTGTCTAAGATTTTTTCTCCATTAAAGTATTCATACTTTATCAATCCTATTTGCTAACCATTCTCATATTTACAATACTTAAACTTATTAGAATAAATTAGTTAGCAATATCCTTACAAAAGTCCATTACTAAATTGACCTATTATTATATTATCAATATTAATGAATAAACCAACTCCATTTATTTTATTATCAAACCATTATCCATAATAAAAAGAGCCATTGCTCCAATAATAGCCTCTCTCTTTTAATAACATCGTTAATTTTATTTTTATAAAACATTTAATAACTTAAAATCATGAACAGCATCATCGATCAATTAAGCAAACAGGATTTTTAAAGTATTATCTACTATCCTATAATAAGGCTGCTTTATTTCTGTAAATAAGTTTCTCTAAGAAAATGAAAAATCAAAATCCTTTCAAAAAGAATATCTTAAATTATTTACAACTATCTTGAATTCATTATAGGCAATCATTGTTGAATAAGAAAATAAAGAATTTAAATTTAAACTATTTTAAATTCTTAGATTGCTTACAAGATCTTAGGATGTTTCCCTAAATATTTAATCTTAAGAATTTATAGTTTTATTAGAATTGATGTAAATTATTTAAAAATAGACCTCGTAATCATTTACTATGATGCAAATAGAAAATTTGAGTATTTAAAAACGATTGATTTATTACAACAATAAGGTATATATTTTTGTTTTAAATCTATAATAGTTACTTTAAACCTTTAATTCTAAATATGTGCATTCCCTTTTAGACCTTATGACATCTTCGAATAAAGATTTAAAGTTAAGTCTATTGGATTATATTAAATTGGCTATGGAAATAGATGGATAATTAATATAATCTGAAGTTTCATCTTTATATTATGTTGGAAAGATGTTAGTATTGCTTGAAAATAATGATCAAGAGATTAAGATCTAGACTTCCAATTTAATTACAAAGCTTTTAGATTGCTATTAATTTAGTGAAAATTTTAGGAAACTAACAGGAATGGCAACAGTTATATAAGAAATAGAAAAAAAGGATAATGATAAATTAGAAGTTAAAATACCTCTGTTAAATTTATTAATGAGAATTTCATCTGATAGTAAGAATTATTCTGATCTAAAAGTAACAATTATTAAAATTTTATAAGTTATATGGAATTGTGGAAATTTTACTTTAAAATTTAGATCATCAAGAATACATGATTGTTACAACAGTAATAAATATTTTTGGTTAACTGAGTTTTGACGATGAATTATCATCAAGAATTGCATAAAAAGGATTATGTATGAATGATTGTAAAATTAGAAAAAATAATTAATCTTGTATTTATGTGCCATCCTCATAGAGTTAAATAATTAAAGTTTATTGATATTAATAAAAAGGATTATCCTAAGGCTATATTGGAATTGTAAATATACACATTTAGATTATTGAGATATTTAGCTTCACTAAATAGACATAGACACATTTTTAAATAATTATTTATCCCAAGGTTATTGCAATAATTTATTGATATAGAAAATTTTAATAAAGCATTAAATGCATATAAAAAATTAGTGGATGATTTTAATTAAATTGAACCTGAAGATTTATTATGTATGTAAGAAACATTACAATAATCAGCAGAAAATTTCTATCTGCAAAATACAATATAGAAGATAGGAAATTATGAAATTTTGGAATAGATTGGAAAAGGTGCATTTGGATCGGTTTATTTGTGTAGATTAGGAGGAAACTTCTATGCAATAAAATAAATAAATGATGTAGAGACTTTATAGTATAGAGAGGTGTAAATTCACCTTGAATTGAATCATCCAAATATAGTTAAATTATATGAGTGTTTTATTCATGAACATTCATTATGTTTAGTGATTGAATATATTAAAGGAATGAATGTTTAAGAATTGATTAAATTAATGAATGAAAAAAATTAGTAAATTGAAGAGGAAAATGTATGGAAAATATTGATAGATTTACTTTCAGTCTTAAGATATTTACACTTTGATAAGAATATAGTTCATCGAGATTTAAACCCAGCTAATATTATGGTAGATTCATCTTATTCTATAAAAATCTGTGATTTTGGATTGGCAAAACACTTTTAAGAAGACATTATAAATAATTCATTTGTTGGAACATTAATTTATACATGTCCATAGATAGTAGAGAATAAAGCATATTCAGAGAAAGCAGATGTTTGGGCTTTGGGATGTATATTATATGAAATGCTTTAATAAAAGCCTGCTTTCTAATCAGCAAATCCTTTAATGTTAGCCAAGAAAATAGTTTAATTAGAATTTGAGCCAATCAATTAAGGTATATATAGCAATGAATTAATAAATATTGTTGAATTATGTCTTTAGAAAGAGGAAGATAAAAGACCATCAGTTAATGAATTATTAGAAATGATAAGTTTAAAGGTTGTAATTTTGATGGATAATATCAAATAGGAGAAAGATGATTTGAAAAGCGAGTTGTAAGATTTGAGATCAAAAATCAATGATTAATAATATGAGACAAAAAAAGAATATTAGGAACCAGGATAGTAGGTTTGGAATATATTTTAGAAATTATTGTAATTATCACATCATGATTACAAAACTATTGATGCAAAGAATTAATATTTGATTGAATAATTTAGAAGAAAGATTAGTAAACCAGATAATGAAATTAATATTTAGACAGAATTGACTAAATTAACATCTTTGTCTAAAGAATTTATATCCTATTTGCCAAAGATAACATATGAACAATTGTTTTTTATAATTGAGTCAGAATGTAAATAGTAGTAAATTTGATAGATATTATTTGTGTTAAATTAATGAATTTGGTATAAAATGTTACTCTTGAAAAATTTTTTAGTAGTATTTATTTGAGATTGAATAGAAAAGAATCGATTTAGAATTTAGGAAATAAGATATTACATAAATTTAATTGTTATAATAAAATTAATGTTTGGTTAGAATGTCGATACTTAAGATCTAAAAATTCTTAAATGTGTTCATGATTATAAAACAATGAGTAAGAAATTAAAGATTCGTGCATTCGGCTAATTTCATTAATGTTAATACAACTGTGTGAAAGACATAAATTCGAAAACAGTAGAGACTTGTTTCAAGTAATGTGAATTAGGTATGAATGAAGGAGATTGATTAGAGCTGGATAATTATTTTGAAGAGAAAAAGAAAAGAAAGATAGAGAATAAGGTGTTTTATGCATTGCCTATATATAATAATTCTGATCCATCAAAGCAATATTTGATACCATAAGAGTAATAAGGAGATTATTAAAAAAAGACAATACAATTTGAAATAGAATCTTAACGCAAATTAAACGAATTGAAAAACATTTTGGATGAACGTGGTAAGATATATAAGTTGTGATTTAAATATGGACATAAATTTATATAATGTAAATAAAATTAATTTTTAATTCTGTAGCTAGAAATGGCCACTCATTATAGATTAGATGAATAGCATCATTTGCTCTCAACTCATAAAACAAAGTTCCAATTACCAAAAGGACACTTCTTGTTTACATCTGAAAGTGTTAGTGCTGGTCATCCTGATAAGTTATGTGATTTCATAAGTGACAGCATTCTTGACGCATGTTTAGAATAAGATCCAAATTCTAAGGTAGCATGTGAATCAGCATGCAAAAACTCTCTTGTTATGGTATTTGGTGAGATAACAACAAATGCTTAAGTACCTTATGAGACAATAGTGAGAGAAGCAATTAAGAATGTCGGTTATGATAACATAAGTAATCAAATTGATGATAATATATAGATAAGGGATTGGACTACAAGAATGCATCAATAATAGTATCTTTAGATTAGTAATCAAGAGAAATCAATTAAGCTGTAGTAGGAGCAAAACATGAAGATGAGATTGGAGCTGGAGATTAAGGATTGATGATTGGATATGCATCAGATGAGACTCCTGAATTAATGCCTTTAACTCACCATTTATGCAATAAACTAATTGAAAGAGTTTAAGAATGTAGAGTAAAGGAAATATGTCCATGGATGAGACCAGATGCAAAAGTTTAAGTTACTGTTGAATATAAAAGAGATGGTGCAACATTCTTCCCAGTAAGAATCCATAACGTATTAATTTCTTAATAACATGATGAGAAAATTACACATATTGAAATATAAGCTGAATTACATCAACATGTTTTAAAGTATAAAATAATTATATAATAAATAGACATGTATTACCATAATAATATGTTGATGAGCATACTCAATATCATTTAAATCCATCTAAAGCATTTACTGTAGGTGGACCATATGGAGATGCAGGATTAACTGGTCGTAAAATTATTGTTGATACTTATGGTGGATGGGGTGGCCATGGTGGTGGTGCATTCTCAGGAAAAGATCCTACTAAAGTTGATAGAAGTGCTGCTTATGCTGCTAGATGGGTTGCTAAATCACTTGTTGCATCCAAATTATGCAAAAGAGTTATGATCTAAGTTGCTTATGGAATTGGTATAAGTGAACCATTATCTATCTCTGTTAATTCATATGGAACACATGTCGAAGGATATGATGATGATGATCTATCTGAAATTGTCTAAGAAAATTTTGATCTTAGACCTGGAGTTATTATCAGAGAACTTAAATTGAGAAGACCTATCTATGCTAAAACTGCTTCAGGAGGGCATTTTGGAAGATCTGAAAATGAATTCTTATGGGAAAAACCTAAAATTATTGACATTGCTGCATGGAAATCTAATAAAGAATAACAATAATAAAAATGAATAGATTTGAATTATTTAATAAACAATAAATAAACAAGTAATCCCTCATTTTTTCTTATTTAACTCTGCTCCTAATATTTTTAATTACTCTCTTAATTACAAGTTCTCTATCATCGTTTTCTAATATAATTCATATTTATATTACTTCTATTATTTCTTAAATGTTCTATTTCTTCTTTATTTACTGGATTAATTTTATATCTTCTTTCTCTATCCTATTAATTTATTATCATTATTCTTACAAATCTGCTTCTGTTAAATTTGGATATCCTTTACTCAGATGATAAGCGAACATTTGAATATATGACACTTTCTCTTCTAAATCATTTGTTAATTTTATTATTTTCCCTGAAAATTGCTCCCTTATTGTCTTATTCTATATTTCTAATTCCTAAATTCTATTTGCCAATGATTCTACTACAATCTTATCTTTCTTTGTTAATGGTGCATCTGACACTTATTTTTATCTTGCCTAAAAATCTTTTAATGTATGCACATCCTTAATTAAATTCTATATCTCTCCTTACATTTCTACTATTCTCTTCTGTTTCTATTCATTATCTTTATTTAATTCCTCTATTTCTCTTATACTTTTTATCCTTAACTCTTCTATTTCTCTTATGCTTTTTACTTTCAATTCCTCTAATTATTTCTTCAAATTTTCATTATTCTAATTTGATTCATTATACTAAGACTCCAATATTGAGCAGTCTTACAATTAAGATTAAAGCAATTTTTCCAACTCTATTAATTTAGTATTTTTTTGCTCTTATTCCTACTTTAATATTTCCTGTTACTTTTTCAATTTTTCAAATTCTTCAACTGTTTCATTCAATTTTTCTTACATCTAAATAATCTTGAGTATATTTACTTTTTATTTTTATTTTTCCATTTATTTCGACTGCTTTCTCAAAATTTCTAATTCTTCCTATTGTTTACTATTTTTTTCTGATAACTCTTTGGTTAGCTACTTAATATAAATAAAATACATTTGTTTAATTGTCTTGCTCTGCTACTAATGAAAGTGCTTATTATAGTTCACCTTCCAATCTAAATTTATCTTAAACTATCTCTCTCAACTCTTTTAGTTCCTGATGACAAAGTCTTAAATCTTCTTTTAATTATTCATTCTATTATTTAAATAGAGCTATTTCAACATTTAGTTTTGAATTTATTATACTTTATTCATCAATTATTTATTAAAGAGCTGCACATTTTTCTATAATAGTTTCCATTGAATTAGTTGAATTTCTTGAAGCTTTTTACTTATCCCCTCTTCCTTAATCTTCCTATTACTATTTCAGAACAACAATTTCATTCTACAATTATTTTATTTAGTTTTATTATTCCTTTGATTTTTTCTCTAATACTTAATACTCTTTGTAAGATATTGTATTCTATTTATCCCCTTATTAAGCTTATTAATATGATAGATTTTACAAATAAGGATTAAAATTAGTTAAATTAGAAGACTCTTAGCTTTATTTAGTCTATTACTATAAATTGATTGATTATATTTATGCTTATTATTATATTATTAACTTCTTTTAATCTTGGATTTCTCCTTTAAGCTCTATTATTTAATTATTCAACAATTCTCTTTCTTTTACTAGCTATTCCTAAACTTCCAAATTCTATTTTTATTATTCCAACAATTAAGAACTTAATTCTTTTATTTAATCACTTTCCTCTACTTTCTTATTATTAATATCTTAAATTTCTGATTTCTCTAAATCAGGTTAATTTTATAGTTCTTAGATTTTGATTTTGAGCTCTTCATTTTAAGTTTTAAGTTCTTTACATTTAAAATCTAGAGCTTCCATCTCATTTAGACTATTTTACATCATTCTACCTTCACTTTCAACATTATTTAATTACTATTTTAATTCCTAAATTAATCTATGTAAATCATCAATTTAAGATTCATGCTTTTATTTTTATGACAAAATTAGATTTTCATATTTTTATTCCATCTGATAAGTTTCCTCTTACATTGTTTATAATTAGACATTTATTTTATCTAATTAAGTTTCTCTTTCTTTTAATAAAACTTAAGACTTTTATAAAGATTATATCATATCATCTTATTCCATTCTTTATCGTTTTAGTAAAGCAACCTCTTGTTAATAATCTTAATGCTTTTTCTCTAATTATTCTTTTGATTATTATCTATATTCTAAATTCTTTAATTCCAATTATTCAATCTAAGTTTAAAATCCATTAATTTCCTCTTCCATTCTTTTTTTTTATTCCTAAAATGCAAATGCCGCTTTTTCAAAATCATCACGTAATTATAATAAACTATTTTAATTTTCTTAATTTAGTTTTAACTCAAATTTTTTTGAACTTTATTCTAATTCAATTAAATGATCACTTTTAATTTTAGCTATTTAAGATTCCATATCTTGATTTTAATTATTAAGAACAGTAACTTAATTTTTCAATAACTAAATCTCAGAAGAATATTATTATTCTAAATCTATTATTTATTAAACTGATTCATCAAGTTTCTATTAAGTCTCTTCTAAAAGTATACTTTAAGAATTGAATTCATTTAATAGCTTTAGCTCTTTCTCTTATTCTTCTCTTAAACTAACTTACATTAATTCAAAGTCAACATGAATTTTTTCTTGTTTTGCTACTAACTCTTAGATTTATTACTATAATTAATTAATTTTCTCTATACTCAATTCATTATTTTTTTATTCTTGCATAATTTAAGACTTTTAAATATCTATTTCACTTTAAAATTGTTAGACCATTAAATTTTTTTACTCTTATTCTGTTTTTAAATTGTTTTAAAGTGCATCATTTTACAACTTGAGATTATCCATCTCATTTAATTTAAGATTAATAGATTCTAACTCTTAAATCATAATTTATTTTTGGCTTTCTTCATTTTATAATAATTTAGTTAAATCGTCAATTTCTTTTTAATATTAAACTATTTTATCTTTCATTTGTTCATTTAAATTTTGTTATTCCTATTAGTAATCTAATAATAATTATTTCTATATTTTAATCTCATCTTTAAGCTGACTATTCTCTTACTCATATTAAGTACTTAATTGTAACTTTTAAATACTCAATTTATTTAGAATCATCTCATCATACTATTTAGTAAGTTCATCACGTAATAAAGCATATTATTCTTCAAATTTTTATCTATTATTCTCCAACTTCGTACTTGCTTCTGAAAGATCTTGTTAAAGCTAGTCTATTTTTATATCTTTTTGACTATCACTCTATGTAACTATTTGAAGTTAAGGGCTACTAATTTATTCATATTCTTTTGATTTTTAACTTAATGTCTGTATTTCTTACATCAAAACTTTAGTACTAGAATCATTTTTTAAAGTTTATTATTCTAAATCATTCATTTTTATATTTATGGTTTCTGTCCATAATACTAATTAAGACTAAAATTAATTTTTAACTTCTTCAAGTTATTTTATTGTATTTTCTTTTTCACTAATCTACGAAGTTAAAATTTCAACTTGATTGTTAAGTTCTAATTGAATTCCTTCTAATAATTGAAGTTTTTATTTATAATTATTGTTCTCTTCTTATAATTAAGAAATATTTTATTTTTAATCTTAAATTTAATTCTATAAAATAATTAAATTTTCATCCTTCTCTTTCAATTAAATTTTATTTTCAGCTTCATACTTTACTATTTCTTCTTTTTAATTCGATATTTCTTCTAATATTTATTTCTTTTCTTAAATACTGTTTTCTTTTTATTAATCAAATTAAATTTACAATTAATTTTTTTCTTTTTATAATTCATCAATAAGAATTTCAAATTAATTTAAATTCTATTTTAATTGTTCATTCAAGTTTTATTCTTATTTTGATTTTTCATTATGTTCTATAATCTAATTATTAAGCATTGCAATTTCATCATTTTATTCTTAATTTCTTATTTATAGATCCTTAATTTATGTTTCAAAATCTATAATTTATTAAGAATTCTAAATAATTTTTTGTTCGTTCTCTGAAATTTAGATATTTAATATTTCAATTTATTAATTTAAATTTTCTGATGATTTAGTATTTTATTAATTTTTTTCCGTTTGTAACTTCAATTAATTACTCAATTCCTATATTTTATTTTCTGAAATTTACTCTTCTTCCTTTAATTTTAAATTTAGAGACTTAATTGTATTTTCAAAATTTTCATAATCAAGATAAGTTTTATTTTAAAATTCTTTTTACATATTTTATTGATCTAATAATTTAGATTCTAATTAATTAATTTTCAATTCTGCTACTTCTTTTTCTTCCAAAAGGTTTAAGCATTTGCTGTCAAAATGTAATTTTTATTCAATTTCTTTCTAACACTGATCCTTAAGTTTTATTATTTATTTCTATTATTCTTCGATTTATTTTTTAAATAAAGTATTTTCATCTATGATTTAATTAATAATATCTTCCTGCTATTTTAACTTCATTTTAGATTACTCATTTATATTATTAATTTATTAAGACTTTTATTTTAACTCCTTAATTTCACTATTAACTTTTTCTATTTAATCTTCTAAGGATTTTATAAGTTTTTAGCTTTTTTGTTCTTAGGAAGATAATTATTGATTTAATTAATGTTTTTCATTTTACAATTTTTTTATAGATTCATTTTTTTCATTTAACTGCCTTTATATAGATTATTCTATCTTTACTTTTTCATTATTTACTTCATGAGTTTTTTATTATTCCTTTCTTAATTATTCTGCTAAATTCTAAACAATCGTTTTATTATCCTATTTAATTATGTCTAATAAATTGTTTTATTCTGATATTTGTATTTTATAATTTTCTATTTCTTTTTTTTATTTTGATATTAAATCTAAATTACTTTGATTTTTTTATAATTCTTATTAATATTTATATGTAGATGATTCTGATTTTTATAATCTTCCTATTAATTATTCTATATCTATTTTATGCTGCTTATTTTATTCTTATTAAGCCTCTTCAAGATATAAGCATTTTTGTTCTGATTTTTTCAAGGAAAAAGATAATTTTTCAATTTCTTTATTCAAATTATCTAATTAATCCTAATACTCTTTTATTTAATTTTAATGATCTTTCGTTTTAATATCAAATTCATCCTCCAATGTTTATATTTATTTTTTTTAGTAAGATTGCAAATTACTAATTTATAACTCCAATGATGTATTTTTTTTAATTTATTCTTCAAGTTCAAGTCTTCTATGCTAAAGATCCTCTTACATTTATACAAATTATTAATTATTTTAATTTTCATTGTTTAGTATTTAATTTCCTTAAATTTAATTTGCTTTTGATTATTCATCACATCCATTGTTTTCAATCTACAAAATACCATTAATTTCATCCTCTACTTAATTTACAATTTCTTTTTTTTGGTTTTCATCATCATTTTGAGCAGAAATTAATTCTTCTACTAAATTATCCATATAAATTTTTATATATAAAAAGAAAAATTTATTTCTAATTTAAAAATAATTTAATTATTCATTTTTAATGGAATTCTAATATTTGTCAACATCTTAGAGTTTAAAATCATTATAATTGAATTGAAATACTTATACTAAATTGTATTAGTATGAGATTTAGAAAATATTTAATAATTTTATTAAAATAAGATTTAACTTTTTTGAGTGTGAAAAAGAATGATTTCCTTTATAAATTAAATAAAATTTTAATAATACTTCTAGGAAAAACTAAAGTTTTAATCCATTAAGGTATCTGATATACATTAATTTAACTTAATTTAAGTAAATAAAAATTATTAGAAATTTTGAGAAATACTATTATATAAAATGTATTTAAAAAATAATAAATAAAATATGTAATTCTCGAGGTAGAAATTTTGCAGAAATATAAATGAATAGTAGTCATTAAGAAGATTGCAAAATGATTTGCTTGATGAAAAACTAAAAGAGTTAAATGATGATATATGCGAAATTGCTATGGATATGGATAGCGATATTTTATAATTATTTATGACACCAAAAATTGGTCTTTATAAAGATAAGAAATTTTTTGTATGCAATTTCTTATATGAAGTTTAATCTTGATTTTCGAACAAATTATCCATATTTTCCTCCCAGCATTAGTGTTAAATCTGATATTCAACATCCTAATATAGATTTTAGGAATAAAAAATTCTATTTAAAATTTTTAGAAACATAGAATTGGAGGCCGACATTTGGGTAATCAAAATAATAATCACATTTAGATTATTAGAAATTATCAAAGCAATGAAATAGACTTTGCTATATGTAGATTTTACATATATTCCAAATGAAATTAATTGTCTTATTTTGGCATAATAGATATTATAATAAAACAATAATATAGCTGATAACTATTTTGAATTTATAGATTTTGAAATAAGTGAAAACTTTAAAATTAATTTTGAATTAGATAAATATTCAAATTCTATTGAAAGTATCAACAATTCTAGTCAATAAAATCTTTCCTAATAACCAGCTATAATTAATCTCTAAAAAACATAAAGACATAGTTAAAATGATAAAATTATATGTATTAAATAAAAAAATTGATTAATTTCTTTTTCTTACATAGTACAAATAACTAAATAAAAAGCGAAAACCTTATCAATAAATCACTCTAACTATTCAATATCTTTATTGTGTTATTCTATGATATAAAGTTCAGGCAATAATTGCAGCATACATTATTTAGTTTCATAACTATAAATATATTTATTAATATGAATACTTTAGTAATACTCTTTAAGATTCTTCATTCAAAAGTTTATAACTTACCCATAAAATAATTTATTTATCTTTTTCCTATGATTTTATTTAATTTTCAAGTTCTTAAAATGTGTGTCTAACCTTTTAGTATTTCTTAGATCTCAAGAATCTAATTGTTTAAATCATACATTTACCTATATTTTATCACTGTTTTATCTCTTTCCCAATAATTCTTCAATGCCTCACTACCTTCTCCATATTTTAATACAAGATCTTTTTAAAATATTCCTAATTCTATTGACATTTCTGTAAATCTTGGTAGAGTTAACATTTTGTCACCATTTTCATCTTGTAAATCAGCATTATTAGTAAAAATTTAAAGTAATTAAGATTTAGATAATTTATCTTAATGAATGGCTCTATAGAGAGTTTTAAACTAAAATCATAAAGCAGAAAAGTACTTCTGAGAATTCAATTAATTTATTTCCATCTAAATCTGCTGCTTTAAACAAAGATTCTAAAATAGTCTGTTGATCTTTTTTATTATTCGAGTATAATTCTAATATTTTAATAAGTAAACTATCATGATTAATATAATATCTTTGATTGCTTTATTGTTAATTTCTATATTACAATAATAAAGATTATATTTATTATTGATGTAACCATCTTGATGATTTTTCTAAAAGAAATTCATTAACATATTCATATGTTAACATTAAATCAACCTTACCATAATTCAAATCATTTTTAGATGAAAAATATTAATAACTTTCGGTTAATAGTTTTTATCCTATTTCATCCATTTCTCCTATCATGTAACAAAATTATGCAAGTAATTTAGCTTTTATATGATCTTCTTTTTCATAATAAATAAATTAATAAACTTAACGAATCTTTTTTTCAGCTACTTATTTAAATCCATATTTATTTTTATAATAATCATAAATACTCACATGAAATGGTATTTTATAACCTTCAGCTTATTTACAAATATCACTTAGAATCTGAGTAACTAATTTTTGTAATTATAAGATTGAAAATTATATTTTCTTATTGGGTTTCTTCTTCATTTTAACATCAGATAATAACCCATTAGCTACATCTGTATTCTAACTATAAACTCTTCTGAATCTTTTTTAATTTCTTTACTCAAGCTATATAGGATTATATCTACTCCTGATTTTATGTTTTTGATCCTTATATTACATTATTACTTATTTAACCCTTTCACCTTAAAGATTATTAAATATTATAGGAGAAGATTCAATTTCAAAATCATCAGATTATGATTCATCATTTTAAGTTTTATTAATATTTTTGTCAAACAAAGTTTACTTCTATCCTTTCTATTTTATATCATATTATTAAGAAGCTCTTTAATATGAATATTAATTGCTTGAATTATTAATTTCATCAATTTCTTAAGCAGATCTAGTGTGAATATTTTATTTAGGTTCCAAAATGGAATGTTTTTAAGTTTTTGATGACTTTTTGCTTTTTAAATTTAAAAAAAGTTCATTATCTAATACTAGTTGTTACTTTCTTTATTAAACTGATTATTGTTAGTTCTATTATAATTAATTCTATTAAGATACATCCAATAATTATGATTAAGAAGTCTATTTAGTTATTTTATTTATTTATTTTGTAATTTATTAGTTTTAATTTTGTTAAATTTGTTAATTTTATTAAATTTATTAAATTTAATAATTTTGATTTTTTTAAATTTATTAATTTTGATTTTATTAAATTTATTAATTTTGATTTTGTTAAATTTATTGAATTTGATTTTGTTGAATTTATTATTATTCAATAGATTTTTAATTATTAAATTCTCTATTAAATTCAATTTATTAAGAAGACTTTTTTTACTTGTTTACAATTATCGATTATTTTGACTTTTAAAGATTTTATAAACTAGGTTATCTTCCTTTTTTTATTGAAATACTTTAATCATAATTATTATTTAAGTTTGATTTAAGAGTCGGAGTTTAATTTTCTGCAAATTAATTAAAACTTGATGAATTTTTTGTTCGTTCTGAATTTATTGCTTGTTCAGAAAAATTTCTTTCAAAATTTTCTTCAAGTTAATTAAATTATTTTTCATCTTCTGATTATAAATATTATGATTCATTTTTTTCATTAACTTATATAATTTTTTTAAGCTATTACTTAGCTTTTGATCCATCTTCTTAATTTTTGACTCTACTTCTTTCTGTTAATTAATAATCTAATTCATCTTATTCATCAATATATTCTTCTTCTTATTATTCATGTTTACTTTATTCAAATTCCTTATTCATATCTGATAATTAATCAATACTTTTAAATTAAGATGACTCTTTTTCATCTTCCAAAATTTCTGGTTAATTAATTTCTATATTATAAGTTGTAGATATTTGTTTTAATGTATCTTATAAATTACTTTTTTATTTCATCAATTTTTTAATTTAATATTTCTTTTTTTTAATTATTTCGATAAAATCTTAAACTGCTAAAGTTAGTTTAGATTCTAATTCTTAGTTTGTATCTTCTTTTTCCATTAAATCAATCTTTTATTAGGTTTCTTCTTTTTCTAATCTAATTAATTTTTATGAAAGTTATTGTGATTGTTAAATTGATAAATTAATTGTTTCACAAATAGATTCTTTACAGTCCAATTCTGATTCTTGAATAAGTGAAATAGCTTCTTTTAATCTTTATTCTAAAATTAATTGCTCTTATATCGATTGATAATTTTATTACTATAATGCAATTTATTGATTAATAATTTATTAATCTTTATTTTATTCTTATTACTATAATTATAAAATTTAAGTTTATAATTGTTCTAATTATTAAAACTAATCATTTAATTAATGTGAATCTAAATCTGTTTAAACTTCTTTTGATTTTAGATCTAATTAAACTTATATCTCTTAATCTATATATTCAATATCAGGTTCTAAAATTTATTAATCTATTAAGTCTATTTTGAGTTTTTGTTCTTATTCTCTTAACTATTCAAATTTTTCAAAATTAGTATTTTTAACTTTATTTTTATTGAATTTGTATTCAGCAGTAGTGGTTTTAAAATTTAACAAATGAGAGACAATACTTTTTCCTTTGGCTAATTGTACATCAANATTTTCTGCAAATTAATTAAAACTTGATGAATTTTTTGTTCGTTCTGAATTTATTGCTTGTTCAGAAAAATTTCTTTCAAAATTTTCTTCAAGTTAATTAAATTATTTTTCATCTTCTGATTATAAATATTATGATTCATTTTTTTCATTAACTTATATAATTTTTTTAAGCTATTACTTAGCTTTTGATCCATCTTCTTAATTTTTGACTCTACTTCTTTCTGTTAATTAATAATCTAATTCATCTTATTCATCAATATATTCTTCTTCTTATTATTCATGTTTACTTTATTCAAATTCCTTATTCATATCTGATAATTAATCAATACTTTTAAATTAAGATGACTCTTTTTCATCTTCCAAAATTTCTGGTTAATTAATTTCTATATTATAAGTTGTAGATATTTGTTTTAATGTATCTTATAAATTACTTTTTTATTTCATCAATTTTTTAATTTAATATTTCTTTTTTTTAATTATTTCGATAAAATCTTAAACTGCTAAAGTTAGTTTAGATTCTAATTCTTAGTTTGTATCTTCTTTTTCCATTAAATCAATCTTTTATTAGGTTTCTTCTTTTTCTAATCTAATTAATTTTTATGAAAGTTATTGTGATTGTTAAATTGATAAATTAATTGTTTCACAAATAGATTCTTTACAGTCCAATTCTGATTCTTGAATAAGTGAAATAGCTTCTTTTAATCTTTATTCTAAAATTAATTGCTCTTATATCGATTGATAATTTTATTACTATAATGCAATTTATTGATTAATAATTTATTAATCTTTATTTTATTCTTATTACTATAATTATAAAATTTAAGTTTATAATTGTTCTAATTATTAAAACTAATCATTTAATTAATGTGAATCTAAATCTGTTTAAACTTCTTTTGATTTTAGATCTAATTAAACTTATATCTCTTAATCTATATATTCAATATCAGGTTCTAAAATTTATTAATCTATTAAGTCTATTTTGAGTTTTTGTTCTTATTCTCTTAACTATTCAAATTTTTCAAAATTAGTATTTTTAACTTTATTTTTATTGAATTTGTATTCAGCAGTAGTGGTTTTAAAATTTAACAAATGAGAGACAATACTTTTTCCTTTGGCTAATTGTACATCAATTTTTTAATCTTCAAACTTTTTATTTTCATTATTGTCTTAAGTTTTTAAAAGCATAATCTATAAAAGTAAAGAATCAATTTCATTTTTTTATATTTCATTAGTTTCTATTAATTATCTCATATCTGATGTCAATAATAGTAATTTAGCTTTGGTCATATTTAATTCATCAATAGAGTCAGAAGTTTCATTTTTAATTTTAAGTATTTAATTTTAATAATCTTAATATCTTATTTTTGCTAATTCCATTTGAGAATCATGAAAATTTTATATTCTTTACATTTATTCTAAATATGATTATTCTGATTCTCTCTATTATTCTGAATAACATTTAATAATTTGTCCAATTAATTCAATATAAAAATCCCAAATAGTTTGAAATAGATCTCCTCTTTCTGTGCATTCAATACTCACTTATCTATTTAATTATTATTATATACTTTATTAATTCTTTAAGACAAGAAGCATAAATAAGTTATATTCTTTCTGCCAATTCTCTAGTATTCATATTTGAACTTTCTTATTTTGTATATGCAATCATCATAAATAACCAATCTCTCAAATCAATTGCTTATTATCTATTTGGTGGAATCATTTCTTTTTCTTGAATTGATTATTACATTTCTAATTTTAAAATTTCCCCAAAATATTTTTATAGATTTGTTGCTCTATTATTATCTTGAAAGAGTTCTGTAAAATCTAATAAATGACCTTGAAATCTTTCTTTTTCCAAATTAGTATTAAAAGGAATTCGATTATTAGTTTTACGATAAAGAGTGCTATAAAATGATTACATATTCCTATCATATATCTAATTTATTAAGCAATACAATATACAGTTTATTAGATTTCAGGATCCTTATAAATGCTAGTTCCAAGTTTAGCAAAGTTTCTTTTAGTAGATCTAAGATATGATATATCAGAGCAAGGTCCCAATTTAGATAAATTGATAACTGTTTAACCTTTAGGATTTAATTATTATTTGATTGAATTCGGTATGGAAGTATTAATTAATTAATCCCATTCGATCGAAGATCTTGGGGATTGTATTTTAGATTTAATTTTAGTTTCAAAATGATGGGCTGATTGAGACTATTGAATTTCAGGTAAATATTTTTTTTACATAATAATATGAAATTAGTATTAAATAACATCTTAAATAAGACACTTTAAATTTTATTAGATTTGTTATCAATAAATTTATTTAATAATGGGAGCATGTGGTGGTAAATCAGGAGATAAATAACCTTAGATGTCTAAAGAATAAAAATGTAAATATATTGATCTTAATTGTAAGAATTGGCTACGAATAAATTCGAAGTTGGACCTAATATTTTTGTTAATCTAAAACAAGGTGATATAACTGATACTTATATCATAAATAAAATATTAGGTGAAGGTATTAACATTAAATTATCAGTTAGGTTCATATGGATAAGTGAGACTTGTCTAACATAAGAAAACTGGTTAGTAAAGAGCTATGAAATAAATATAAAAGAAAAAAATACTAAAAGAATAAGAAGATGCAATGTTTAGTGAAGTGGCCTTACTTAAAGATATGGATCATAATAACATTGTCAAATTATTTGAATTGTATCAGGATAGTTAAAATTACTATTTGGTTACCGAATTTTTAAATGGAGGAGAATTGCTTGATAAATTGACCAAATTATCAACATTTAATGAGAGAACAGCAGCTGAATACATGAAATAAGTATTATCAGCTTTATCTTATTGTCATGCATAAAATATTATTCATAGGTATTATTTAAATTTATGTTATGTAGAGATATGAAACCATCAAATATTATGTTAGCATCACCAGATCCTAAGGCACCTATTAAAGTTATTGATTTTGGTACTGCTAAAAAATAATTAAGTGGAGAATCCTAAACTTAAGTTATTGGAACCGTATTACTTTATTATTTATTAAATAGCCACTCTATATTGCACCTGAAGTTATTGATAAAAATTATACTGAAAAATGTGATATCTGGTCATGTGGTGTTATTTTATATTAAATTCTTACTGGAAAATTTCCTTTTGATGTTAAAGTCTAAAGTTTATAACAATTATTCAATAATATCAAATCAGGAAAATATAATTTCAATTCTAAAGAATTTTAAAGTTTATCTTTTGAAGCTTAAACACTAATTAAATCAATGCTTTAATTAGATCCTAAAAAAAGACCTGCAGCAAATGAAATTTTAAATGATCCTTGGATTAAAGAAAAAGCCAAAGAAGATAAGATAAGTTTAGAAGTTATGAATGATTTAGGAAAGTTTCATGTATAAAATATTATACTATTAAACTTTAGAATGAAAGTAATATGAGAGCAGCTATTATGTAATTGATAGCTGGAGAAATGATGACTAATGAAGAAAAAGATCAACTAAATTAAACATTTTAAAGTATGGATAAAAATAAAGATGGATAACTTTCTAAAGAAGAATTAGTATAAGGTAATTATTATTAATTATTTAATTAGCTTATACTCAAGTTTTTAATGATGAATTAAAAGCTAAGCATTTAGTTGAAGAAATTTTTACTTAAATTGATCAAAATAATTCAGGAAAAATAAGTTACACTGAATTTTTGGTTGCTTCATCTAAATAAAATACGATACTATCAAAGACTAAAATAGATCAAGCATTTAAAATGTTTGATAAGGTATATGAGTTAATTTAATTATAAATAGGATGGTAATGGTTAAATTACTAGGTAAGAATTACAAGATATTATGTGTGGTGTAGATATTGATAATACTGCTTGGGGACAAATTATATCTTAATGTGATAAAAATGGGGATGGGATCATTTAATATGATGAATTTGCAAACATGTTGTTATAAACTTCAAAAAAATGATTTATTTTACATAAACAATATTTACAGATTTGATTTTATTATAAATTTTAAAATTGAATCATATTATATATTTATTCTTATTTTTGTTAAACTTAAATGATATACTAATATATTCTATATTAATCTATAAAGGGTTGAATTCATACTAAAATAATCAAAGTTAAAATCATAAATATATGTTTAACAAAACTTAAAATTGTTTTTTACTTTTACATTTCAATCTAAAATAATAATTCTTTCTGCAGATTCTTTTTCACAATTGAAATTCATAAGAAACACCTTCCAAATGCTATTAATTATATTGAAATAATCCAACATAAATATTTAAAATTAACCTTTTCCCAGAATTCTACCAAATTAATTACCATGAACTATATAATTTACTTACTTTTTGAAAACTCTCCCCATTATATCCTAATTAAATTCTTAATGATCTTATCCTTTATACAAATTAAATAAAATCATTAAATTTGTTATTATTTTTATCTCTAATATATCGATTTTTTCCATTTATAAATAATACAATTTTATTAATAATTATTTAGTTATATAATAATAATAATAATATTAATAAATAATTCATTTCTTATTAAAATTATTCATCTTATCCTACATAAACTTCTTAATGACTTAATCTATTTTATCATCTAATTTCTTCTCAACTGTTTTTACAGTATCCACATAAATTCCTGTTTTTTAATTATCAGGTCTGGCATCTACAAATTTGCCTTATTAAGCTGCCATTCCTTCAACCCATTTAGATTGAATATCATCTTTGATGTAATCTTTTAAATAAGGAATTTTAGTGTCATTCTGTTATATTTTTAAAATTAATTCATCTCTTCTTTTTTTCTCTAATTCTTACATTCTTTCATCAATTGTTTCTTAATCTAATTTACCCCATTCATTTTTATTATTCCCTTATTCTAATGGTTAGAAATATCTTTTAGATTCAATAAATTCTTTTTATTAATTATTATCTTATTTGAATCCAAAATATTTTGCTATTTGATCCTAAATTTCAGCTTCTCTTTCTTCATTATCATAATGAGTTAAGTTATTTTACATATAATGACTATAATATTCTAAATTAAATTTTAATTCTTTTATTTTAACTTAATTTGATTTTAATTCTGCTTATTCACTGTCAAAATAAAATTCTTTTTAGAATTCATCACTTGCTATGTATACTAATATGGTTTTAATATAAAATTCATATTATCTTTATTCATTTTTTAAATGTTCAATTTCTGAATATCTCATAGTATTATTATCTTATTTTTAAGCATCTATAGGACCATCTGTTTAATTAAAATATTATTCCATTTTCAATGATTTTTTACTCAAAGCAGCCATTCTTTCTTTAACTTATCTATGTAGATTAATATATTTATCCATTTCATCTAAACATTTCATATAAAGAAACATGAATAATAAATCTGGCATTTATTTTTTCTTATTATATTATTATTCTTTATATATTTATTACATTTATTAGACCATATTCTCATTAATAAAATAAGAATCTTTAAATCCTTTAATGATTTATTCAATTGTTTCTTATTTAACAATTTAAAAGTTACTTTTAAACCAATCAAAATAATCTGTTTTAGACATTTCAGATAATTAAATTTTAATTTTATCTGTTCTACTTGAAAATTCAGTTTTTTTTGATTTACTCAACTTGAATTAAATATCTTCTTATAAAATTTGTAAATCTATAAATTTATCATAAAATTTTAATTATCTAAGTTCAACAAGCAATAAATATAAAACATTTGCAGCTAATTCATATTAGGAACGTACTATAGGTAAACAGTGTGATAATACATAATTACAATAAGGAGTAACTAATTATTATTCACCATCTTCTTTTTTTCGTTTCTATTCATTAGCTTCATGATTCCAATCAAAAAATGTAGTTTGATTGTCAAATTATTAAGTTTTAATTTATTCTCTTTCATTTTGTATTCTAATTTGATATAATTATAAATTATTTGGTATTATTTTAAATTCATTCATATTTGCTTTTAATAATTCACAACATTAATCATTAGGTAAAATAGAATTAAAGAATCTATTTAATCTTCTTTCAACATTAGTTTTACTAATTTCTTTTTTTTAATCAATTTAAGAAAATAATTAAGATTAACCAAATTCAAAGTTTGATGATTACATTTAATTTAATTCATCATGAAAATTAGCATCGCTTTCTAATTTTTCTGAAATGTAAGTATTAATGTTTTCAAATACTTATTTATAGTGTTTTTTATAAACATAACTAATATGTTCATATTCAGGTGTTTTAATTTTATATTTACATTCATAACCATTTTCTTTTCTAAGAATATCACCAAATCCATTAGGAAATTCATCATCACTATTAATTAATTCTAATTCCTTTGTAAACTTGGCTAATTTAATACCCCAAAAATAAGCAATCATTTTAGATCTTCTATCCATATATTGACTAACTCTAGCCATTTAATCTTCAAATGATTTAACTTCTTTTTTTAATATTTCTTTTTATGTTTTATTATGTTTTTCTTCAACATGTTTTAATTTTTCATTTTTAAGTGCTTCAAATACACTATATCCAAAGTCAAAAACTTATCTATATATTTCTAATAAAAAGTTTCTTCCTGGATATTCTTAACAATCAAAAACTTAATCAATCTCTCCACATTCTATTCTTTCAGGGAATAATATTCTGTATTAATATACAACAGGAGCTCTTTGTGGAAATAATGAATTTATCTTCATATAATACCATGATTATAATTCATAATCCTACTATAATTCATAATTTTTAGTATATTTAGTTTAATCATGAAATGATCTAATTCTTATTTCAAAATCTCCATGAGAAATACTAGATACTTTAAAATTAGTATGTCTTTTTGTTGATTCTTATACTAACTTTTCACAATCACTATCCATATTTACTCCAACACTATATGCTAACATATATTTCAATAAATATAATAATTATTCATTCATACTATCTTATTCAAAAGTCTAAGCATCAAATTTATAAAATCCATTATTAAATTATGCAGAAATAAATCTTATTATTTCATAATTTAAACAAGGAATTAGATATGGTTTTATTTCATGAATAAGTTATGGTTTTGTATAATTAGGAACTTAAAAATTAAATCCAGTTAAAAAGTTTTTCATTTCTTTCATTCCTGCTTATTTCATCAAACTTAACATATATAATGGAGCTTATTTATATTCTGTTATGTGATTCTATAGATCTTATTTAATTAATTTATAAGGACTTATCAAACTTATTAATTTAGTTAATTCCTCATCCTACAAACTAACTTATTTACAATCAAAAATAGAAAATTTCATTCTTGAAATTAGTTGCTTTATATCATCAACTATATTCTCTTTACTATTCTATATCACTACTGGTTTAATAATCAAATAAATGTGTTCTAGTATTATTATAATACTTAAATACCAATTTGAGTACATTCTGGAATAAATAAAGAGGTCAATTATTCAGTAACTATTTCGTCATTACTTGTAAAAATATAATAATTGTAATCTATATTTATTAAATTTTATTATTATACTTTCTTTAGGTAAATCTTTAATTAATTATAATTTTAATTATTAAGAAATACCAGTTTAATCAGCTTAATTTGGTACTAAAAATACATGATCATCTTCATTTACAAATATATTCTTATTAATTTTAGTTGTATTCTCTTATAAAACTAATTCTTCTAAATTAAAAAGATCTTTTATAGATTAAAATATATTTTATGAAGTAAATTACTCGAAGAAATTATGAAAATTCATTGGTAATTTTTCTACAAATTATCCTGTTTTTGCTGAATGTTAAATTTACAATTCTTATAATTTTTTTGATTATCTAACTTTTAAACCAGTTCTACTCCCATCTGATATAATTTTAGCTCCTTAATATGCTCCTGGTCTTGCATATAATACTACTTAAGAATAACCTTCAGTCATCATTGTTAAATAATTATTCAGATTTTATGGATGAATCTTTTCGATTTATGCAAGCATTCTAGCTTCTTATTATGATAATCTAATATAATCTGAATCTATTTCAATGAAATCGTTTAATTTCCAAACATTGTTTAATAAACTCGATAAATTGCTTTTAATTACTATAGGCCTATAAATAATCAATATTCTTTAATTATAAAATATCTCAGGACATAATCTATCACATAGTGTTTGATTTTATGTTGTTTAAGATATTTTATAATAATTCGGTAAATTTTATGACATAATATTTAATTATTAAGTACCAATTTTATATCCTATTTTAACATTTACACCACTTCCATCAAATTGTATACTTTTCAAAAATCTCTCTTAATTTGGTATAAATCTGAAAGCTTCATTCAAAGTTCTTTATAAAACTTAACCAAAGTCTTATTTAAATATACTAATATTATTAAAATCTAACATATCCATAAATGTATCATTCATTTTTCGTCTATCATTATGGATTTCATCTAATTACTAAGTCAAAAGGAATGAGACAACATTCAATTTAAAAAATTATGGAAAAAATAACAAACTATCTCTAATTGCTTTATTCTTAGTTTAAGATGAATAAAAATAAACCATATCTTAAGACCTTTGTTAAAATTTTTATTGAAATTCCTAAAACTTCTATTGCTATTATTAAGTATAAAATAAATCTTAAGTTGAGCTTGTTTTGATTCTATCTGAAGGTTGATAAGATTTATCAGAATATTTTATTTCCTCATATAAGTATTTCTAATAGTCAGTATGCAAATAAGATAATTACGACTTAGCAGCAAATAAAAACTTTTTAAAATCAATTTATAACTATTACTAATTACCAGAGATTAGAAAAATAAATGCTACTTTATTCCTTTAATACGCTAAACCTAATTTTTAATTAACTTTTTCTAATCTATTGAGATAAAATTCCAAAATTCTAATATCATCTGGATTTTATAAGCAATCTTATAAAGCAAATTTATCATTGACTCCAAATTTAGAAATCATTTCTAAGAATGTTCCAAAGAAGTGATAATATTATTGAAACTCTTGTACTTTAATATGTGATTTTTTGCTATAGAGCGATTTTTCTAGCCATATTTTTTAGAGAGTAGAAATATCCATTTCATAAAATGAAAGAGCATTAAAACCTGCTTCATTCAATGATGTGATAAAACCTTCGATATCAATTTTAAAGTCTTTTGCAGTATTGATATCTACAAAAAAGATAGAGATACAGGCTTTGAATTACAAATGAGATTCATTAATGTATCTACGATTCACTTATGAGCAAATACTGTTTGAAAAATTATAATCAGATTATAAAATGACATGACTATTCATGGGACATCCACAATTCAAACAAGAAAAAAGCTCTATTCCTCTAAAAGTCTCAATATTAAAGCAAGCTCTATAAAAAGGACATTTAACTTCTTTGTTAGAACATATTCTACAAGGTCCTCTTTCTACTTAAAAGAGATTTAAATAATTCTTTTTTTTATAGCGATCTCTATTCTAATCATTTTCAAGCCCATAAGTATCTGACATTTCAGTATGATGTAAATCTCTATTTTAAGCTAACTTCATGAGTTTGCTACCTAATTGTCCTCCTCCTTCTTTTGCTGCTTTCACTACAATTAAATTGCATATTTACACTCTTCATCTGAAGGAAATTGTAATTCTAGCAAATGATCTTTAAAACATTTGAAAAAAGCTTCATGTTATTGTCTTCTCTTAAGTAAATCAACTTAAATATCTGAAGACATTTAATTTAAATTAATTATGGATTTAATTGATACAAAAGTAATTGAGTTGAGTTCTAAAACAGGTATCCCAGATGATTAATTAAGAATGTTCATAGCATTAATACTATGCACATTATTTGGATTCTTTTTCAAATTATCCATTAGAGGTAATTAATTGAATAGATGATTTAGGAAGGTAAGCTAGATTGATTTTTGGGTCAGTATTTGGTGTGTTCATTACTTACTATTTATATAGATGTTAAATCATTAATGTGTTGTTATAGACAATTGTAGTTTATATTATGGTGAAGGTTTTAGGAAAGAAAAGCCCTTGGCCTGTATTTATAGAATCAATGATTTTTGTGGCTGCTCATCATATATATAGATAATATACTGATTATGGAGGATGGAAAATGGATGTGACTACAATTTTGATGATGGATACTCCAAAATGGACTGCTTTTGCATTTTGTGTTAGTGATGGTTTAAAAACATAATTAAGTAAAGAATAGGAAATTAGAAAGATATCTAAATTACCTTCATTCTTTGAATATTTTTCATTTATTTTCTTTTTTGCTGGTAGTATATTGGGACCATGTTTTGACTATTACGACTTTAATACATTTATTAATGAAGAAAATGAATACAAAAATATTCCATCAACAATTAAAGAAACTTTAAGATTACTAAAAAATGCCTTAATTTGTATGGGTATTTTTTTATTTACTGAAAAATACTTCCCTTTACATTTTGTCACCACTGATGAATTTGGAACATACAACATTTTATATCAAACTCTATGGTTTAATATTATGGTAGCAATTTAAAGAACTAAATATTTTGGAGGTTGGTAAATGGGAGAAATGAGTATGGCATCATGTGGTATCACATATTAAGGGAATGGATAATTTTAAAAAATTAAAGCTGTTGATGTAGACTGGGATTTAACATACAATATGAAAGATAAAGTAGAAAAGTGGAACATTTCTATTTAAACTTGGTTAAGAAGATATGTATACACTCGCATATATACTGAAGAAGAAATGAAGAAAAGTCCATCTAAATAAAACATTGCTTATCAAATGACATATGTTGTATCGTCCTTATGGCATGGCTTTTATATTGGTTATTACTTTTCATTCTTTTAATGGGCTATTTTAAATAATGTTAATAAAGCTATATTTAGAGTATCTTGTAATACTAATCATTTGAAAATATTTGAAACTAACCCTTTAGCTAAATTCCTTAGATGGTATTTAGCCAATACTATCTTTAACGTTTTTGGAATTACATTTTTATTGTTGAGTGTAGACCCAATTCTAAAATTCTATAGCAACATTAGGTATATACCATAAATTTTATTATATGCAACATATGCTTTCTTCTTAATTACTAAATTCGGTTAGAAAAGTAAAAAATAAAAAGAATGAAAGTAATATATTTTATAAAAATATGTAAATGTTGAATAAATCTTATCTTATCTTAATCAATTTCAAAGATTAATAAATTTAATTTAGTCCTTAAAGTTAAATATATTTTATATCTATTAATATAAATATTATTGAGATCATTCTTCTTATCTTTTTTTGAAATTAATATTAGGTGAAAGAGAGTTAGATATTTCTGATGATTATTCTTTTGTTCTTTAACCTTCGCTATTCCAACAAATTTGAACTGGCATTCTTGATGCTGGATGTTATTCATCAAGAGCATAAGGAATCAATATGATTTCATGAGTAGATGGAACTGTAGGAGGTGGAGATGAAATTATGATGTCATCCTTTGTGTATTAGTGTTTCTAAATATGGCACCCCATTATTAATATAATAAAATAATGAATTGCAAATTTTATCATATATTTTAATTATGAAATTCTCTATTAAAGAAATGGTTAGAATTCTAGAATTAACAATCTAAATCTACTATTTTTAATAGTCTATTGCTTTGATAGGAAAATATTCTTAAAATTATTTTTTTTTTAAATCCTTTCATTTTATACATATAATTGGAGTCTTTAAATATATAGTTATTTATAAAAAATTAAACCATTTTTTTTCAGAAAAAGGTAAATTATTAAGGCATATTTATGAGATTATTATTAAAAATAAAGTAATTTAGTTTAAAAGTTGAAAAAAACTTTATTTTTCATATCCTATTACAAATATGCACTTTTTCTAAAATTTTTGTATTTTAAATTTATGTATAAAAATTTTTTATAAAAGTAATCGATTTAAGTTTTATCTTGTCTCTTCTTAATTTTTCAATCATTTGCATCAGAATAGTTTATCAAAAACATACAAATATTTTAATATATATACATGAGAAATAAATCCTTTGGAAAAAATAAATCAAGAGATTGAATGTCTCTGAGAATGGGTATAAAGGTTATTGATCTAATTTACATAACTAAGACTTTTAAGGGAGTCTCTATAGAATTAAACAGAATCTTTTAAAATTATAATAATTTTAATGGATGAATTTTTTGAAATTTGAATATTATGAAATATGGGACTTGATTATAATTTTTGAAATATTTTCTCAAATAGGTTTTGGCAATTAAGATAAATTAATTTAAAATACATACTATTTGAATTTTCTTGAAAAAGAAGTATTATTAAAAATTGAGCTATATAAAAGTAAATATAAAATATGAGTGATGTAAAATAATAAAAAATATTAAAAATAAAATTTTGAAATGAAATTTAAAATATTGGATAATATAAAATAAAATAATTAATATATATATAATTAAAATTATTTCAGTTATTTAAAATATTAATCATTGATGATCATAAACCATCTAGTAATAATCTCATCACTTTAGTTTTCGAACTTTAATAAATTTAATATTAATATGAAGTGGCTTACTAAATAATTAGAAAAGAACTGAGTTATAATAAAAATAAAAAAACTTATAAATAATTTAAGAATTAAAATAAACACGAAATCATTTTTTTTTTTTGGGTGGTGCTTTTTTCTTTTTAGGTAAACTCTTTAAATAAACATCATATCTTCTACTCTAAAGATATAAAAAAGTATTAGTTACATTTAAATCCTCCTTTTCCATGATGGCTCTTTCCCTAATTCTTTAATACATTTCTTATAGATCCCAAGATCTGATTAGATGATCATATGATCCGGAATATAAAAGGCCATTAGCAAGAGCAAGAGTGGTAACTCCATCAATGTGTCCTGAGAATTCTTCTTTTAATTCCCAGTTTTTCATTTCATAAACTTTGATTTTTTTATCATCAGTTCCAATATATAGATATGGATCATGAACCAACATACATAAAGCCCATCCATGTAGACCAACGATTACTTTGATAGGTTATGGACTTGGTTGATCTAGTGATTAGAGTTCATAAAGATGTATAAAATTATCAATAGTTCCAAGAATCAATAAGGTTTTATGTATAAGGTATGACATAATTGTAAAATTAGGAAATTGAACACTTCTAAGAATAGATTATTTGTATGGATCAACTTGGACGATAGTATTTTTACCATATAATAAGTTGATTTCTTTATCAAAAATTACATTCATTGTATTGATTGGATATCCAATATTAAAGATAACTTCACATTCATTGCTTGTTGAATCCCATAATCTAACAGTCCCGTCAAGAGAACTAGATGCAAATTGTCTAATATTTAAGAAATGAATTGATGTGACTTAAGCTTTATGTCCTTGATAAGAATATACAGATTCTCCAGTTTTGATATTATTTGATTTAATAAAACCATCATCATACCCAACATATATATCGGATTCTGAAAATGTTGCAGCACATATGATATTTCCCTTCATGGTTTACTAATTTTCATCTTGATCTTAGACTGTAGTATCATCTGAAATTTTGGAAATAAGAAATTTAGATGCAATTTATCTATTTAATAGATCCCAACCTAAGTAGTTATATAGATACTTTTGACATTTCCATCTCGAGAAGCAGAGTATAAGTAATTTCCATTAATTCCATAGGGACTAATCAAAGTAATGATAGCATCTTTATGACCTTTAAGTCTATCTTTAAAAGCTTTACTCTTAATCTGCTTAGTTGGTTTAGCAAATTATTATTAATACATTAAAAATATTAATATTTATATATAAGTGAATCAATATGAAAGAGATTTTATAATGTTGTCTTGTTATTAATTTTCATTAGAAAATAATATTGCTTCATAATTGCCTAAAATATAATGATAAAATACATTTATCTTTATCAATTCCTAAAAGTTCTGTGTCAGACTCTATTCTTAAAACAGCAAAGCCTTTGAGAATAATAAAAATGAAGAATAAAGAATGCCACCCAGACTGTAATAATTAACAGCCAATTAATTTCCTTCCTTTTCCATAGAATAATCCTCCATTAATATCTAATAGACCAGTAAATAGTATTTCAATGAATCACCATGCTAAAATAAATGAATTAAATACTAAGAAGATTGGAACAACTTAAGCTGGATCATCTAATTTAACTTTTAGTAAGGCTGTAGCAGTTGATGTATAAATATATTTCCAGCAATAGAAGCAATAATAGTAGTAGTCCAAATTTATGATTCATGAGAGGCAGCAGAAGTGGCGACTAATCCAGCCAAAATACCTCAAGATATTGAGAATAAATTTATTGTTTCTTTCGTCAAATATCTAGTTATAAAACTACAAAATCCATCTGCACTTTCAGTTACTAAAGTATTAACTGCTACTAATCCCTAAACTTATGGAGTAGATTAATCAGATTAGATTTATCCATTATTGCACTAAATGTAACATATATTGAACTAAATGCCCAAAAGTTTAAATTATTATTCAAATCAAATCTATATTTTCTCGGTTTTGATACTATAGTAACTATTAAACCTGCAACATCAGCTGAATAAAATATAAATCCTGCTCTTCCCAAATCTTTAGATGTAATTTTGTTAAAACATCCATCTTTATTTGTCCAATGAACTATTGCAGGAGATACAAATCCTGAATAAAATAAAACCAAAACAACCCAGTCTAAGAATTTTAATCTCTCGACTGCTCCTCCAGATACTATTGATACTCCTATACAAGATAATGTTGCTTTAAATACTATTAATAAATATTTTAATTAACTATCAAATTTGAATAATCATTTTTAATCTCTGTTGCTGATTAATTATATGCTCCAAGTTTTGTACCTCTCATAAATATGTTCCAAAATCATCATCATATGAAAATCCATAACCGAACTATTTTTATCATTACAAATGATATTACCAACCAATAAATTAATACTGTTAAATATAACCCATGAAATAACCTTATAACTATTGATTAAGCATTCTTGTATCTAACAGACCAGCCTCCAAAAATCCAAATCCAAATTAAGAAAATACTAGTACTATACCAGCAATCAATAATCAATCTTCATCCAATTCATTTTCACTTCTTGTCCTTGTTTGATGGATTTAGAATCAAACCATCATTACCAGAGTTAGTTTTCTCAAGATAATGTTGTTACATAGTTTCAAATATAAATTAATATTTAACAATCATTTTTCTTTAATTTTATATAATGGAACTTTTGCCTTTGATAATTTATTTGATTTCGATTTTGGTTCGATCAATCCTCTTCTAACAAAACCATCAAATTCACTTTTTACTAATAAATCTCCTTAGGTTACATGTCTCAAGCGACTCTTTAATTAATCATCCAATACAAATTCATCTTATGTCACTTCCACTCTATTATTATTTTTAAACTCTTTACTTTTTATTTCCTATTTTTATTGGAACCAAATTTCTTCCCTACAATTTTCTTGCTCTCTCTAATAGTTTTTTCTCTTTTCTCTGTTATTTTCTTTTTTCTAGTCTCATCTTTGCTTCTGCATTTAACTCTTTCTTTATCTTTTTTACCAATAAAAGCTCATGATTTTTCTTTTTTTCTATCATTCTATCTACCACTTCTTTTCCATGAATTTTTTATATCATACTCATTTTCCTCTTTTTCTTTTTTTCTCTCTCTCTAATTTTATTTATATCATTATTATACCTTTATAACAATTTCTATGCTTTCTCTGCTTCAGTTTCTTCGTTTTATAATCTCTAATGGGATCTAATTTCTTTTTTTACTACTTCATCTAGCAATTCATTATAATCTTTTAGTTATGGATTATATGATTATCCTGGATGAGGTGTTACAACTGCTTTTACATCTGTACCCTATATTCTTTTTTATCCTCCTTCTTATGACCATAAATCTTTAATCTCATTTTATTTTTATTGTTATTATTGCTTTCCCTATTATTGTGCCATATTTTAGATTTTTATTTTTTCCTATTTAGATTACTTCTTTGGATCTGTAGGTTTCTTTTTAAATCTATCTTTATTTTCATATATATTTATTGGTTGGGCATCAACCTAAAAATCCACTGGTTTAGCATCATTTTATGTAAAATCTATATTCTCGAATTCACCCATCTCAACAATGATATTCTTTCTCCATCTTTATGTTCCTTGTCGAGCTCTCAAGTTTTTTTTCTTAATATTTACCATGTATTAATTAATTTTAAATATTCATAAATTTATTTAACATATTATTTTTTTCTACTCCTTTCATACACAAAAATATGATTTAAATGAAACATTTTAAATTATTCTCATTTTAATATAAAATATTTGGAAAAGGACATCTCAGTTAAAATTAGGACAATCTTATTTTTATAAGAAAATCCACAAATAAATTTATAAATGAATAATTAAGAAATATAATAAATAATCGTTTTAGTATTTTTAACATTATTATTAATACTTATAAATCAATAAAATCTATTGTATTAATATTGTTATTGTTGCATCATATAATATTAATGTTATTGGTATAGCTATTACTACATATTATTGTACCATTACTATTATTAAATTTAGAATTATTGTTATTATTGCTATTATTATTATTAAAATTAATTATAATAATTCGAAACCTGGTTATTATAATTAAAACTTTAATTATTGTTATAGTCTTCTTATTGCTAATTTTATTATTAACATTATTTAATTTATAAATGAGTATCTATTTAGTTTTCATAATCCTTCTCGTTTAATTTTACTTATTTTTAAATTTACTAATCTTCCTAAATTTCTAATTTAAAACTCATTCCACTTTTTTGATTTATCAAATTTGGATACAACTGTTTATAATAATATTTCATTCTTGAAATATCTTCTACTGGAATATAACTTTCAGGTATCTAATCTTGCTTAGTGTAAAGCATAAATATATCATTTTCAAAGATTTATGTGATTTCATAAACCTTGATAATAAAAAAAATTTTACTTTTTTAAATTCCAATTCATTAGTTTAATCAATTTGAAATAGTAAAGCCATTCCTTTATCAGTATCTTGTCTTTCCTAATTTGATTTCATCAAGATACTTTGGACTTTTAAAACGACATCTTTAGAGTTTTTAACAAAATTTTATTAATTTAAGTACAATTTGACACATTTATCAAATTTGATTGCCAAGAATAATGGGTGTTTGATTTTATGCCTAATGTTCGGAGCTGTGAAGTAATTAATTAAACCTTGGATTGTATTATCAACTTTTAATAAACTTTTAGGTTAATTTTTTCTCTCCTTTTTAACAAATTCTTTATCCAAGTTTTCAGGTAAAAAAGGATCAATAATCAATTGAATATTGTTATTGAGTGCTTATTATCTGGCATGCTTTCGAGAATCTACAAATATATAAGGTGAACATTTAGCATCTATAACGGACTACTGGCTGCTATTGATTTAAGTGATTACGACAACTATTTTGAACTTTTGATACTTAAATTATTATATAAATATAGTACTTCATTCTTATATGATGTTGTGTTGAACTTTAATTATCTTAATATTGAAATTCCATTTCTAAAGACACTCTCAGGACTTCCTTTGCATCCTATGCTTTCCATTTCCATTTTATCGTAATTGTGCTTCACAATGTATAGATTGGCCACTATTGTTAGTGTATTCAGTATATGATGGTCTTAATCATTATCGATCTATTAGTTATTAACTTGTTATATACTTTCAACTAACATTCTAATTCTGGGATATTCCAGGATTTATGCCAATTCCATCCGATATTTGTACTAAATGGAAAGGGCTTCCATAACTTTAAATCAAGTGAATAGCCTTGATTAGAGTTTTAAAAGTTGATAACTTTAGAGCCTTCTATTCTAATAGTTTGCCCATTATGAACAATATTGTTGTTTTGAATGGCTGCCATTCCCATTTTACAATTTCATTAGATGATAACATAGACTAATTTTAATTATGCAAAGATTCAATTTATGCTAACATTTATAAATGAATATAAGGTAATTCAAAACAAAGATTAATTAACTATTCAATATGATTAAAAAATTTTAACTAAGTCATTAAATCTAATTAATCTTTATTTCATTCAAGTTTAATTAATAAATAAAAAAATAATAAGGATAGCCTTATTTTAATTTTTAAACCATTGTTGTGTTTACAAAATAATTATTTAATTGTTTCTTTATATTATATACCAAGCCTTTAACTAAATTGAATAAAGGGTGCTTTCATATTTATTTAGCTTATAATTTTACTTTAATTAATTAGAATATATCTAATATATAATTGAAGGGAGTAAATTATAATTTAGTTTAATTTTGAGAGTGTAATGAATTATTCAAAATTATGACACATCTCTCACTTCTAGAATCATATAATAATGAACTCAAATAAAATAATTGAAAAGTTAACATAATCAATATAATAATATAAAATAAGAAAATATTAGCTTACTTTTTATTTATTAATAATACTAAATATATACTTCATTATTATGCAATTTCCTATTCTTTTTCTGCATCTTCTTCTGTGTAAGGAATAGGAGGATCAACATCTGGATAGAGACGCTTTGTTAGAATGTAGCAATGAGGAGGATCTATATCTGTATAATAATTTTTTTTGTAGGTTGTTTTTTCAAATCCATGTTTACAATAAAATTAAAATCCAATTTCATTGCTAACCCACATATGCAAATATATAGTTCGTATTTCTTAATGAGATCTTATTCTATTTATTAATTCATTCAAAAGTTATGTTCCAAATCCAAAACGACGGTATGCATCTAAAACACCAAATGTCATTATATAGGCTGTCTTTTTTCCATCTTTATCTTCTATCCTTGCTGTTATAGCTCCAACGGCAATATCATTATAATAACCTGAACATTACTTATATTTTAATACCTAGAGCTGAAAAGTCTGTATAAGTGAGAATTTTATAATAAAAGTTTTCGCTATATGTTACAGGTAAGGTCTTTTAGGTAATGACTTTAAATTATTCTAAATTTTTGAAGTTTATATCTCCAAAAGTCAATTTTGGTTTCTATTCCATTAATAAATATATATATAAATTAATGGATAGCAGAACTGAATTTGCTGGAAGAATTCATTTTTTTGAATATTTTTCTCTTGAAAAATTTGAAGAGTACTTAATCATCCAATAATCATCATAGATCATTAAGAAATGCCTTACAATATTCAATAGGAATAATTACACAATAAGATCGATTTATCTAATATTTTCAATATACAAAAGAAATAGCATTTCTAATTGAATTCTGTATTAATCTACCTTATGCCTTAAAGTATAATACTTCTTATGCTGAATATTTTTATGGATTCTACTTATCTGAATAAAAACAAAATAAGAAGTTTAAACGAATTGCTACATTGATGATAAGAATTTTGATTCCTTACATTTTATAAAAATTACATGAGTATTCAATCAATCCAAATTCAAATAGAGGGAAAAAAATAACTCAATATTTATATAGAGGATTTAAATTGATTGATATTCTAATGAAATTTCAATACTTATTAAATGATGAACAAAAAAGTTATTCTGTTTTTTATTATTTGATTAAATAGGATCTCATTAGATTTAAAATGGAATCTCCATATAAATATGGAATGCTATTTGTTTATTTGGGATTGAAATTTTTAGATTTCTATTTTTCTAAAAAGAATAATAAGGTTTAGTAAAAGAATTAGATAATACAAGCACCTAAATAGGTAGATTCAAAAAATGTTTAGAAATATTGTCCAAAATGCAAAAGAATCCCATAAATACCTAGCGTTTTAAAAACAACAGGATATGTATATTGTTTAGAATGTTTATAATAAATGGTAATTCAGAATGAGATCACTAATAATCATATAATAAAATTATTTTGAATCATTATTATAATGCAATCAACTCTATTTATGGTACAAATGAAACTGTTGTTTTCTTAAATGAAATTGAGTATTTTTAATTTTGGATTAATTTCATAGCATTGACCGATGTCACAACACAAACCTAATGAAATGAATAATAGATGATAAATACCATAACCAAATCTTTTGATTGATCTTACATTTATTAAGGCAACATTTTATTTTCTTTGACTTAAATAAAAAGTTATTAGGCTTCACTCAAAGAAGAACTGACAAATTTGAGTGTATCTTGAAATGAACCATAAGAATTCATCTTTTGTGCGTATTCGTCAAATTTAATAGCTTTGATATAATAGCAAGTATCAAATATTTTCATTCTGTTGGAATATCTATAATTCATGTCTTGGACTTTTTTGATGAATCCATTCTCCATTAAGGTATAGTATAACCTTGATAAACCCTGTTATTATAATAACATCTTACTCTAAATAGACAATTTAATCCCTTCCAGTATTGTTATTCAAAATACATCTAATCAATCAGTGGAGAGACTTTAGGTTTCTTTTTATTTTGATTCTATAATTATTCTCTTTATGAATTTGTCAATTGATTTACATAGTTAGTTCTATTTCTATCTAAAATAGTGGTTAAATATTCTAGATAGAAGTATATGCTAGCATAATCTACATCTGAATAAAGTTCTAGATCAAAGCCATATTATAATTATTGAATCATAGATTAAACAGCAATTTCATAACTGAAGATCATCAGAGGGTTCTTATTTTTGAAGATGTTTTAATCAATTTAGTTACTATGATGAACAAGTATTGATAAATGTGAATAGTTTTTATGAAAATCTCTATTTTTTCTAAACTTTGATCTCAATTATTTTATAGTGTATTCATAAGTAACAGGTACTAAACACTCTTGATACTCTTTAAAAACATAATGATACAATTAATCAAAATTCTAAGAATACATTTTATTGAGAGTTCCAATTATGATATTTATCCAAGGAGTTTAGTGAAAATATAAAAATGAATCATATTTAAATAGATTTTACTCAAGATAAGCTCTAATTAAAATATTTTTAGGATAATCATGAATTAAGGAGCAAATTTTTTATTAAATGCTAAAGTAATTTCGTTCTGCACCTAAATCAAGAACAGATTCTAATTAATTTAACATAGTATTAAAATATTCATATGGATTCTCCATATGAGGTATTTTTCTCATACTTATCATAGATTTGAGATGTTTGAGTATAGTAGTACTTTAATAATTGGACATATCTTTTGCTAAAGCCCTAGTTTAGACAACAGCATCAAATCTTTTTCTTATGAATTCAATATGATCTGTTATTTATTTTTATAATTCAGTAGTGTATGTTTATTAAAGACATTATACAATTAAGCAAAAACCTTTAAGTAATTTAATTCTAGAGGATAGAGCATCAGCTATAGTTAATTATTTCGATTTCTTAATTTTGCCACTCAATTCAGTATCTAATGGATTTAAAATAGTTGTCAATAATTCTTAAATAGTGAGTATCCTTTTGTTTCTGAAACTGAAAACAGATGGATTATAATCTTCTTCTCTAAGAAATGGAGCATCCTTAATGATTTTAAAAATGTGGCTTCCAACAGTATTTAACGTATCAAACAATGCTTTAACAAATGGATTATCCCATAATGAATCATCATACTAATATACTAATGTATAAATGGTCTATGCTAATGCATTTCCATTTAACCAACATGTAATTTTCTGAATCACTAAATCAAACAGTCCTACAAGCTATATAATTATTGATTTCAATAAGCTTTACTTCTTCATTGCTAAGTTATGATCCTGTTTTTATCTTATTTTAGTCAAGTAATTTTTATGGAGTATCTGCATCACACAAACCCAGTTTTACATCTATTTTTTGGTCAAATAATTCTGTTGCTGACATGGCCTCAAATAATGAAAATCCTTCTGCTAAAAGAATATCTCCATTTTTTAGACTCTTTAGTTCTGCTGTAATATCCATTAATTAAATTAATGTCTAAAAGAAAGGCGCAATTTTATAATGATATGGACTTAGAAATTGAATAGCCACAATATAATTTTAATTTACTTAACAATCATTCATCTATTTAAGATAAGAAGTAAATATTATATTAATAAAGAATACGAAAAGGCAAACTTCATGTGAATTCCAAAATTAATAATTAGATTAGTTCAAATCCATCATTAAAATGTTAATTAGAAACAAAAGCTAATTAACATAATAAAACATCATAATTGAATAGAAAATAAATTTTAACTTCTAAGAAAGAAAAATATAATAATTTAGAATAATTACCTCATTTTCTTAGTGTTCTTAAAAAAAGCTTTAATAAACCAGATTTTGATAATAGATAACAATCTATTGAGTTAAAAAATAACTTACAAAAGTAGATATTTCTCCCATTATTTTCTATAAAAGAAATTGAAGAATACATATTATATTAAGTAAATATTTGATTTATTATAAGTCTAAACTTAAATCTGTCAAAATAAATGATTCACTTTATTTAAAAGAAAATTTGGAATTGATTGTATTTAAATTCGAAAAGTAGCACAAAATTAAAATTGAGTACAATATTCAATAAAGATAGACCAGGCTTAATTGAAGGTTTAATATTAAATGATAAAATTCTGAAGAATCAAAATTAAATTTATTTAGAGTGCTATTCAAATCAAAAAATATACTAAATTTAAATAGAATTTGAAGATAAGCTGGATTATGAATAATTTCAATTATTTTGAATAATTATAACAAAATGTTCTTTTTAAATAACTAAGATAGTTATATTAAGATGATGAGAAAATAGATTTAATACGTATCTACATCATTCTATATTTGAGATTATAGGATGATTAATGAACATTATTAAATATATATATAGTTATAGTCAGATAGTTTTAAGTCCATGCGTAACAAGAGTTTGGAGACCAGACTTGATTCCGCAATTGGATTTAATTCTCGCTCATCATTTGGTCAATCTGACCAGGGAAGGATCGAAGAAAATAAATGTATTTTATTTGTTTAAATATTTATCACAAATCTCAGATTTTATGGGTTATTAAAATAAATAATGAATTTTTAAATCCTTGGACTTTTGTCATAATTGCCATCTAAAAAATATGTGAGAAAACTATTTGAATATGCGTATTTATTTAGAAACAAACTAAACTCATTTTAAGAATTTATGGAAACACCTGTAAGTGCTTCTTTGCCTTAAGATTTATAATTGACTGAAAAATAAGCACATACACTTATTATAGGTTTAGTGAAACTATTAGAAAATGCAGAGTTATTATAGTGGAACGAATAAGCAATATTATAAATATTTCCATCTAATTTTGATTAATAATTAGCAAGATTACTTACCGATTCTATAATTTAAATCTCTGAATGTAAGATATATTTTCTAGTCATAATAGTGTGTGATAAAATAACAAATAGAGAAATATGTTAAGCAGATTCACTTATCGATATTGACTGGAGAGTAGATATATAAATTCAGACTCATAATTAATAAAAGGTGATTTTTTAATAATAATTTATAGGTTAATATGCCTGTCTTATTTTTATAATTAGAAACGTTAAATACTTAAACTAATACTAAGGAGAATGTGACATTTTAGCTCAACTAAAATGAAGTTAACAATTTTCACAATAATTTGTGTAAAATAAAAGAATAATTATAAACTTTAGCTTAGTGATAATATTTATATAAATTTAAAAATAAAATGACAGATAGAGTCAAAATTCTTATGTTAGGTGATGGTGCTGTAGGCAAGTCATCCCTCTTAAATCGTTATGTTGATGAAAAGTTTTCTGAAAATATCTAAGCTACATTAGGAGTGGAATATAGATAAAAAATACTCACTTAAGGAGAAAACTAAGTGATAGTTTAAGTTTGGGACACAGCTGGTAAATCAAATTTTTAGTGTTTAGGTTAAGAAAGATTTAGAGTTATTACTCCTATTTTTTATAGAAATGCCTAAGGAGTCTCTTTGGTTTATAGTGTTGTTGATAAAAACTCATTTTAATAAGTTTAAACTTGGATTGATAATTTAAAAGAATAAATTGATTGTGAATAAATCTCTATTGTTTTAGTTGCAAATAAATGCGATATTTCTTAAAGGGAAGTAACTACTTTAGAAGGTTAATAATTAGCCTAAAAAGTATTATTTTTTCTATTTTAGTACTAAATTAAGTATTTTGAATGTTCTGCAAGAACAGGAACATAAGTTAAAGAAATGTATACAGAATTAGTTTAATAAATACTCCTTAGAAGAGGCTAAAATTAAATTATATAAAATAAGAAATTAGGGGAAATAGAAGAATAGCCACAAAAATGTTGTTGATAAGTCTTATTAATATTCGATAAAAATTTATCATCCAAAAAATTCTTTCCTTCCTTAAAATTTTCATTAATTGATTAAAACAAAAAAAGTTATGTTTTTCTTAAATCATAATTGCTAAGAATTTTTAATATAGATTGATATATAATGATTGATCTATTATAGTTCTAATAAAATCTATTATTCAAATATTGATCAATCTATTATTTGCTTTGTTTTTCATTTTAAAAAAAAATATTATAATTGATATTCATGAAAACAAATTACATTTTTATATCTTATTATGTAAATTTTATAAGAAAACTAATAATTAAAATTTTTAGTTCATTTCACAAATAAGGAAATTATTATAATTTAGGTAGGCTGATACTTTATATTGGTTACCTATTCAATGATAAAGCCATTATTATAGGGGATAAGGATCTTGAATTCTTTGATTTACTAGAAGCAAGACTGAAAGTTACTGTACGCTAGCTTTTATCATCTTAACAACTACTTAAGGATGAACGTTATGGTATATGAGTTTTGAGAATACTTTTGGGTTATTCTATTTTTTACACTGAAACTTTTTTATTTCTTTTCTTATATTTATTTTATCTCTTTCCCTATAAAATAGTATTTTTATTATATTTTTGAAGATTATTTGTCAATTTAAATTAATTATCGTAAGGAAAATCATATTTTTCATCAATTTGACATAAAGAGGGGCATTAAATTAAATTTAATCGATTAATTTCTTCAAAAGTTGAGCCTAATTTAACTTTTCTTGTGCTCTGATTTCTTTATCCATCTTCTTAGAAATCTAAAATAAATTCACTTTTAAAAAAGTCTTCCTCAAAAGTATCTAAATTTTATGATAAATTTTGAATGCCAGGTTCTAATATTTACTTGTTTGGACAGTTCAAATGAGGGTATCCATTAATTTTAATAATTTCTGTTTTCTAAATTTCTTATTTATGTAAACAAATATTCCCCATTAAAATTAATTATTACAATATCAATTAATTAAGTCTTAATTTCAATTGATAATAGTGCAATAAATTTCCAAAAAAGTCATTGTAGATTTACCTAGCTTTTCTGCTAAAAATAAAATTAGGTCATCTGAATTAAAATTACTGGAAACTTTAGTTAAAAAGTGGAATTAAAATAATTCATATAAATCTTATTTATTTATATTTCGATAAAATTAAAATTTTATTTTAATTCTTTAAATTGCTTTAATATATAATTAATTAATATAACTAATGAATTTTTAGTATTTTCACCCGAAAGTAGATGTAGATTAAGTTTTTTTAAAGGAAAAATAAAATAAAATAAAGTTTGAATTAATAATTACTAAAAAATATTAATAATATATTTTATATTAATATTTTGATTGCTTAAATGGAAGCAAAGAATAAAACAAAACCAAAATAAACTAAATAAAAAGCAAAACTATAGTAAATTATGGCAATAAGCTTTGAAAATCTTTAAAAAAAGAGTGGCACATCTGAAAATTAGAGTGGTGCAATTCAAGAAAATTAAAATGAATCTGCATAATAGTTTTAAAAAATTTCTGAAGATGAATATCAAAATTAATTAGATGCTTATTATTAAGAATAAAATAAAAGATTTTCATTTAGTTAGCCAATGAATGATTTGTATTAGGTTTAATTGTAATAATAGCAATAACAATATTAATAATTATTAAATAAATAACAAGATATTGCTCCAGTATCTCCAAAATAAAAGCAGTCTTAAAATTAGAATTAACCACAACAATCATTCAAATAATAATAGCATACCCAATAAGAAGAATAAATCATTAATGAGTCTAATTTAACAAATATAACATAATAAAGTCCTGTGTTTATTCCATAAATTCCTTCTAATTAAGTATTCTAACAATAATTGGATAAAAGCCCAAAAAAATCAAGTTATCAACATGAGGAATTATTCTAAATAAACTCATAATTGAATGATAGTTAGGAAATACCATAAATGAAAAAGATGTCCATAAAATCAGAACATATAAAAAAATAATCAAGATAAAATAATTCAAATACTAATAATATTAGCAACATTTTAGATAATTTTTTAAATCATCGATAAAAAGTAAATGACTAATCAGGTCTTTATTAATCAGAATTATTTGAAGCACCTTAACTATAAAATTTTGGTGGAGGTTAAAATGAATAATCTTTAATTTAATAATAATCTCTTTTACAATCAATACATAATGAAACTATAGAAATTGTTAAAGAAAATATCTAATAATATCATTTTGATGATATTTATTAAAATGCAAGAAAGGATTCTTCAATGTAAAAATCACTTGTAAATGATAAAGATGAAGAAGATTTAGATAATCTATTATAAGAACTTTACGAATGTACAACAAAATAAATTCCAAAATAAATTATAGAGTCAAACTCAAAATAAGTAAACTAAAAAGCAAAAGAAGTAATAAATAATGTTTTTGATAATTTACCTCAAGAATAATAATCATAAATTAGTAAACCTGCTCCTTACCTAACAGGGAGTAAAATTATTAGTGAGTAAAAAAATGACATTTAAAGTCCTGTTTATAAACATAATATATAGGATGAAGTTGCCAAATTCTCTACTTAAGAACAAAAAAAAGTTCATATTGAAGATTTTTTTAACACAAAATAAGAATCATAATAAAATAAATAGAGCAACAAACCAATCATATCTCAATAAAATAATAAAGAAACATTTCATTATTAGTCTATTTAAGATAAATTGAAAAATTCAATTTAAATCAAAGAGGCTGAAAATTAAAATTCATAATAATAATAACAAATCAATCAAACTACAAAACCTTTTTAAATTAGTTCAACTGATAGAAATTATAAAGCTAAACAATGTTTTGGTTATGAATTAACATTTAGATAACCTTAAAAACATTTGCTTACTATGTCATAATACCTTTTTAAATATTCTAAATTAATATAAGAACCAAATTTGAAAAGGCTTTCTGAAATTAAAATTGAAACTGTAATTGATAATAATAAAAATCATTAAATATAATGTGATGAGTATGATGCTCAATAATTCAAAAATTTATTAAAAGAAAAAGATCCTGAGTTTTTTTAACTATGTTCAACAAATTTTATTTTATTTTAATAAGGAGATACTAATGATAGTAATTCAGCTTGGACTAAATGCTATATGTTATCTGAAAGCCTAAAATCTTTTTTATTTTCTTTAGGATTTACTATTGATGATGTAATTTTTCAAAATATTTTAAAAGAAATTTATATATATTAAGAGAAAAATAAAAAAGACAAGTATTAATTAGATTTGGATGCTTCTTATTACAGTGTGTTTTTAGCATTTAAATTGATTTTTCCAAATTTTGATAAATTATTGGAAGTTGTTAAATTTTTTTAAGATCAAGAAACAAATTTAATTGAAGTATCAACATTAAAATTAGTATTGAATAAAATGTTGGATGAGAATTAGATGAATAATGTTTTAAAATGGTCAGACTAATCTATTAAACATGATTAATTATTTAAAGTGTTGACTTTGTTACCTTATTGATGGTAGTATTATTTCATAATGTATATATATATATAATATATTATTAAAAATTAATGAAATTATTTGAGGGTCAAGAATAACCAAACTTCAAATAAAAAAATAAATAAGTAATTTGCTTATATCAATATAAAAAGAAAAAGGAACTATCAAATAAGAGAGAGAGAAAAGTGAGGATTAGATTCCAGAAGATGAAGTTGAGATTTTATTAATGACAAAGTCACTCAAATTTTATAGAATTTAAAATTATTAGGCAAAAAGAGTTTCAAAATTATAAAAAGCCGAAGTTGAAAGTGATAGTAGTAATGATTCAAAAAGATTACTGATTCTCTTAGGATAGAGATTTATTAAACTTTAAATCAATGAAAATTAATAGATTATAATGTTAGAATTCTTGCTTAAAATAAAATTAATTAGATTAATCTAGAATAAATAAAATTTATTTCATCATCACTATGGAAAATAAAAAAATCTAATTCTTGAATTTATTGCAACTAGATTTTTAAGATTCAATGGTAGATCATTCGATTAATATAATATATAATGATAAAAATTATTCAATTATATTGTTCAAATTCAGTTGTATTAAATTTGTTAATCGTTTTTTGCATTTCACATTTTTATGGTACAATGTCATTGGTAACAAAGGAACCTTTATATTCTGGTTTTTCTTCAGGAGAGGAAAAATCTACAGTCAAAGTAGTTGCTCTAGTTTAAGCGAAAAATGTCTTTTTCTGAGCACTAGTTGGTTTGTCATTAAATGTAAAAAATTCATGATTTAAACATTCAGTAGCTGTTGGTCTCATTTTCGGATCTTTAGATAACATTTTTTAAACAAGTTCCCTCTATATTAAATATTGATTACTATGACATTTTATGGTATTTTCTTTAAAGTGAGAACAGAGAAATCAATTTAGCATTTTTTATTTAATGATAAGACAAAGTTAAAGCCTGTTCCAGGAAAAACATCTCTTCCTGTAAGAAGCTTAAAAAATACGGCACCAGCACTAAAAATATCACATTTAGAACTATATGTAGCATCTTTATCAGTCAAATTAGCAATTTCTGGAGCAACATAACCAGGGGTTCCACATTTTGGATATTTAAATCTAGTTAATGTAAAATTTTACTTTTTTAAGGTTGTATATGTAGCCAAACCAAAATCAACTATTTTGAGAGTAGTCAAATTATTATTTTTCTATAGCACTATATTCTCTGGTTTAATATCTCTATGCATAATACTTTTTAAGTGCATATGTTCAATTCCACTTAATAAAGCCTATTTAACTATCAATTTACATGCATTATTTTTTATGTCTATTCTAATGTTAAGCCAACATGTTAATTTTTTATGAGTTATTGCAAATTTTTACCTGACAATAAATCCATTATAATATAGTAGCTTGTATCTCCTTAAAAAACTTCTTTTATTTTAACAAATGCTTGATGATCTAATTGATTATTAATCTCAATCTCTTAATACATAAGTTCATTCTTTTCAACACATTTTGCTGCAAAATACTAATCACTATGCTTAGATTTCACTAATAAAACCTTTGCTGAGCTACCTTAACCCAAAACTTATAATGGTGTATAGAAGTCTTGTATTTTTGAAAAAAATAATCTTCCATTTAGTAATTCCTTTAACTTTAAGGCTTAATCAGTCTGATAAATATTATTGTTAATTTTAAATCCTACTAAACCTCTTTCAAATTGCCAACTAATTAAATTTGGATATAATAAAGGTAGAGAAAATAAGGGTTCATTATCTTTGTAGATGTGTAAGAAATCTTTTTTTAGAATAGCTTTATAAGGAGGCTATAAATCAAGAGTTAGTAGAATTTCATTGTCAATAAAGTTAATTTAAGTCTATAGCATCATAGAGTAAACATTTGGACAACAAGTCAAAAACATTTCCTGTATTACTAAAAATAATTATGATTAACATTAGTAATAATTGAAGTATAAATATAATAAATTGTAATCATAATTAAAATTGTTAAATTTTTATATTAAGTTTTAGATTCAATTATATTATTGATAGTTCTTATATTAATATAAACTGAATTATCAAAGTGAACACTTAAATTTAATATCTCTATTTGGAATTTGGTTTGAGGATTGGGAAGTCCACTTTAAATAATTGAGAAGTTCTTTGTCCTCTTATCGAATGATATTACCAAAGACTAACCATTAGCTTTTAGGTCCATCAAATTCTTATTTGTTAAGAAATATAGTATATTTTTGATCAACTTCTCCAGTTTCAATGTCTCTCCTTTAACCAATAGATCCAAATTGAGTGTACAAATTATTGATTTCAGACTACCATTTATTATTTACCAAAGTTGTTGTCATTTCCATTTTAGATTCTGAAATATGAGTTAGATTAAATTCCTAAAGTTCTTAGATATTTTAACAAGACTTAGGGGTTGATTCACATAGTAATTAGAATGAAAGATAACCTTTTTCTATTCCGTCAACTTTCACATGACAGTATAAAATTTATGCAACAACATAATTAAATAAGAACAGAATTATCATTTTTATTTGGAATAAATTTTATTTGTCAGTTTATGTAAGACATTCGCTAAATGAGATAAAAATATGAATCAATAAAATAATCAAATACAAACACTCCTAAGAAATGCCTCACTCTTACAATATCCTAATAATAAGTTAAAACTAGTCCAGGATTGTAAATGACTACTAAATCAAATCCAAGGCTTAAAAAAATTTGTAATAACTGTTTAAATCAATCACTTATGAAAGAAAAAGAATACAAATTGTAGTAGGAACAATAAGAAGATTAAGTAATTATAATTTTATTAATTATTTAGAAATTGTACTTATAAATCAAATAATCAATAGATTAAGAAAACTAAAATAGAGTTTAGTTAGTTGAAGAAAATAAAAGAAAATTCTTTGCTTATCGTAAGATTAATGGTGATTTAATTGAAATGCATTAATAAAGAGCTAAAACTGAATATGAAAATGAATAAAGTGAAGTAGCTAACTTTTATAAATTGTTGGAGAGGGATGAGAAAGCTTAAAAATTAAAACAATTAGAAAAAAAAGAATAATTATAATAATATTATTTAAGGGATCTTAAAAATTAAATTTCATTTAAGGAAGAAGAAAAAATATAATAAAAGTTATAAAACAATAAATCTGATATAATAGAATCTTAATATTGGACACAATTAGAAATTGAGCAAATGCATAATATTTAAATTAAAGCCTAATAATAGCGATAAATGATAAACTATTGGTAGCAAACATTATAAGAAAAATAAAAGTTGAAAAAACAATAGGAGGACATAAATAAAATAGAATAGGAACAGATGAAGTATTTATAAAAAAGCAATGAGAAATTAATTAAAGCAAGTGAAATAGCTAAAAAGTAATAATTGGAGTAATTCAAATAAGAAATTTAATATTAAGTTAAAAAAAATGAATAAAAAAAAAAGGAGGAAGAAAACAGAAAGAAGTAGGAATATAATTCATTAATGTAATAAAAATAATTGGAGGAACAGTATGAAAAATAAAAATAATTGGATAAATCAATGGAAAAGTAAGCATTTATAAAAGAGATAGAACAGTAGATAATTTTAAAAGTAAAAAGTGTGGTATAATTTAGTAAAAAGTATAGAAATAGGAAAAAGAAAGAGAATTGAGTGAAAATGAAAAGAAATTATTGATTAAAGAAATTCCATTGGAATTGGTATGCTGTGATGAATGCAAACATAATTGTCCATCAAAAGTTATTACTAATATATTATAATGATAATAATTTTAAATTAATGTAATTGGATGAGAGTAATAAAACAAAGAGAAATGATTAGTCTATTCTTAAAGAAACCTCCAAAAATAGAAATGTAATGAACAATAATTATGATGCAAGATAGTTTCTAAATTATAAGGAAATCCAGCGAGATTGTAAGGATTGAAAGATAGTTTTAAATACTTTACATTATTGAAAAAGAATCAATATTTAGAAAGAAAACAATTCAGAGTTAGTCGAGATGAGACTTTAGTTTGTTCTTGTATAATGTGTCCTGAAGATTAAATATAAAAGTACATAAAATAATAAAAAATAGTCGTCCATAAGGTCCGTAATATTCATATAATTGTGGTGAGAGATGTTTGAATAGATTTACATGCACTGAATGTGATGTAGAGTTGTGTCCATGTGCAGAACAATGCAAGAATCGTAGATTTTAGAAACATGATGATGCATGTGTATATCCTTTGCGTTGTGGAGGGAAAGGAATGGGGTTATTTGCTGGTGAACGTATATTGAAAGGACAATTCATAATGCAATATGTTGGAGAGATATTTCAAATAAATAGTGCATTTGGAAGAAGACGAGTGCAGGAATATTCGGTTTGATTTGTGTATTTATTTTAGAAATCAACATGCACATATTTGATGAAACTAAATAATTAAGAAGTAATTGATCCAACATCAAAAGGGAATCTAGCCAGGTTCATAAATCATTCTTGTGAGCCAAATTGTATAACTGAGAAATGGAATGTTTTAGGTGAAGTATGCATTGGCATATTTGCTATTAGAGATATAACTGAAGATGAAGAATTAACATTTGATTATTAATTTGATGTATTCCACACACCATTAACTAAATGTTTGTGTGGTGCAAATAAGTGTAAAGGATATTTAGGATTAAAACCAACTGATGTAACTTAAGAAGAGTGGGAAGAACATTTAGAAAATATGGTATGTAAAATATGTTAAACTAAAACACCTTAAGATGATGAATAATTATTACTATGTGACAAATGTAATTGTGGATTTCATTTATTATGTCTGATTCCTCCATTGTCATCAGTACCTAAAGATGCTTGGTATTGCTAAGAATGTTAAGATGAAAAAAGAATTTTATAAGAGTCTGAAAAAGAAAAGCAAAAAATTGAAGGTTTATTATTATAAAAGGCTAAACAATTAAACAATGAAAAAAAAAATAAAAAAAAGATTGATGCTTCATCTTCATCTTCTAGTAATTCTGATAGTGAATATGATAACCGTTATAAAATGTTTAAATCTATAGAAAAATAAAGTCTTAGAGAATAGTTATAATAAATTCAACATCATTAATAATAAATCAATAAATAAGAAGAAGATTCTCATTTTATTAAAAAAGATGAATTTGATAATACTATTTCAGATCTACCTATACCTCCATCTAAAAATATTAAGTCTACAGGAACTTCGTTAAATAATTTAGATTAATTTGTTAAATCATCAATTGATTTATAACCTCAAAACAATGGTAAACAATAATAGATGTAACCTATTGTTGATGTTGCTTAGAAAAAATTTGAAGAACAATATAATGATGATTAAGAATTGTAATAATAAATTGAATAAATACAAATATAAAACATTCAAAATATTGATACTAAAAAAGAATGTTTTAAAATTAATATTCTTGAATAAAAAGTAGTCAAGAATAATGCTCCATTAATTTATAAGATTGGTAATAAAATTAGTTTTGAATAAATTGATTAATAACATGCTGATTTCTTTAAAAAAGAGAATAATTTAACAGTAATTGGATCTGTGCAATAAATCAACATTTTTAGAAGCATTTTAACAATGATTGAATAAATTATTAAAGAGCTTAAAAAAGAATTAGGAATAATAGAAGGATAAATAAAAGTACCAATTATTTATTTAAAAAGATTGATAATGAAATTGTAATTATTTAATAATATTTCAAAATAGTAATAGTTTAGATAAAAAGCAAGAGGTAAACATTATTTACAACAAATCATTGGCTCATAGCGAAGAGATTTTTCCAATGGACAGAGCCACTCCAATTAAAATTAAAGGGTCAAAATAAAATATAGAATTAACTGTTTAAGAAATAACAAAGATTTTAAAAACATTGTGTGTTTAAAGGTTGTATATAAGTAGAAGTGAAACTAAAACTGTTTAATAAAATATGTATCATTTAAAATAACATGCTGAAATAAGAATTTCTAGAGATTCTGTTTATAATGCTAAAGGAGAATAAACATAAAGGGATATTAATCATCCATTCTTTTATATATAATATAGAGAAAAGGAAGTATGTTTAATTGGAACTCTTTAATAGATTTAAGAGACAAGCAATGCAATAAAAGCACTTTTAGAATAAGAAACTAATAATGATAAGGAAATGACCTATTTCACTGTTCTCATTTCTCCATAATATAAAGAACAATGCAAATAAGTTAAATAAAGAATTGAAAAAGATTCATCTTCTACAAAAGTATTATTATTTGAGGCTTCACATCCTAGAAAGAATATGACAATATTAATATTATGTTTAAGGAGTCAAATTAAATAAACAAAATAAATGTTTTTTGAAATGATTCAAGAGGATTGTCAATTAAAATTAGAATAATTTTAAGATTAAATGTCAATGCAGATGTGTAGATATGTTTTTAAATATCTTTAAAATACAATGATGACTAATGATATGGCATTTATGAAGAACTGGGATTTAATTACTCCTTATTTTTATTAATTTAATATTTTAAAGTATAGAGATTCAAAATTTGATAATTGGTTTGTGAAACGTTGTTATCCTTCATTATTAAGAGATTATGAAACTTAATTATATATATAGTATTGTTTAGGCAAGGAAATATAAAAAAATTTAAGCGAGTAAGAATAAATTTTGAGAAAAAAGAATCTTATATTATTAACTAAAAAGATACTTAATGCAATTTTAGGATTTAAGAGACATTAACCTGATTAAATATAAATAGATGGAAATTATTAATAGGATACATTTAAAAGATTTAATAGTGTTTAAGAAGATGATACTCCTAAATTATAAAATCTACCTTTGATATAATTAATTCCTTAATCATCATAATTTAGTAAAAGAAGTGATAGATAGAAAAACAGTAGTGATAACAGTTCTTCAGATTCTAGTAATCATTAACATCAAAAAAAATAAAGTAGTTCAGAATCAGAGAGAAGCAGAGATATGTCAACTAAACAAAGACATAAATCTCATCATTATAAATATAACTACACATAAAGAAGTCCAAATGATAGGTATGATAAATATAAATATGAAAAATCTCATAATTATGATAAATCAAAATAAAAACAAAAATATTAGAGTTATAAATATGAAAGACCTAGAACAAATAGAAGATATTATGAGGATAATGATTATTCAAAAAATAGAGGATCCTATAAAAGAAGTAATAATATAATTTAATTTTAGGATCTAGCAGTGATAGCTCACAAAAATCTTAAGAATACAGAAGAAAAAGATAGGAATCTGTAGATTCTGATAGATATAAAAATAATAAGTATTATAGTGGATTTTAATTTGAAAGAAGACATCCCAAAGCTTATAAATATGATTATGAAAGTATTTTTTAATTTCATATATTAGAATCTACTAAAATATAAGATAGTAAAGAAAGATCTCGATCAAGATAAAGAAATAAATCAGATAGTAGTGATTAATATAGAAGAAGATCTAAATCAACTCATAAATCTAAAAAATACTATAGAAAGTATTAGTGAAATTTAAATATATATAATTTATTATGGATTAAGTTAAGCCAAAAGTATTTTTTGTTTTGGGAGGTACTGTCTTATAGATCCATGATAAATAGGACCTGGAGCTGGAAAAGGTACTTAGAGCGCAAAAATGGTTGAGAAGTATCATTTCGTTCATTTATCTGCTGGAGACTTGTTGAGAGAAGAAGTAATTTATTAAAATATTTTCAAGAGATCCAAAAAAACACAAAATGCAGAATTGATTGAGGAGATCATTAAGAATGGATAAATTGTTCCAGTAACTCTCATATATAATTTATTAGAGTCATATAACAATTGAATTATTATAATCAGCTATGCAAGCCAATGGCTTAAATAAAATGTTTTTAATTGATGGATTCCCAAGAAATCAAGAAAATTACGATGTTTGGATCAAATTAATGGGTGATAAAGTGGAATTCAAAAAGCTTTTTTATTTTGAATGTGATGAGTAAACTTTGAAGAATAGAATCAAAATCAGAGCTTAAGAAAGTGGAAGATCAGATGACAATGATGAAACAATGATTAAAAGATTGAAAACATACAATGAATCAACAAGACCAATTATATGTATTATATTCACTAATCTTTAGAATATTTTGATTCTCTTTCACAATGTATCCATATTAAGGCAAATAAAACAGTTGATGAAGTATTTTAAGAAATATCAATGAAATTAGATGAAATCTTATGATATTAAATTTAACAATGCACGCAGATTCATTTCTAAACAACAAATATTCTAGTTTTAATCGTTCTTTATGTAAAATTAAATCTTATTCCTTTTAACATTATTCAACACATAAAGTTCGTCCTAATTTCAAATTGAAAATAATAAACAATGACGTCATAATGGTCAATTAATATAACTAATCCCCCAAAAACATTTAAAACAATAATCTCTTTTCACAACCGATAACTAAATAATCATTGTTAAAATCTGATTGATATATTAAATTTAAATTATTATAAAAATATATACGTTTAGAAATCTTAAGTAGTGTCTAATCCTTGATTAAATTAATTGGCAATATCTATCATACCATTTAACATATGTTAATCAAAATTAACCTACGATTATATTAATGCTTCTTATTTCTATAATTAATCTGTAAATATAATTTAACTTATAGAAAATTTTAATTACCATTACTAAAATCAACCAAAAAGAGGGCTTAATTAAATTGGTAAATTGAATAGCCCAAGTTTAAATGATAAAAGAAATTTTAAAATTATAAAAAAATAGGATTATAATATTTATGGTTATAAAAAGGAATGAAATCTACATTTATGAAAAAATGGTTAGAAACTACTATTATTTAGGATAAATAGAAGAATATTTATATTTGAAAGAGGACTATTTGATATATTTTAATCTGAAATTACACTTGAAAGAAACTCAATAAGAGATCAATTAAGCTAGAAAATTTAAATTAAATTTCTTGTTCATAATTAAAATATTAATTTGAGTTTAAATTAAACAAAATTGTAGAGAGGACATTTCAAATTAAATACTTCATGTTTTTAAAGAAAAACTTAATTTTATGAGTTAAACAGAAAAACAGAAAATTTTCGTCCTTCTTTGTTANATGAAATTAGATGAAATCTTATGATATTAAATTTAACAATGCACGCAGATTCATTTCTAAACAACAAATATTCTAGTTTTAATCGTTCTTTATGTAAAATTAAATCTTATTCCTTTTAACATTATTCAACACATAAAGTTCGTCCTAATTTCAAATTGAAAATAATAAACAATGACGTCATAATGGTCAATTAATATAACTAATCCCCCAAAAACATTTAAAACAATAATCTCTTTTCACAACCGATAACTAAATAATCATTGTTAAAATCTGATTGATATATTAAATTTAAATTATTATAAAAATATATACGTTTAGAAATCTTAAGTAGTGTCTAATCCTTGATTAAATTAATTGGCAATATCTATCATACCATTTAACATATGTTAATCAAAATTAACCTACGATTATATTAATGCTTCTTATTTCTATAATTAATCTGTAAATATAATTTAACTTATAGAAAATTTTAATTACCATTACTAAAATCAACCAAAAAGAGGGCTTAATTAAATTGGTAAATTGAATAGCCCAAGTTTAAATGATAAAAGAAATTTTAAAATTATAAAAAAATAGGATTATAATATTTATGGTTATAAAAAGGAATGAAATCTACATTTATGAAAAAATGGTTAGAAACTACTATTATTTAGGATAAATAGAAGAATATTTATATTTGAAAGAGGACTATTTGATATATTTTAATCTGAAATTACACTTGAAAGAAACTCAATAAGAGATCAATTAAGCTAGAAAATTTAAATTAAATTTCTTGTTCATAATTAAAATATTAATTTGAGTTTAAATTAAACAAAATTGTAGAGAGGACATTTCAAATTAAATACTTCATGTTTTTAAAGAAAAACTTAATTTTATGAGTTAAACAGAAAAACAGAAAATTTTCGTCCTTCTTTGTTATTAGGACTTCATTTAAGAAAGCAGAAGTTAAGATTTGATTATTATTACAGCAGAAGTGCCCAGTTATATCCACATATCTTTGAAATTCTCCGCCTTTATAAAGGCATTTCCTCTTTTCTTTCCAAAAATTTTGTCACCATTTGTGGAATATCATATACACTCCCTCACTTAGATTTGTGACCATTATTTTTTATTTAAACCCGATTTTTTAGCATAATTATCTTACACTTACATTCATATTGATATAAATTATTGATCTTATGCTTTATATTTTATATTTAAAGTATCAATAATTTAAAAATTACTTTTTGAAATTTATAGATACAAACAATAACATCAAATATTCCTTCAAATAAGAGGAGAAGACTTCCATAATTAGAAACAGGAATAGCTTTTAAAGACAGATTTTAGATTACTCTTTTATTTGATATAAAAGTTATTAAAATATTGATTTAAATTTATAGTAAATACTATTCACATAATTTTTAATAAAATTGGTAGTAGATATTTTGATCTTTTTAATCTAAATATGTTACACTGTAATACTTATTATATATACTTAATTTTATGATTAAACAGAAACAAGGGTCTTGCACTGAAGATAATATCGATAATGTTCTGTGATATATTTTTCATCAGTTTCTTTTGGCTAATATTAAAATGTATCTTTTTTATTATCAACTGCTTTAAATGATTTATACAAATTAGTTTTCAATTTGAGTTATTATTAATAGAACTAATCTACAATTGTATATATATATGAAATTGATTATTTTTCAAATAATTCTGAAATTTAGACACTTGAATAATTAATAATGCATTCTTTTAAAAACTTGAAAAATTTATAATTTTTGACTGACTTTAAATATTAAATGATAGTTAAAATTGTTGTTTATTTATCAACTTTACAAAAAATTAATTATTAAATTATGATTGGATCTTAATACTTTCTAAATTAGTTTGTAAATTTTGAAAAATGATTAAATGATATTTATAATTAAGAAAATAAATTTAATTTTAAATTTACATGTTTCAATAAAGGTTCCATTAGATATTTATTTATCTATTCTAAAATATTAGATTTTGTCATATAATGAAGAATTAAATAGAAATAAATTATCAAAAATAATATCTCCTCTTTAATAGAATGCATTAGTTTTTTATAAAATATTTTTACGTTTGCATTTATTTAGATTAGATCTAATACATTTTTTAATATTATTTGATAGTTTGAAAGAATTCTTATTCGTATATATAAATATATATATATAAATTTCGTTTGTTAATTTTTTAAATGGAGGGTGAGTCTTTCGACCCTTCAGAAATTGGTGAACGATTTCACAAGGAAATCGTACACTCGCATTGGAGTAGTTTTCAATTAGCAATCTCGCGTATCCGTTGGTACGTCACTTACAGCGATATTGCCCCTGAATAAGGATAAATCTCTAGAATTACAGATTTTATTTAAATAATGAAGACAATTTTTGAATTTTATGGGTTTCTCTCCTTCAATTCTTTTTAGGTTTATTTTAGTAAAATATACACAAATAAACTAAAACTATAATTGTCATTTTTAATTAATCAAGTATTTGGCTCCCTTCTTTGCAAGAAACTATTTAATATTTCTCATTTTTTTTTATTGTTCTTAAGATCCTTTATAATATCCCCATAAATTAATCCAATTCAAACAAGCACCAATACCTGCTAGAAATATCTATTTAATTATTAAATCCATACATCTATAAATCCAAATTAAAATATATTTGCAAATACAAAGAATGCCCATAAACAAGAAGATCCAAATTAACAATACCAAAAAACTGTTGAATCTATAGCATTTACTTCACCTTTGTTATAAAATTCATATTTATAAATTTCTTAACCATGAAATGATAAATCTGTATACCATCTCACTCCAATCAAATATCTTCCGGTAACATTTTTAACCAAATAAAAATCAACCCCATGACAAATCAATAAAATTATCATCTCATAAAACATATTCTAAATGATATATCCAAGTAGTAAATACCTAAAATAAAATATAAAATGATTACGAAAAAAAGGCACATGCTTTTAATAAAATATGTAATAACCACATTACAGGATGACTATCATCTTCTTTTAACAAATCAAGATGAGATAAGTAGGTATCTTATTGCTACACATCATGCATCTCTATTTCTTGTTGTTACTTATTCATTTTTTTATTAGAACACGAATATTAATTAAAAATATTAAAAAATAATGAATGAGTATATAGAATTAAATTCTAATTAGACTTAATCATTTTAGTATAAAATTTATAGAAGAGATTTATAAATAACAAGATTTATAATCAATTTTATTAATTATCAGACATTCTTTTGAGTAAAGTATCAATAAATTCTTAATGACTCTCTATTTTATAATTTTTTAAAAGATCTCCACCCTTTAAATTTATCAATAAAGAAGGTCCTACAAAAAATGGATTATCTATTATGTCTTTTTTCTGTATATTGCTTAAATACCTTTATCTTTGTTATTTGCTGTACAACCCATTAAATATTTTTATTTTTATAATTTATATTCATCATTGTAATTTATTTATCATTTGGTTTAATATTTATTTATATTTCCTTTATTTGTCATATTTTTCAAACTCTTCTAAATGCTACAATATTTCTTTCTAATAAACTTAATTTAATTATGAATATTTTCCTAAAATTGTTTAAATTTATATGATCTCATTCTATTAACTTTTATTTTATTAATAATCTTAATCATATTTTAACATATTTATTAATTCATCAAGCTTTTACTAAATTTCTTCTGATTTAATAAAAATTTATTACTCCTAAATTTTATCTTTTATCTTTTTTTTAATCCCATTTTAAACTTCAACTATTAATTCATCAAATTAATATATATCTTTTGTTAGATTTGTTATCATCTAAGAAGTATCATTTAATATTAATCCATCTTCATATTTCTTTATTTTTGGTTGTAAATAATTAACAACTTAAGATTTTTTGACTTCTTCATTTGGAAAACAAGCCTTAAGATTTTAAATCATTTGATTAATCATTTAATTTTCCCATTTTTAAATACAAACTATATATAATATTAAACAATATTTTACTTTCATAAATAAATTAATCTTTAGATTCATTAAATATTAAAATACTAAGCATTAAAGCCTCATTTTTTAATACTTATTTTATGTAATTTATTTCTTTATATAAAATCTTTTGAGATTTATGCAAATCAAACTTTGAAAAAGATGCTAATATTGAATTATGTCTTATATTAAGATAAGAAAAAGCTTCAATGAATTCTTCTAAATATTAATCTATTTAAATGCATTGTAATAAATATTTGTCAAATTAAATTGTTTCTCTATTTATAACTTATCTTGGTGTTACATTATTTGAATTTCCAATTATCCATTAATTATGCAATACTTAATTGTATGTTAATCTCTCTTCAGGCTATTCATTCAACATATCAACCATTAACTTTCTTTAGAGGAATGGTATGTTAGGATCTTCAGGATCAAATAATATTGATTTTTTAGACTCCTTGACTGTGTAAGGATATAGATATTTAAATTTATTAGGTAAAGTTCCTTATAATAGTATATAAAGTAAGATCCCACATTTCCAAATGTTATGTTTTTCTACATCTGATTCTTCAGATTCTGGGGGATTAAAAATAGACTGAGAAAATGTTTCCTATTTATGTTTTAAGTAAATTCCATTAAGTAAAATGTTTCCTTCAGGTGTTACTAAAATTTTATTCGGAGATTATAAACTACATCTATAAAGCTAATTACTAATAGGTAATTTTTAAATCATGCAGCATTTTTAACGTTTAGATCAATTATTTGAATAATTATTTAACCTATAATTAATCGAAAATATCTTTATTGCAACAATACTCAAATAGAGTTTAGCCCTATGGTTTTCTGAAATATTTTAAAATAAGTACAATTAAAATATTATAGAATACTAATCAGTTTAATATACTTTTTCTATTTTATGAATATTTTAACTAGTTATGTTCAGTATAAATTTTAAACGTTCTTCACTTAATTTTTGTACTACAGTCATAATCTTTTCTTATTAATCAAAGCGATCTTTCACTAAATACGTTTGCATTAATTTATCTTCGATATTGTATTAGAAAACTACCAAATTGAATAATTTTAATCATGGTTATTAAGTTTTCTAAATCAGTAGGGCCAATTTGTTTAATCGGTGAACTTTAAATTTTTTTTTGACAAATACCCATATATTATATTTATTAATATAAACTAATTCTAATAATTTTATTGTTATTTAAAAGTCCTTGTTGATATAAATATTGAAAGTAAAAGTAATAATTTTGAATAGCGCATAAATTTTTTTTTCTAATTTTCTATAATTTATTTCTAATAAATTATAATGACTTTTGTGCTTTAAGAAGGTTCTGGAAATTGATGGAAAAAATATTATTTTTTTTAAAATTATTATTGATGGAAGTGGAACGTAATTAAGAGAATGATAAACAAAAATAATAAGCAGAAGAACATAAAAATAAAGGAAATGATTATTTTAAAAGAGGATAATATTCAAATGCAGCTGAAGAATATGAAAAAGCTATAGGTATTAAAATGAATGTAAGATTTAGAATTATGTTAAAATGAGCCTAATTATTATGGTAATAGAGCTGCTTGTTTTCTTTAGATGAAAAAGTAATTTTTACTAATAATAATTATATTTAGATATAGCAAATGTTTGAAAGACTGTGAAAAAGCTCTAAGTTTAGATCCAAAGAATGTAAAATTTCTTAGAAGAAAAGCTTTGAGTTTACAATATTTAGGACTTTTAACAGAAGCAAAACCTATATTTGAATAAATAGTTAGTTTAGATAAAAGTGAATAATCTGTTAAAGAAAATTAATAGATTAAAGAAATGATCAAAAATTTATAAGAAGCTAGATAAAAATTGGATGCTAAATTATATAAAGAAGCGTTGATTTTGATTGAAAAGATAGCAAGAGAAGTTCCTGATGCTGTTGATATTCAAATTTTAAATTGTGAATGTTTAGCTAGAACAGCAAATATTAATTAAGCTTAAGAATAATTAAGATTGATTTAAGATAAACATGGACCAAGAGCTGAGACATATTATTTGAAAGGTTTAATAGAATTATATGGAGGAAGTCCAGATAAAGCAAAATCAATACTTTAAGAAGGAGTAAGATAAGATTAAAATAATAAAAAATGTTTAGCAGCTTTTTAAATGGCAAAAGATTAGGATAATTATAAATCAAAAGGAAATGATTTTTTAAATTCAAATAAATTTAATGATGCTATTGAATATTATACAAAAGCTTTAGAAGTAGATTTAAATAATTTTAAATTTAATTCATTAATATATGCAAATAGAGGATTAGCTCATTAAAAATTAAAAGATCATAGAAAAGCTGTTAATGATTTTGATAAATCAATAGAATTAAATGATAGATATTTTAAAGCTTATTTAAGAAGAGGAGATTCAAGATATGAATTAGGTGATTTAGATGGAGCATAAAGTGATTTTTAGAAAGTAATGGAATTAGATTAAGGATCTATATAATAAATGAGATAAAAAATAAATGATATTACAAGAAAATAAAAATAATTATCTAAAAAAGATTATTATAAAATATTAGAAGTTGATAAAAATGCAACTGAAGCAGATATAAAAAAGGCTTATAGAAAATTGGCTTTATAATGGCATCCAGATAAAAATAAAGAAAATGAAGAATAAAAAGTATATAATGATATTAATATAATAATAGAAATTAGCAGATTAAAAATTTAGAGAAATTGCTGAAGCATATAGTGTATTGAGTGATAAAAAAAAAAGATAATAATTTGATATGGGAGTTGATCCAAATGATCCAATGGGAGGTGCTGGAGGATTTGAAACTAATATTGATCCAACATAAATTTTTAAAATGTTTTTTGGTGGTGAAGGAGGTGGAGATTTTGGTGATTTTGGATTTCCAAATATGGGAGGTGGATAATTTCCAGGAGGATTTTAAACTATGTTTACAAGTAATTTAGGTGGAATGGGTTAGAATATGAGAGGAGGATCATCATTTCCATTCTAATTTGGAGGAGATTTCTCATAATAAGGAGGAGCAGGATTTCCTGGATTTTCATTTCCAGGAATGCAATTCACTTAATAATAATAATAAAGAAGAAGATGATTTATTTTTGTTTCTCTTAATAAATAATGTTATTATGTTTATTATATAAATTACTATTATTAAAGATACTAAATAAACTTATCTCCTGCAAAAAAACGCAGATCAAATAAAAAGATTAAATCATGTAAATTTCAATATAATTATAAATAACAATTATCTTCAATTTCTATGAATTTCTACCCTATTGACTTTGAAGAACAAGCCTCTTAATGTACTTATTCTATATATCTCTAGAGTTAATATGTGAACCTCTTATTGATTAAACAAATTAATCCTAATACTACGAATATGATCAAAGTGCTTAATAGGAACCTGAATAACTAAATACATTTGATGGGTATTTATAAGAAGAACCTGTCCTTCTGTTTAATTATGTTGAGGAAGCACCAAAAAAGAAAACTAAACATATTAAAAGAAAATCAAAAAAAATTAAGAAGGTTGATTCTGAAACTGATGTTCCTTCTGGAAAAAGATTAAAATCTCGTATTACTAATAATGATGTCTTGAAATTATAGTAGTGTTAGAGATTAAAAACAATAATTTCTTAAATGGAGGCTCTTTTATAATAAACAAGAACATCAATTCTCAATCAATATATGAAAAATCACACTAAATGACTTCCACAATGACTAAATATATCGAGTTATATATATATATAAATGTAGTAAAACATTTTCAGTCTTGTTTCTTCAAAATTTAAATAGAAACAAATATCAAATAACAACATAAGTATTATATAAATATCAATCTCAAGAATAAATATTCTTTATTAAAATGATTGATTACGACAAACTTAAAATATAAAAACTAATAGAACAACTAATCATTTTAAAAAAAATAAGATATATCTTTGACATATGAATTTATATAATTAAGCATATCTTTCAAGGGTTGTTTAATATTAAAGAATTTTAGATTGACATAATAGGATTTCTATTAATATTATTTATATAAATGTTTTCCTTGAAATTCAGTTTAGAACAATTAAAATTATTGATATTTATATCCTAGTTAAAAAAGTATCAAGATATTTTCTGTAATAAAATGTATATTTATTACTGTATTTTAAATTAAATAAGGATATTAATGAATTCTTAAACTTAGAAATTTTTTCGTTACATTGTTAAAAAATCTGAAAAATGGATAACTTGTAAAAATATGTAAACATAATTATATAATTATTAATATTTAGAATTTCATGAAATATAGTATGTAAATCGAGATATATAATAAAATATATATTTATTTTTAAAAAGAAAATGAGTGAAATAATTGATTAAAGTATTTTATAGAGATATGAAATTTTGACAAAAATTGGAAAAGGAGCATATGGAATAGTTTGGAAAGCTAAAGATAATAAAAGTCAAAAGATAGTTGCCTTAAAAAAAGTTTTTGATGCTTTCACTAATCCTACAGATGCACAAAGAACTTATAGAGAAGTAAATATGATTTGTATATATTTTAAAGGTTTGTCTTTTAAAGTAGCTGAATCATCCAAATATAGTAAAATTAATAGATACTTATCCAGCTGAAAACTTAAATGATCTATATATGGTTTTTGAATACATAGAGACTGATCTTCATGTAGCGATTCGAGCTAAAATATTATAGCCTCCTCATCGAAGATATATAATATATTAAATATTGAAAGCATTAAAATATATTCATTCATCAGGAATAATCCATAGGTATGAAATAAGATTATAATAAAATTTAGAGACTTAAAGCCAGCAAATATTTTATTAAATTCTGAATGTTAGATTAAATTAGCAGATTTTGGATTAGCAAGAATGTCATAGACTTTAGAAGATGATATTTTGACTGATTATGTAGCAACTAGATGGTTTAGAGCTCCAGAAATTTTATTAAGATCAAAATCTTATTCAACTGGAGTTGACATGTGGGCTATTGGATGTATGATGTGTGAGATGATCTTGGGAAAAGCAATATTTTAAGGAACTTCAACTATTAATTAAATTGAAAAAATTATAGAAGTTCTAGGATTTCCATCATAAGATGATTTATATACTTTAGGAGGATAAAAATAATTATTCGATAAATTCTCAAAAAATTATTAGTCTAATTTATAAACTTACTTGAATTGTAATTTTGATGAATATAATTTAATTTCAAAGTTATTAATGTATGATCCAAATTCAAGATTAAATGCTAATGAAGCTTTAAAACATCCTTATTTTAAAGAGTATCATAATTTAGATGAAGAAATCATTTTTAAAGGATAAATTCAACTTGAATTAAATGATGATAAGTTATTTCCCATTTAATTATATAGAGATTTATTATACAAATAGAACACAACACATATGAATAAAATGTTAAATTTAATGAGAAAATAAAAAAAGTTATTGTAAATTATAGACAAAAAATAGGTAGAAAATAATTAAAAAGTATAAAGTTAATAATAATAATTTACCAGAAGTGCTTTTATTTAAAATAAATCAACATCAAATTTGGATAAAAGTACAAATAAAACTGTTACAACTCCTTATAAAAATACCTATCTAAAACAGCAATAAAGTTTAATTAGTTTAAAATAAACTTACCTTTAATAAAAGTTGAAACAAATTTGTTTATCATCCTCTGATCAAATTGAGAATATTGTCTAATCAAAATCCCCTAAATAATAAATTTTATTACCATAAAGATAATTAAAAAAAACAAACCTTAGACCAATATAGTTTAATAATTTAACTAGCACATTACTTAGCCCATAATCATAAATTAATTCGTTAACTTAGATGAAATTTTGATTATATTTATTATTGCTACTTATTTATAGTGCAATTTATATTTAATTCTTAAAAAACTTAGATAAAAAAATATTATATCAAATCTAATACAAATTAATACTATAAATATAAGTTTTCATAATTTAATAAAAATTAATGTTTTTTATATTTATTTTCATATCCTTTATAATTAAATAATAAATTGTAATGAATTATTATTGCTTACTGGTATTTATAAAATTAATTTATATATGAAATCAATCTAAGTTCTTATTTTTTTTCATTTTAAAGCAATTTTAGTAATATTATATGCACTTGGCATTTTAGTAGGATCCAATCTTGAAGGTAATCTGTTATCATTTTTATCTTCTAATTATTATTTTGTAATTTTTTCGTGATATCCATATTTATATCTATTTTTTTAAACAGTTGGTTTATCTATAGCATCTCTTCTTTTATTATATTCTTTATATTAAATTAACTGCTCCTTTTTTTTAATGATAGAGATAGATTTAAAAACTTTTTATTATTATTAATCAGTTGCTTTTAGAATAGACTTAAAATGCTCTTTTTTAGATTCGATTTCATTATAATAAGGCAAGATATAAACATCAGTGGGTCTTCTCAAATGTTCTTTGGTAGGCCTTCTTTTAATATCATGTTTAGATTATTCAAATTGTGATTAATCTATTTAACTATTTTAACTTTCTATTTCAGATATTCTAGCATCTACATCACTTTCTGTAAAATTTATAGTATTTTAAACTTCTCCTGCAATATTAAAAAAATATTCTGAAAAACTTTTCCAAGCTTTCAAAGCCATATAAAGATATAAATATTCTTAAAGTATATTGAAATTACTTTATAAATCTACTTTTTCATTTACTCTTTCTCTTCTAAAATGATGATTTCTTTAATTGTATAATCTATATTTTATTTTTTTATCATTTTCTTTCATAATTTTTTTTCCAGCTTCTGTTGTAATTTTAAATATATTTTCCTTAAATGCTTATTTAAAAACTTCATAGAGTAAATTTCTAAAAGTTAAACAGCCTACAAAATCTTTTTTTAATTCAAAACTTGATGCTTTCTTTGCTGCATCCCATATATTATCACCTTTTTAAGCTCCTAATGGTTCTTCTAAATCTAATAAAAAATGACCTAAATATTTAGTCTACATTTTAGTGCCTTCAAATTCTTCTGTATATTTACACCATAAGGTTCGAAATTTATCAATTGTTTCTACATAAGTTTCTAAACAACTACTACTAGTATCATAAAATTTTTCAAATTCTTAAACTAATTCACAAACAATTAGATTCATTAATACTCTTGCTCCAATAAATATTAAACTATAATAAAATACTGATGCTAGAAACCAAGGTTTTTTATTCTCTTTCATAAAATTCTATGAGTCTACAAAAATAAATCTCCATCCATTTTCTGTTGTGCACTTAAAACTAGCAAGCAAACCAAAAAAAAAATTGTTATAATTTAATTAATCATTTAATATAGAACCAGAATCTACTTCTCCAAAAAGTGCGCAACCTATATATGAGTAGCATGATAAAACTGTAATAAATAATCCTAATATTCTTAAAATGGCCATTTTATTTAAATAAATGACATTCAATAACTTACGTATTCTTGTAAATTATTAAATAATCAAAGACATTCTTAAACATCTATTTAATATAAATACTCTTAACCATATAAAATATGGATCATCTCTGCTTGCTCTTGCATATCTCATATAAAAATTAAATTAAATATCAATATAGAAATCAAACAAAGCCAATAAAACAAAAATTAATTACATTTATCTCCAAATATCATCAAAATACCTTTTAATATGATAAGTAAATAATTTTAGAATACAATCTATTAATAATACAAAGCTAAAAAAGTGATTTATCCAATTTAAACTATTTAAAAATATTGTGCTACTTTACTCAAAAAAAAGCATTAAAGTAACTAAAATTATTAAATCTTTTATTACATAAATTTAGAATTAAACTTATTTTTGTGATTAAACTATAAGTTGAATTCTCTAGAAGATTTTTTGCTTTAAGCCTTAATCCTTTTTTTGGAGGTTTTGAGTAGTTAGGATTATCTAACATAATAATTTCAGTTAGTTTTAAGAATAATTCTTAATCTAGAGTTAAATCTGGATTCAACAGTTATTACTTATTTTATTAAAAGTTAACAAAAATAACTCCTGCAAAGAACTATAAGAAAAACAAAGCACCTATAAAAGTAAAACTAAAAAAAAATAAATAAGAAATCAACTCATTATTGAATCTTATTGGTCCAGTTTCTTCTGATGCACTATTAATACAAACAAAGAATGTTATACCCCAACCATCAAGAGTAGAAATAACAAATAAAGATTGCATAGCTTCAATAATGTTATTAAAATTATGAGGGTAGATTTTCCATTCCCCTTAACATTCTTACCTTCCAACTCCATAATTAAAATAAGAGTCACAAAAACCAAGTTTATCTTTATATATACTCATTCCAAAAATAGCAAAGATAAACCAAAAAAGTAAAATAACATAAAATATTCTTAAGATATCTGAAAATGATTTCATTATGGCCCCTCTCTCATTTACAAAAAATCCATAAGTGGAAGTTACTTTAAGTGGACGCAAATAACCCAAATATAAGACCCATTTTAAAGCTGTATGATTAGATGCTAAATATAGAAAATAACTGATAACATATACAAAATCTATACTAACCCAAATACTACTAAAGTATCCATCCTAAGCAATAGATCCATAAGTAATTATTTAAATAATTGCATCTATTAAAATTAATAAATTAAAGAGACATTATATAATTTCGTATCTGTTCCAAAAATTTGTATCTGTTTCATCAAAATAAGTAATGAATATCAAATTTATTAAACTACTCCATAACACTAAACCTAATAATATTTTAAAAGGATAATTTTCAGTTATAAGAAAACATAACTTTCTTAACTAATTATTTTTCTAAATAATGAACAATGAATATTCATTTTAAATATTATGATATTTTTGTTTATTTTCTGGTTCTATTAAAGATTCAAGTAAGTTTTTCATAGTGATATTGTTGTGATTTTTTATTACATTACTTTCCTTTTTGGATTCTGAACCTTAATTAAAATCTAAAATTAAACTTTCTTCTTTTTCCTCTTTTTATTCTTGTTCTATTTCTTTTGCAGTATCTAAATAATTTGCAAAACCATCAAGGATAATTACAAAGGATAATCCAAAACCAAAATAATTTACAATGAATACTAGAGAAATGCAAAATAGGAAACCTATCTCATAGATTCCATAAGTAGTACTTAGAATAACTACTCCATACCAATCATCTCCAGTTGATATATCATAAACAGCAATCCATGATTGATAAATGTTGCCAAAATAATGATACATTTTTAATTCAGCAGTTTCAGGAAAATCAAATATTTAAAGTGAAAATATAGCATAGTTTAAAATCAAAAAAAAAAGTAATAATGCCATGACTACATAATTTGGAAATGTTTAATAAGATATCATCATCATATTTTATGCAAATGTATTATATTTAATTACCCTAAAAAAAAAAACCGATTTCAAAATTTTTATGTAAGTGAAAATTTCAAATATTTATTCCTCTTCATTCGAAATAGATATAAAAAACACTCTCTCTATTAAAACAAAAGTTATAATTATTACGCTCAAAAAATTTGTTAATTTATACAAATAATTATGAATTGTCATGATCTTTAATATTGTTTCCAAAAATAAAAGTATTGTAATAATCAAATCAAAATATTCAGCTATTATTTTTTCATAAAAATCAGAAAATGTTAATATCAAAATATTTAAGCAAACTAGACCATCTAATATTATTTAAATAATTTAGTTAGTAATGAAATAATATAATTGATATTGAATCTTACTTAAATAAAAACGTACTCCCTTTAAGAAATAATAATTCCATTATTTATTTAGATATTAAAGCACAGATTCAAATTCTAATTTTTCTATCAAATCATTACCAGACCAATATTATTGATAAACTCCTTCTTTAGATTAATTGCTTAATTATTCATATGATTCTTCATTATTAGTTAGTAACCTAGGTTCATTTTTTAACTCAAGATTTAAGATTTCAACTACTTCATTGTATTTAAAGTTAAATTAATTTTAGTGTATGCTTGCTGCCTAACTTTTTGAATTTATTTATATCAGTTTTTAATCTTAATTCTTTAAAAAAAAAGATTTTTTTTTTCTACTTTCTTATTAAGAATGTATAACAAAAATATTGTTTCCCATATTCTTTGATTAAAAATGATCATAATTATTTTTTGCAGAACTTGAGTCTAATCTACTTTCATTTATATTTGAATTCGCTAATCTTTCAAAGAATTCACCTTAATTTTCTATATTTATTTTCTTCATTCTTAAGGGATATTTTAGTTTTTGTCTTTCTTTGTTTTTTATGTTATTTTATTTTTTTTAAATAACAATATATTATTGATGTAAATATAATTTTTTTTTAACTTTTTTAATATGTTCTTATTTCGTTTAAGAATTTACTTTCAATTAAATATCTAAGATAGATTCAAATTCATATGGTTCACTAAGTCGAATATTTTTATAAATACTCAAATAATCAAGACTTCTCAAAGTATAAAAAGTTTCCAAATTATTAAACTTATTTTCATTTAGATTGATAATATTTTATACCTAAAATTGTAATTTATGAAATGGAATGAAAAATGGAATAATCCAAGATTCATGAGTATTTTAATTCAAAATTTATTCCCTAATATTTTAAAGATCAATCTACTATCTTGCAGATAAGAGTTTAACATTATTGTGTTCTTGATTTGTTTAAATAGTGAACTTTTATTTCTAGTTTTTTTAGTATCCATTCTATTATGTTTCAAAATAGAAATTATTATTTTGATAATTTGATATTTAATTTTTAATTGCTTTCCATATATCATTTTCTAATAATTATGACAAAGAAATTTTAATTTAATTTTCTGAAAATTCAGGCTTTACAGGATTATTTTAATAATATTCTTAAGTTTTATGGTAATAAACCTTTAACACAGCAATTAAAAGCTGAAAATAAAATTTATTAATCGCAAAAATGATGAACACATTTAATATACAAATGAAAGGATTGAATTATTTCATGAGCATATACATAGTTATAGTCCAATCATTTACAATGCTTGTCCTAATAGTTTAGAAATAAGCAAAAAGAATATTATCAAAATTAGTTGGGATATCAATATTCTATAATTGTCTCGCACAAACAAAACCGTTTACACATTCTTTATATCCACATACAGCAATTTCATAGGGGCTTAAAGAAAAAATTCCAAGCTCTTCATTCATGCATCTGTATTTTAATACTCCATTAAATGCGTATAGCATGATAATTGCTATAAGAATTGTAAATAGAATTAGTATCAACAGATTTTCGATAATTTATTTAACTGCTTCTTTAATTGATAATAATATGATATTTAATTTATTACTTATATGTCCAACATAAATTGGTATTCTGATTAATCTAAATGAGGATACATCAAAAGAAATATTATGATTTTAGACAATATATAATAAATAAAGGATGAGAATTATCAAATCATATATATTCCAAAATGATTTTATGTATTTTTTAAAGCCTTATCCTGCTAAATGTATAATAGTATCGATAAAATACAAAACAAAAAATAAATATTAGTATTCATTTATTTTATTTGACTCTTAAGAAGATCTATTCAACAATATTATTATATTTGCTACTGTGACTAACATTTCACATAAATCAAAAATCGTTGATTATAATAATTTATAGCTTAAAATCTGCAATGAAATAAAAGCACCAAATAATAATTTTCTAAGAAATAATAATTTATGCCGATCTTAATAATATTAAATTTCTTTTATAAGCCAATGAAAATTGTGTGAAACTCTTAAGTCAATAGAATGATTAAAATTTTTCTATTCTATCAATAATTGGTATTCAAATTCAGGATTAAAATCAAATTTTGAATTCTTATTTGATGATTCATTCTCATCATTTTAATTTTAAATTTAATAATCTAAATCATTTTCTAATATTTTGGTATTTTCAAAAATTTTTATAAATTCATTTTTCTTTTGCAATTCATCGTTATTATTGTCTAATTCATATAATTATAAAAAAGCTTATTTAGATGCATTTCTTTGATATTGTTCATTAAATTTTATAATAGAGTGCTCTTGTTCAATATTAAACGTATTATTTATATCAGATTCTGATTATTCCTCCTTAATACCTTTATTTTATAATAATTGATCTAATGTAAGAGGAATTGTTTATTAATTAATGTTATTTTTATTTATTGATTTTTTTACAGTTTTTGATTAATTTGATGATTTCATACTTTCTCTCATTGTTTAATTTTGTTATATAATTTGTGAATCAACTCTTTATTTATCTAAAATAGTAGGTAGCTTTTATGAAACAGAAACTTTTTTTAAGCTTCTGACTTCAATTTTCTAATCAAAAGGGGAATCATTTATTTTTGTTTTATTTATGAATTTTTCTTTTTTAATTTCACTATTTGGATATGATTCTTGAGGTTGCTAACGATACTATTTCTACCCATGATATCTTTCCTTTTTATTTGACATATAAATTTGTACTTGTCTTTATTTGTTTTAATAATCTTAATATTTTTTAGTCAAATATAAAATAAAATATTCTAAATTTGCTTAAGCTTCATATATTTTATATTAATGGATTACTTACTTAAAATGAAATATTAAATAATATAAAATAGTAAAATAGTGAAAGTTTGATTTTAAGTATTGAAGATTTCCGTTACCAAATTTTCACTCAATAAATGAATATGACTTGAAAATTCACAACTTTTGAATGAATTGATTATAAAAAATTGTTCCATGATGCTATATTTAGGTAAACAACACTTTTTTATTTGTATCAATGGAGTAATAAAATTAACTTAACTTGTCTATAAATCTTATGTTTTATTGAATAATTACTTTGATTAAATGATTTTCTCATCACATGTATATCTATTGAATATAAAAAGGATACTGGAATGAAATTAAGAGTACCATAATACAATATTAATATATTAAATAATCAATATTTATTTAAAATATATATAAATATGATCAAAAGGAAACGGTAAATTAAGCAAAAACAGGTCTATGGTCACTACCTAAGATATCAAAATTTGCATCATAATTTTATAATTAAATTGATGATGGTGCATTTTCAATGATTCCTTAAGTAGATGTAGATGAAAAGATTTTAGACTTTTTATTTTCTTTAAAAAGAATTCTATCGCACCATCCAGGTATTCTGAAATCATTTCCTACAGCCCATAAATTTTGATTTTCTAACAGTTTATAAGTAGGAGGAAAGAAGATCATTCCTTCATAGAAATATGATTGATAATCTAATTATAATGTTAATAAAATACTTAATGAATTATTTCTACTTATATACATTTAATCATTTGATAACCATCCAAAAAAATCGGAATGATTTCTGATAGTTTGTGTAGTTATTTTTTAATCTATTCTCGAATTAAAGTCACCTGTCCAAATTAAATAATCATATGGTACATTTTTATGACTAGAGAAAACTTAATTTTCAAAATGTGTTTCAAGTTTAGAGAATTAAGTTTACCTTTTAGCTTCTGCATTCTATCCACTTTCAAGATGACTATTAGCAAATAAAAATATTTTATCATTAATATTAACTGAGATAGCGATTCCCCCTTTATTACCAACAATACCCATGAAACCTTATGAAAGTGTATAAGGTTTTCCATTTTTTATTTTAGGAATCAATAAAACATGAGCAAATGCTATTATATGCATAGCATTCAGTGTTGCAGATTATACCTTAACATAATTCTTGCCTAATTCTTCTTTTAATTTGGCTTCCCAATTTCCTTTTGATTCACAAAGCAAGGATATTGCTATGCTTCTTGAACATTCTTATGTTCCTATAACAATTAAATCATGATGAACTTATTCAATATTAAATAGTCTTTTTAAAGAATAACCAGGTATCATTCCATGCATATTCCATGTTATAACTAACATTTTAATATCATTTTCAAAAGTCCATTCAGACTTTGGTTAATTGATCCATTTATATTAACATTTATGATTGAGATGTAACATCTCTTAATTAAGATNTACCATAATACAATATTAATATATTAAATAATCAATATTTATTTAAAATATATATAAATATGATCAAAAGGAAACGGTAAATTAAGCAAAAACAGGTCTATGGTCACTACCTAAGATATCAAAATTTGCATCATAATTTTATAATTAAATTGATGATGGTGCATTTTCAATGATTCCTTAAGTAGATGTAGATGAAAAGATTTTAGACTTTTTATTTTCTTTAAAAAGAATTCTATCGCACCATCCAGGTATTCTGAAATCATTTCCTACAGCCCATAAATTTTGATTTTCTAACAGTTTATAAGTAGGAGGAAAGAAGATCATTCCTTCATAGAAATATGATTGATAATCTAATTATAATGTTAATAAAATACTTAATGAATTATTTCTACTTATATACATTTAATCATTTGATAACCATCCAAAAAAATCGGAATGATTTCTGATAGTTTGTGTAGTTATTTTTTAATCTATTCTCGAATTAAAGTCACCTGTCCAAATTAAATAATCATATGGTACATTTTTATGACTAGAGAAAACTTAATTTTCAAAATGTGTTTCAAGTTTAGAGAATTAAGTTTACCTTTTAGCTTCTGCATTCTATCCACTTTCAAGATGACTATTAGCAAATAAAAATATTTTATCATTAATATTAACTGAGATAGCGATTCCCCCTTTATTACCAACAATACCCATGAAACCTTATGAAAGTGTATAAGGTTTTCCATTTTTTATTTTAGGAATCAATAAAACATGAGCAAATGCTATTATATGCATAGCATTCAGTGTTGCAGATTATACCTTAACATAATTCTTGCCTAATTCTTCTTTTAATTTGGCTTCCCAATTTCCTTTTGATTCACAAAGCAAGGATATTGCTATGCTTCTTGAACATTCTTATGTTCCTATAACAATTAAATCATGATGAACTTATTCAATATTAAATAGTCTTTTTAAAGAATAACCAGGTATCATTCCATGCATATTCCATGTTATAACTAACATTTTAATATCATTTTCAAAAGTCCATTCAGACTTTGGTTAATTGATCCATTTATATTAACATTTATGATTGAGATGTAACATCTCTTAATTAAGATGTCCAATTAAATTTGAATCCTAAGAGAATTCACTGAAAAATTTCTGATTGAATAATGGAAATGGAATAGATTCTTATTGATGATTAGAGTTATTGTTCATTATCAATATTTTTCAGTGTGATTTATTTGTATAATAAAAATATAATGTAACATAATTTTTCTAAAAAAATAGAGGAATTTCAAGATCTAGATCCAAGTGAATAGTTTCCTTAAAGAAGATTTTCTAAAACAATAGGTTATCAAAACAGTTAATCAATATAAGAAGAAGATGAAGATCAATCGTCTTCTAATGTATAATAATCAAAAGCCAAATTACCATTCATGAATTCTTCAATTCAATAACCTTGTGAATAATGTGGAAGTGATATGAAAGTTCCAACCATATATACAAATATCCATTCTATTAAAAGTTTTGAAAAAAACCTCTTTCAACAAGAATCTAAGAAGTATAAAGTTGATTTCGATTTATATATAGTAAACTAATAGATATATCAGGATTTGATAGTGAAATATAATCTCCTCAATCAGACTCTGTATAAAAATATATTAATATAGATCGAGTCCTATTTGGTAGATATAAACAAATCATCAACACTTAATTCTTAGCACATAAAATCTATAATAAATAGATTTGTTCTAAAAATGAGAAAAAATGTGGATTGGAATAAATTGAAGGATTTTACATTAATTGATAATCAATCTTAATGTAATATTTAATGATAAATAATAGTTAATCCTTAGATTTACAAATGGTTTACAAATCTTTACTTTATATTAAGTTCAACAATCAATATCTTATCAATTATAATGATACCATTATAAATTGTTGAAGAATTAGAATTTGAAATGATAGCTTACACTGCTCATATTTTAGTCATTCTCTAGATTACAGCAGATATTCATTTCAAAAGAGGACCTTTTCATTTAAAAGAGGGTAACTTTAATAATAAATTCATTGATGAATCCAAATTAATGTTAGACTCATTAAGGATCATTTTTGCTATCCTATTAGTTTTAGCTTATTATTATAAAATGAAATATCTCATCATTCCCTATTTCATTTTATAATTGATAAGATAAGCTGAATGTTTCGAAAACATTTATACTTCGATTTAGCTAATTTTTTATATAATTGTTTTATGGCTTACCATAATAATGTCTTTTGTTTGTCTCTTTGAATCTGAATAATATGAATAATAAGATGTTTATTATTCACTTACTATTGCCATATCTATTCTTGCTCATAATGGTATTATTGTTGTTGATGTTACACCAATAAATTCTTTTATCCTTTAGGTTTATATGATAATTAGTTCATTAACCATGATTTATACTGCTACCATTATTTTCATTTGGATCAAACCAGTTATTAAATTACAACAAGAAAAAGAGTAACATTTGGCATCATTTCTTTAAGGAATCAAAAACAAAAATATAGATTATGGATTATAATGCAGATCCTACTCATATCTTGAGTATATTGTTGATGTAAATTGGATTCTCAGATTTAGGAAGACATCATGAAAACCCGCGATCTTTTGACTAAAAAATTATCTCCTGCACTTCAAGAAGAATTACAAGTTTCCATACGTTCAAAAATGGTAGAGAAAATCAAACTTTTTAAAAAGTTTTCCTCTAGTCTCAGATAGTAATTGATCTATTGGTTTGAAATCGCTACCTATAATCCAGAAGAAAATATTGTCTAAGTAATATTTTATAACAAAAAGTACTTCTCAGGAACATCATATTGAAGACTTCTGTTTATATTATATCTTAAAAGGAAAAGTCAAAATATAATTCCAAGGTTAATTTTAAGGTAAACCTAATAGAACATTTGATACTTTATCAGAAGGATAGACTTTTGGTGAATTTTCATTTATTAGTGGAGTTCCATCATATATTTCATTAAATAGTGAAGGATTGACAACAGTTTTGAGATTGAGAAGATCTGATTTTTTAGAAATCATTAAGACTTATCCTAAAGATAATGAAATCTTTTGTTTTTATAAAGATAATTGTATTCAAAATCATAATATGTTTGAATGTCATTATTGTAAAATTAAAGGACATATGCTTTTTGAATGTTAATACTTGTAATATTATCCATAAAAATTGAATGTTATTGAAAAATATTTATATCCTCATGTACAATAGCGTATAAAAACAGAAAGACGTACTAAATCACCAAAAACTTTATTAATGTTATTTGTTGTAGGGGAAAGTGCAAAACAATTTTAATAAAAATTATCTTAGGAGATTATGACATCAGAAGATTTCCCAATGTCTTCATAATTTCCATATAGTGAAAGTATTAATAAAATTTATATATATATATTAAATTTATATAGATTAAACCCAACAATCAGCCAGCTATTTAAGTAAGACTCAATCGATCCATAAAGTCAATCCAGAATAACTTAGTGAGAATCCAGATAGTATAGAAGATCAGTTATATGAAGAAATGATAATAGATCCAGTACTTAATAATCAATTTAGAAAATAATAAAATAAAATAAGAACAGCTGGATTTCCATTTATGACCGATAACTTAGGTGCGAAGGTTCATAAGCCTATGATAGAGAGCTTACATAAAGATAAATTATAAGTGATTAGCGAAGCATCATAAAGTAAATAATTTGATACTCTTAATTCTAAATATGAAGATACAAATTAATTGAGTATGTAAAGTAGTGGTTCATAAGCATTTGCTAAAAAAAATCATTTATATTCCGCTGCTAGATCAATGCATACTAAATTGACATTCAGATATCAATAATAATAGTCAAATTAAATGGAAGAATCAATCTAATTTTAACAACAACAAAATTCTGTGAGGCAAACATCAAATAGATCAAACACCTATTCCAATCCTCTTTCTAATAACATATCCAATAATCCTTCGATAACTTCAAAGGTACCTACAAAATCTGCGAGAGTGTCTCCTACTTAATTTTAATCATAGAAGAAGAAGGAGGATAAAGGAACTCATAGTGATTAATCAATATCTGAATAACGACATACAAATAGAAAAAAGAGTACTAAGACAGGTACTAAAGTGAGTATTCTATAATCTTAATTTCAAGTGATAAACACTCCTGATGTATTAAAATTGATTAATTAAAAAGAATCCACATTATTAATATAACGAGATATATTTTAATAGATTTGAGAGAATGCATAAATTTAAATATTATAATCCTCATAATAATTATGATAATGTGATATCAAGGTAATGAAATGAAATATATAAAAGAACAAATAAATTTTAAAGATTAAAAAAGATGAAGTCTAGTGTATACACAGTAAAATGTTTTGTTTCTACAAGAATAAAAAAAGTAAAGAGATTATTGTAATAATAAATATGATTAACAATTTAATATTACTAAAATAATAAAATAAATTTTATTGATAGGTATTTGCAAACAATATAATTGTTTCATTTAATGTTTTAGTTTTCTCCAAACTTCTCTTCAATCCATCTAAGAGTAATAGATCCAGGTCTTTCGATTGGTAATCCGAAAGCTCTTGACCATATAAGATTGGCCATACATCCAAGGGCTCTTGAGACAGCAAAAACGACAGTGTAATATTAGAATTCTCTCAATCCATAATGATATAGAAGGACTCCTGAATGAGCATCAACATTTCTATAATGATAATAATATTATAATACGGCCATGGGTTTTAGATTTTTCCAATAGTTTTCAAAACAGGTGGAATAACATGATAACATTATGCAGTTAAATTAACCAAAGGATCATCTTTAATGTGTCTAGCAGCAAATTCTTTCTAATGGATAAAACGTGGATCAGTATATCTAAGTACTGCATGTCCATATCCTGGTATAACTCTACCTTCTCTAATTGTTGTAAGAACATAATCTTATATTTTTTCATTAGAGATATTATCACCTAATTCTTCCTATAAAAATATGATATTAGATATATACTCTCATTTCTAATAACCATTTAAGTACTTCTTGATTTGCAAGACCATGTAATGGACCAGCTAAACCATTAACACCAGCAGAATATGATAAATATGGATCTGCTAATGCTGAACCAACCAAATGTGTTGTATGAGCACTGACATTACCTCCTTCATGGTCAGCATGAATGCTTAAATATCCTCTTAAGCATTCTCTAACTTCAAATTTATTATATCCAAGCATATGAGCATAATTTCCAGCCCAATCCAAATTGTCATCAGCTTGAATGATTTCTCCATTCTAAAAGTTATATAGATTATTAAATACCTTGTATTTGTGTCTATAAATCATAGCAGATACTCTTGGAATCTTAGCCAATAAATCCATAGCATCTTCATAGAAGTATTCCCAATACTATGGTTTTGAAATTTTTCCTTAGTCATAGGCTTGGAAGAATTAAGAGTCCTTTTACAAAAACAATAATGTTTAAGATAACATAGTCATTGGATGAGCTGTTTTTGGTAAACTCAAAATGAATCTTTATGTCTCACTATCCAATTATCCTCTTTATTTCCATTCTTATTGAACGTCAGCGAATTCTTGTTCAGCTATAAAATAGATAATATGATATATTTACATGGGAAGTCACCTGTACATAATAACCAAAACAAAGCTTCTGGTAATGGCTCATGTCCATTCTCAGCCTTTTATAGATATTCCTATAATTCTGGAATATTGTAGTCTCTCATTGTGATACCCTTTATGATAAATATATATGTCATACTGTTTTAGCATCCAACAATGATGCATCATAAAATAGACCAAAAACATTTCTCATACCTCCGATGGCCTGGTCAACTGTTACTTTACACACTTCCTTTGAACCATATCTCTTTCTGACATCACGTAATAAGGCTTATTTCACAGGCACAAGTTCTCTCATTCTCTTCTTCAAAAGTCCATGTGTATTGTTATACACACTTCTGTAAAACATTTACACTGCACTTCTAGAGTTAACTTACATGATGATATATTATTATTATTATCCTAAATTCAAGATATTATCTGCATTTATACACACACTATGCGTATTAATTATAACATAATTAAAAAGATTCGCTAATTTTCTAATTATTATAAAAATTATTTTTATAATTAGACATTTATTTTGTGGTCAATTATTTATACAAACTATTAACAACACTATCATACACTAATAATATTATTATTTAAATATAAACCACTATTAACAATCATTCTTCTCATCTACATAGATCTTCTCACCTAAAAATTGTAAAAGAAATATACTGAAAATAAATTTTATAAATATATTATCTCTTTATTATTATATTATTTTCATATTGCTAAATCAATATACACCATTATGTTATTAAATATCTATTTGATTTTTACTAGAAATTGACTAATAATTATAAATCATATCAATAATATAATTTTGAATTGAATAATTGTTAAAATTTATCATATAATATAAGTTATGATGCAAAACCCAAATGCCTTATTTTTACTGGAAAATATCCCTTAAATAAACCTTTTAAGCCTTCTTATTTATAAATATTTTCTACACAATCTAAAAACCCCTTGATTTTTAAGATTAATTTTACAATTTATAAACTACTTGAATTTTATAGAATTAAATCCTTCCTTATTGTATCTAGTGGATGTACAAGAGTTTATGATAAGGAAACTACAAACAGAGCCAATAAAAAATTGCTCAAACTTAATTGATTTCTCAAAGATGCTTCTTGTCCCCATAATAAATACTGACCGGTATCATAACCTCTATTGTTTTATAATAAATCTACCCAAAATAAATTCCTCTATATAAAAATATACATATTCCTGACAATCCAAATCCTTTATACATATCATTTAATGTATACCAAAAAGTTTATTTCTCTTTGCTTGCTTTTAATATATTATTCACTAATCTAACTTTACTATAATTTAATGGATAAAAAATTGATAACGAAATTATCCCTGCAATTCCCCCATTTAATAATGTACAACTAAAATATCTAAATAAATGAAGAAAAAATTCACTTAAATAATTTTTACTTTTCATTAATATCTGGTAATAACTTTCTATTTAAAGCATCATATATTGAAAAATTCAATGCTTACATTAATGAATATTGAACTATTTTATTGTTTTTTCTTATTTGTCTAAATAGAGAACCATCCTAAATAGCTTATTTACAACCGTCAAATAATCCAGAATTGCTATTTTATTTCTCATATAAAGTCCTTTTCAAACTTAAAAACTAAAGTTCTTCAAAAGTGCAAAATATTGATTTAATTATCATTCCTGAACTTCCACCAAATAAAAAATCTATGAAAATTTGAAAATTGTAATCATGAGTTGCTTAACACATGAAAAATTATTTTTTAATTCTGATTAAAATTGGTATCATTATTCATTTTTTAACTTTCATGTTTATTTAATTAGATGAATTATTATTTANAAGAAATATACTGAAAATAAATTTTATAAATATATTATCTCTTTATTATTATATTATTTTCATATTGCTAAATCAATATACACCATTATGTTATTAAATATCTATTTGATTTTTACTAGAAATTGACTAATAATTATAAATCATATCAATAATATAATTTTGAATTGAATAATTGTTAAAATTTATCATATAATATAAGTTATGATGCAAAACCCAAATGCCTTATTTTTACTGGAAAATATCCCTTAAATAAACCTTTTAAGCCTTCTTATTTATAAATATTTTCTACACAATCTAAAAACCCCTTGATTTTTAAGATTAATTTTACAATTTATAAACTACTTGAATTTTATAGAATTAAATCCTTCCTTATTGTATCTAGTGGATGTACAAGAGTTTATGATAAGGAAACTACAAACAGAGCCAATAAAAAATTGCTCAAACTTAATTGATTTCTCAAAGATGCTTCTTGTCCCCATAATAAATACTGACCGGTATCATAACCTCTATTGTTTTATAATAAATCTACCCAAAATAAATTCCTCTATATAAAAATATACATATTCCTGACAATCCAAATCCTTTATACATATCATTTAATGTATACCAAAAAGTTTATTTCTCTTTGCTTGCTTTTAATATATTATTCACTAATCTAACTTTACTATAATTTAATGGATAAAAAATTGATAACGAAATTATCCCTGCAATTCCCCCATTTAATAATGTACAACTAAAATATCTAAATAAATGAAGAAAAAATTCACTTAAATAATTTTTACTTTTCATTAATATCTGGTAATAACTTTCTATTTAAAGCATCATATATTGAAAAATTCAATGCTTACATTAATGAATATTGAACTATTTTATTGTTTTTTCTTATTTGTCTAAATAGAGAACCATCCTAAATAGCTTATTTACAACCGTCAAATAATCCAGAATTGCTATTTTATTTCTCATATAAAGTCCTTTTCAAACTTAAAAACTAAAGTTCTTCAAAAGTGCAAAATATTGATTTAATTATCATTCCTGAACTTCCACCAAATAAAAAATCTATGAAAATTTGAAAATTGTAATCATGAGTTGCTTAACACATGAAAAATTATTTTTTAATTCTGATTAAAATTGGTATCATTATTCATTTTTTAACTTTCATGTTTATTTAATTAGATGAATTATTATTTATACTGTATTTTTTAATCAATATTTACAATGGAATATAATTAGTATACCTTATTAATTACAATAAATATTAAAGTAAAATTAGTGAACTAAATTACTAAAACTATTTTTCTAATCAGATTTAAATAAATAAATAATATTGGTATCAATCATAAAAATAAAGTTAATATATTATTTTTAATTTTACACAATTATTGTATGTCTAACTAGATGATTGAAAAATTTGATTATTATAATTTAGAAAAAATTGTTAATAATAAATTATCGAAATTCTCTTATCCTCTAATTTGTAAAAAGAAGATTAGTTCTATTATAAAAAATATTTAGTGAAACTAAAAAAAATGAAAAGAAACCATATTAAAGTTGATAAAATAAAAAATAAAATTAAGAATTATCAAAATTATTTAAATTTGTCCTCCAATTTTATTTAATGAAAGATTAAGCAGTTGAAATTATATATTATGATGATGATTCATTAATTATTCAATTTCTTATTCTGTTTATGTTTGAATAAATTATTAATAAATACTAATTATAATTAATAATAATAATGGATCTATGCAAAACTTATTCTCATATGAAATCAGCATCTTCATGTAAATCAAAACCTAAAATTTCTAATAAATCTCGTGATTAGATGAAATCAAGAAAAAGGTCTGTCACTTTTAATAGTGATGTAGATCTTATAAAATCAATAAGCTGTCAAGAAAACTTACTTGATTTAATAGGGAAGGTATAGAAATAAAAATAAGAGTACCTTATGTCTCTCCAAAATTCTTAAATGACTTTACTTCCACCTTTGAAAGTTGAATAGGATGAGAATAAAATATAAAAGCAACAGGTTAAAAAGTACGCTAATAAAGAATAATATGAATTCTCTATTCCAATGGATCCTTATAAAAAATTGCTTTACCAAAAATAAAATATATATGGTAAATTCATAGAACCAACAGAATATAAAAAAATTGATTATTAGTAGATTTAGACATTGTATTCTTTATTATTATAATAGTGAATCAGCAATTTCATAAATACAATTTAAAGAATGCAATAAAGAAAAGGTGAATAAAATTCAAGAATAAGATTTATAATAATAAGTGGATAAGTTAATCTAATAAGATGATGAAACTTAAAGATTGAATCAACAAAATTATTCAAACTATAATCAAGATTATGATTTATTTTAGGAATAATAGAAAATGAACAAAATTATTAATGAAGCGTTAAAATTTAAATAACAGAAAAGAGAACCTACGAACGCATCAAAGAGTGTTAAATAGAAAAGAACATAAATGAAAAATTATCTTGTTAATCAATACTAAAATGCATTAAATTCTGCAATGCAAGGGATTAATTTAAATATAGAAGAAGATAATCTATTTATAAGAAAGAAATATTAAAAGAAAATTAAATTAAATACTTCTTTTAATAATTCAAGGATTACTTCTTAATATACTAAAAAAGCTATCTCATCTTAAATTATACATCCAGAAAGATAAGAATTTGTTAATAAGACTTTAGAAATTTACGATAAATGTAATAATTATCTGAGTTGATATATATATTTATATATTTTTTAATTAATGTAATAATCTCTAATTGATTCTAACATTATTCAATCTACAACTGTTAAAACAATAAAAGAACTTAAAAAATTGGGAGACTCTCGAACGAACTTAGAAGTTGATGAGAATGAGATTAATGATTCAACATAAAGTGGAAAAAACACTCCTGAAGATGAAACCTCGAAAACTTTACATACTAAAATAACACTCAATAAAAAACCAAAATTAACATTCAAACTTTCAACTTAAAATAGGGTCACTTCTATTAAATAAAATGTTTTAAAGACTTCTGATGATACTGCTGAACAAAATAATGATGTATTTAGAAGAGCATCATTAAGATTAGGTTCAATAAGAAATTAAAAACCTCAACCATAACTCTAGTTAGAATAAAACGATCCTGTTGATATTAATAATGCACTTAATTTAATTTTAAATAAATGTAAAACTATAAAAGAAGAATTTGAGTAATTATAACTTACTAATACATAAATCAATAAATACATAAAAAATGATAAACATTTTAATTTTTCATTTTAAGCATTTTTAGATAATCTAGTTTCAAAAGGAAAACTTGCTTAGACATTAACCAATATCCAAAAACCAGTTTTACAAATGATAGAACAGTTTACCATAAATCATGTTAAAAGATGTATGTAAAAAAATTAAATTACTCAATAATATGAAGAAAAAACTAAACATCTTGACCTGCTTTTGAATCGTTATTACAAAGAGTTAATAAATATTGAATAAAATATCAAATATTTCTGATCTAATTGATTTAATTTGTATTTAAGGATTTAAAGTTGGTTTCAAAATTCTTATTATTAGATTATTGACTTTATTCTGTCTCCAATTTTTTCTTGGTTCTAAAATTAGATTTTTTAATACAAAAAGTACTTTTTGAAAAATACATTCAGGGTGAAAAGACACTTTAGCAGAAGTGAGGACAAAGCATTCATTTAACATTTTAAGTAAAAAATAATACAGAATTAGGAAATTTCATCTAGGATTATTAATGAAATATTGAAGAATTTGTGATATGTATTACTTGAATTAATATTGATACATACTATGTACTTTTATTTTATATGAAATTAAAACGATAAAAATTAAAAAGTTGGATATAATGATATTTAAACCTTTCGAAGTTGTTTAAAATATTATGAAAAATAATCTTTTGAGATTAGAATCTGTTGATATTTATATCAACAGTATAATAGGACGCAAAATTTGAAAGTTAAAACATCAAAACAGTGTAGATAAATTGATATAATTAAGTGGTAAAAAATGACAACATTCTTGATATATATAGATGTAAATTGTTTAAAAGATTAAAATATAACAAAATATTAAGAAAGATCATTTCTTGATTAAGGTTCACTTATTTCTATGCACATAAGAGGTAGTTTGTAAGGGGCTTACGATGGATTTTTAGGAAGCTCTTCTTTAGAAAATAGGATTCTTTTTTATCACATAAGGACTTTCATCTTGGCTTTGAAATTAGATTTGAATCTAAGTCCTGGCAGATTGAGGAGGTTAAGATTTTGAAGGAGGTTTAGAATTCATGCATCCCATTAATTTATTTTAAATATTTATTTAAAACTGCATAACTCGTGCTTATAAACATAAACAAAATCATATAAATTATAATTTATGAATATGATGAAATGAATTAGAAGAAAGAGAATAAAAATCAAGTAGTTGAATAAATAAAATAAAGAAATTTGGGTTTCAAATTTGGGTGTTGTATTAACTTTCTGATAAGCTTTTAGCTGAATATTCAGTTTGTTCCATGTCTTCCTCAGGGGTTTCATATAAACTTAGATTTTTAATAGCAAAGCTATTCTTTCTATAGACAGTTTATAATGGGGAATCATTTTCGATTTGTTGCATCATTTCATCGAATTCAATCTTCGAATTACTGTAAGGAGCACTCTAATTCATTTATTAATATCTAAATATTTTATTATTATTATTATATGGATAGCTAGAATAGCCTTATAATGTGGGAAATATCTTATAATTGATATATAATTAATAATATGTCATGTATTTTGATTAAAGTAAAATTATTATTGATTAATGAGGAATTATAATAAAACATCATTCTAGAAAATTATAATGAATTGCCTTGAAATATATAATAGAGTTTTTCTAATTGTAGAAGATTGATTTATAGAATAATAAGTTGTAATGCTAAATTCTGATTTTCAAATTCTAAAAATTATTATTCTAATTGAATAGACATTATGAATATAATTTGGAGATTTGTATCAAGAGTAGAAACTCTGGTTCTCTCTATTTTTATTGTTATATTGACCTTATATTATGTTAAAGTATCGAGAAAATTTAGAAAGTTCATAATAATGGAAAATTGAACCTTAAAATTTTCTTTTCTTTTTTTTCATTACTGAAACTACTTTATTACTGATTATGGAATGACAAATTTTTTAATCTTATATTCTGGAGATATTAAAGTTTTATGTTGTTTTTTAATAGGATAAATAGATTATTGAATTAATTTTTGAGTTTTAACTATTAAATCGAGTTTTTTTTAAATTATGATTTTGATTAACTATAACTACTATTTCAGATTTGGAAATCTTTATAAATTTATTAGAATTCAACTTACAATTTACTTAAGCACTTAATTCCAATCAAATGGCATATATTTTGCAATATATTAATATTATTAAATAAGTTATTTAATTAGACACAATAAGTGTTGATTTTGGCAAATAATTCTTTTACATATTTCATCTAACTATACTAAAAATAAAAAATTATATGTCAGGGTGACTTATTTTATTTTTAAACTCATATTTCTTTAATTCTTTTATTATCATCTTATTGAATACCCATCTAAAATAAACTTCCATTAAAGAAAAATTATGATATATATGACCTTAAAATTCTAAATCATTTTTTTATTTTATTCTTTTGCAAGATTTTGCAAAAGGAGTTTGTTAAAAGTTGTTCTAATAAATGAAATTTTTTCTTTGCTTTTTTTATTTGCTTCAATATTTTTAACAATTCTAACCTATACCCAAAATCAATTAGATTGATTTTTTTCTGATTGTGACACTTCTAAGATATTTTAAAATTTAAGAATCTCTATGAATAATATTTCTTCATATTTTCAGAAAGCTAATACTATTTATGAATTTATTGAAGAATTTCTATCATTTAATAAACTATAATGTAAGCACATTCTTACAAGAAAATTTCTTCCTTTTCTTTAATAATACATAAGATTTTATCCAATAAAAATCATGATTCTCATTCCTTTTTCTAATTCTTACTAAATAACTTTGGAATATACATGAAATTCCTTTTTTTTTTTTAAGATTTCAATCTAAATAACTTTTAAGAATGAAAATATCTCTTTAATTTTATTATTATTAAAATATGAAATTTCAGTCTTTTCTACTTTAATGACAACATTAAAATTTTGATTTATGATTTTCGCATATATACTTTTTTAAATGAAACTTAGAGTAATAATTTGATATTGTTAAGCTTTGAATAGATAAGAAAGAATGATATAATATATATTTACATTTGTTTATTTTTAATTTTGAGATATTACACTAATGTGGATAAAGGTGTAAATAATTGATAATTTTTATATTAACATAAAGAGTTGAAGAGAATAATGTATTCAAGAAAATAATTATAATATTTTGAAACTTAAAATGATATCTATCAAAAGTAGGGACAACTGTTTAGGGAAGAACAGAAAATTTAATCTTAGTTTTCTAAGTTTAATATTGATATATTACCATTCTTTGACCAAGTTAATCCTTTATTATAGATAAATTTAGATTAAGTTGATTATTCAGATTAGTTAGTAGGTAATCTCGCAGCAGGATATTAATAATTCGAATATGGTTATANTTCTTTTATTATCATCTTATTGAATACCCATCTAAAATAAACTTCCATTAAAGAAAAATTATGATATATATGACCTTAAAATTCTAAATCATTTTTTTATTTTATTCTTTTGCAAGATTTTGCAAAAGGAGTTTGTTAAAAGTTGTTCTAATAAATGAAATTTTTTCTTTGCTTTTTTTATTTGCTTCAATATTTTTAACAATTCTAACCTATACCCAAAATCAATTAGATTGATTTTTTTCTGATTGTGACACTTCTAAGATATTTTAAAATTTAAGAATCTCTATGAATAATATTTCTTCATATTTTCAGAAAGCTAATACTATTTATGAATTTATTGAAGAATTTCTATCATTTAATAAACTATAATGTAAGCACATTCTTACAAGAAAATTTCTTCCTTTTCTTTAATAATACATAAGATTTTATCCAATAAAAATCATGATTCTCATTCCTTTTTCTAATTCTTACTAAATAACTTTGGAATATACATGAAATTCCTTTTTTTTTTTTAAGATTTCAATCTAAATAACTTTTAAGAATGAAAATATCTCTTTAATTTTATTATTATTAAAATATGAAATTTCAGTCTTTTCTACTTTAATGACAACATTAAAATTTTGATTTATGATTTTCGCATATATACTTTTTTAAATGAAACTTAGAGTAATAATTTGATATTGTTAAGCTTTGAATAGATAAGAAAGAATGATATAATATATATTTACATTTGTTTATTTTTAATTTTGAGATATTACACTAATGTGGATAAAGGTGTAAATAATTGATAATTTTTATATTAACATAAAGAGTTGAAGAGAATAATGTATTCAAGAAAATAATTATAATATTTTGAAACTTAAAATGATATCTATCAAAAGTAGGGACAACTGTTTAGGGAAGAACAGAAAATTTAATCTTAGTTTTCTAAGTTTAATATTGATATATTACCATTCTTTGACCAAGTTAATCCTTTATTATAGATAAATTTAGATTAAGTTGATTATTCAGATTAGTTAGTAGGTAATCTCGCAGCAGGATATTAATAATTCGAATATGGTTATAGAGCTGGATTATGTGAATTGTAAAGTGGAGAATTGATATCTAGAATTGAAAGTTCTGGACTTATTGGTTAATTTTACATGCATCCCATTAAGTTTTTTATTATTATTTTTTAGAATTAGAAATTAATTAAATTATGGCAAAAAACAAAAGTAAAGCTGTTCATGCAATTAAAATAAAACATAATGCTCCATTTAGTTAAAAGATTAAAAAGAAGGAATAAAAAGGATAAAAATAAAGAAGAGTAGGAGGATTTAAATCATTAGCAAAATTTGATGTGAGTAGAATAAAGAATAAAGAAAAAAGAATATAAATTTTGGAAAGAAAATAAAATGAATAAAAAAAGACAAAGAAAATGGAGAGAAAAGAAAAGGAAGCAAATCCTGATAGAGAGAAATTAGATCCATTAACAATAGATGATAAAAGAGATATAGATGAAAATTTTGTATTTGATGAAGATGATTAAGAAGAATTATAAAATGAAGAAATGATAGATGAATTTTAAAATTATTTTTAAGATGGTTAAGATCCTAAAATTATAATAACAACAAGTGAAAGACCATCTAGATAATTATTTGATTTCTTAAAAGACGTAAAAGATGTTTTTGGACCAGATACTCATTATTGGCCTCGTAAATAATTTTCAATAAAAGAGATTTAAGAATATTCAATAAATAAAGGATATACAGAACTTTTAGTATTTAGAGAACATAGAAAAGAAATTAGTTAATTAATATATATACATTTACCAAATGGGCCTACTTATAAATTTAAATTAACTAATTATACACCTTGTGATGAAATACATCATCATGGTAGATTTACAGATCATAATCCTGAATTGATTTTAAATTAATTTAATACTAAAGTTGGAAGAAGAGTAGGAAGAGGATTAGCTGCTCTCTTTCCATCTAAACCATAATTTAGAGGTAGAAGAGTTGTTACATTTCATAATCAAAGAGATTTTATCTTCTTTCGACATCATAGATATATGTTTTAAGAGGAAGGATAAAAAGTTGCTTTATAAGAATTAGGACCTAGATTTACACTCTAATTAAAATAACTTAAATTAGGATTATTTAATGATGATGGAGAAATTGAATTTGAAGCTAGAGATGATTACTATGTTAAAAGAACTGCTGCTTTCTTGTGATATTATTAATATTATAATTTTATTAATTAATCTTAATTCTCCAATAAAACATATATTAATCTATCCTTTTATTAATGTATCATATTTTCTTATTAATTCCAAATATCCTATCTCTACTATCTATAATAGTGAAAATAATATTATGCATTTAAGTTAAGAAGATTACAATAATTTTGCAACCTTAATCATCATTCTGTTCCTTATCTTAATTTAACCTTCCTGTTATTAATTATACTAAATGAATATCTAGCTCATTTTTTTCATTCAATATTATCAATTACTATTCATTGTTATAGAAAAACTAATTATTAAATCGAAGAATTTCATTTCCAGAATTTACTTAAACTATTCATTTAAAACTTATATTTTACACAAACGATATTATATTATCAAAACTGATGGCTTTAATGGTTTTTTAAGCTATGAAATTTTTTCCCTCCCGTTTTTATAATTTCAATGTCCTTATTATCAACAGTTTCATCTTCAATTAAAAAATTGTAAATAATCACATTACTATTAGTATCAAATTTTCCTTAAATTGATAAAATTGATAATATCAATATTAATTCTATAATTAATATCAAGAATTAAATGTAACTAATAATGAAATAGAATCTTATATATCTTATGGTTTTGAGTAATTATAATTTTTTAATTCTTTCTAGATAATTAGATAATAAAATACCTCCATCTATATTATTCAATTACTTTATTTTCTTTCCTAATAATCCTAATTTTAATTGACTTAAATCTAAATACTTCAAATTTAAAAAAAGCATTTACATTTTAGTACACTAATTTCTAAATATATGTTTATAACATATATATAGAATTCTTCAACTTGATCATGTTTAGCTTTTCTTCAGATATAATATTTTTATTCATTTACTCACTTTTTAAAATTTTATGAATTCTTTTTATTTATCAGTAAATTTGAATATGCTATATCATTTACATTAACTCAAGGTCTACAATTATTGTAAACTTAATTATAAATATATTATATAGATTTAGATTTTACTGGATATGTATTTTTATTTAATAATAGTTCTATTAATAAATCTTGAAGTCCTGAAAAAAAAATTAAATTTTGATTTTTTTGAAAATTGTAACTTATAATTAATGATATTATTTTTGGTGAAGAATATATATAAATTGTTCTTTATAATTAGTCTAATGAATAAATTATATTTATATCATATTATAAATTTTATGTTTTATAAAAATTAATATTTAAATTATTTTATAGGTGTTTCAACATGTCTTTTCTACATAATATAGAGTATATTTAGGAGCAAGTGTATAATGGCCTCCAGATTGTCCAGATGATATACTGAAGGTGCAATGAACGAAACCTAAACTTGTTTGAAAACTTTTGAAGCTAAAGATGGGTAAAAAGTAATTGTTTGATTTCCTTTTATTTAGATGGCAGAACATTTAAAAAATATCTAGATACTAATTTTGAACCTTATTGGCTTGTGTTTTTTGGTAAAAATTTTGGGTGTCATTCTATTCATGAAAAGAGAAGATTTATTTACTTTTATATAGATAAAATTGCATATCTATTTTATAAAATATAATGACAATAATATATTTTAATGCAATTGCAACAATTATTTTCAAATATATATAACATAAAATCACTTTAACGCAGGTCCACCCTATTAAAAATTAACATTTGATTAATAAGGTGGTTGGTATGCATTCGGTTGATTTTGAGAAGGAATCTAATATGGATTCTTTGCTTCCTCTGCACTCCACCCAAATTTCTTACTCTAATGAATGACATTATTCTTTTTATACAAATAATTGCAGCAATATGTATATTAAACCAACGACAAATAATACTACGGCTGTAGCAATCTGCAAAGGAGAAAAAGCAGATATCATTAAAGTACCCAAACTTTATTAGTAATTCAGAATTACAAGAAACAATACAATCCTCTTCCAAAAAAACTTGTCAAAACTTTGAATTTTTAATGAACATATGCAAAACGAAACTCTGCTAAAATTAAAACTGCTCCCATCCATCTATTTCAAAAAATAAAATTTTACATATAATGAACTGTCAAGATAAATTGTTAGGGATGTTCAATTGTCAGATTTGTAAATCTTGATATTGCAAGGGCTATAATTAAACCTCCACACACTAATGTTAGTATTTTTGTTCCACAATGGATATCGCATTTCATATTATTAATAATATAAATTTAAATTTACTATGGTTTTTCCTATTATTAATCAATATCCATTTGTATTGATAATTTTCCTTTATAAATCTATCAATATAAAAATTTATTTTCTTATATTGATTGATAAATAGAGAAATAATTTTGTTTTTAATAGAATATTTTTTTTTTCAAAATATCACATAAGCTTAAGAAATATAATAATTTTTATTCCTACAAAAACTAAAAGTGAATAGAGATGATGTCATTTTTATTTTTATGAAAATAGTTGTATATTAATTTATAAATATAGTTTTAGAGAATAATTTTAAAAGTTAATTCTAGAATAATTATTATTATAATATAAATAACTTAAATTTGATATTGCATTGTTAAAGTGAGTTGGAACACATAATAATGTTTTATTTAACCTAATGAATTAAATTATATATAATACAATAAATTATTTTCCCAAATTTTAAAATTATTTTTTGTAATTTATATTGTAATAATATTTCATAATATTTTAGATTTTATCATTTTTATGTACTTAGATTGGATGTTGAAATGATTTATTAAAACAATTCTTTAATTACTGGTAATGATTCATAGAATTGTATTAGCTTTTAAGGAGCTTTTTTATGCAATTCCTATAAATTAATCCAAGCAGATGTAGTTTTACCATTTTTAATTTTTTTAAGATTAACCTAATTTGAAAATAAAATAGTACTTTCAATTATTATTTTTCTATTCCATTAATTTTAATAGTTCTAGCTAGATTAGTGAATGATTAAATTTAATCCTCATTTTCAAAATACCCTCCTTTTTTGGATTTATTGGATTTTTTTTAAGATTTAGTAATAATTTTTTTGGATACACATTTTTTGGTAATGATGACATTATTAGAAGGTTATTATTGATCAAATTCTTCAAGAAGTAATTAACAATTTTATAAACTGGAAATAGGTTCCCAAGTCAATTCAGAATATCCTTTCCATTTGACTAAATAATGAGATTATGAATTTTCAATCTTTTTCATGATAATAGCTTCAACTTCATACATAGGCTCTAAACAATCTTAATTTTCTTAATTATGATTAGAATTAGAGGATTGATCAATACTTAAAATATCAACAGTGTCTTAATGTTCTTCTTGATGTTTCTAAGGTTATGATTTGATTCTCATAGAATTTAAAAATATTAACAACTGAAATTGAAAAAATCAGCATGCTTTTAATTTAATAATATAAAAAATATTCAAGGATAATATGTAGAATAATATCTTATAGATAATAAGTAATAAGAGAACTAAACAATGATAATTCAGTATAGATTTAGTTATGATTTGAATATTCTTGTTAATCAATAGTATCCTTGTAATATGGTTTTGTTAAATAAAAGTGTTTAATTGTTTCATATTGATTTAATAGTTAATCAGATATAATATAAGAATAGATTCCATATTCTTTAGACTTTAATTATAGAGAGAATATTAGTATTTGATTGGCTTATTTTATATTTATAACTTTAATTTTATTCATATATAATTTATCAAATACGGAATTTATCACCACAGTTGAAACATTCAAAGAATTTAGTTGTTGGTTCATCTGCACATCTTGTTTATCTTTCATCTACTAAATAAACCTTTTTTTAATGACATCCTCTACATTCTTTACCTTCTACTCCATCCATTTCCCTTTTTGATATTTCTTTATAAAAACCTATCTAATTAATTTCAAGTTCTTCTTTCTATGCTGCCTTTTAATTTAATTTAGTTTTTTCATCAATCCAATCCTCAGATTTTAATTATGCTGCTTATTAATATGATAAACTTTTATTAAATACTCTTATAAGTACATCTCCTGTCTTATCTCTCTTCATAAATTATACTAATGTTTTTATATCCATTTCATATGCCATCTTTCTAGAATCTTTAAAAACATTTCTTAAATATATTTCTTTCTCTAATCCTATAGTTACTTCTTTAATTTTATCAATTGATATTAATTGTTGCTTATTAGATTAATCCCAATTTTTAAATATATGTAATATTAGATTACTTATAAGATTTAAATTCTGTATTCTATCAACATATCCTGTAAATTACTGTTAATATCCAACAAATAAATTATATTTTTTCATTGGTTCTGGTTTATCCTTCTCCACTTCCATTTATTAGGGTTATTTCAATATTTTAAGAATTGCTTTAGCTTTCTCTATCATTTTTTCATAATCATAAGATTTATAAATGCTATTAGATGGTATCTCATTTAATTAAGCTAATTTTTAGACTGCTTATAAAAATTTCTGATGAACTATTCTGTTTTATCCGAAATTTTATGTACCAATCAAATCTAATAAATTATAAAGAGCTGTTGGAGATGAGTTCTTCCATTCTATTAGTTTCTTCAAAATTTAAGTCAAGTCAATTTGATCCATAATAAAAATAAAATGAAGCCAAAAATTTAGTTAATTCTTAAAATAGAGAATTAATCATTGAAATAAAATGCCAAAAAATTATTAAATATAAATCAGATAAATCACATCAAAGGCTAAGCTTTTATGAAATAGAATTTCGATTTGGCTTAATCTCCTATAAAAAATATTCAACATTCTAAACTAATAAATTAAAGTGATGAACAACTATTTTAGCTCCTTAAAAATCAGATAAATCTGCCTACTCTGATCTTAAAAAACATGGGGCAAATACTATTGATAAATTATGTAATCCCATCTAAATATATATAATTATATTTATATTTTACCAAATTTTCAGATTCATAATCTGCTACATGAAATAATAATTCTGCTATTCTTTTTGTAGTTTTCCTATTAACTTCTGGCATATATGCAAAAAATACTTAAAACATCTCTAATAACTTTTCTTTACTAATATTAACTTTAATTTTATTATAATATTTTTACTTTCAGTTTCTTTAAGTATATCATACATTTCAAATGGAAATATTGGTTTTTTTAATTGACATAACACATTTTTAAATACTGTAGATACAACATCAGGATCATATTCATCTATAACTGAATAATTTCTGATTTAAAACTATTAAACTAAACTCTATTCTTATTAAATTGAACCTGATATTCTAAATACTCCTAAGAATTCAATTTTTTGTAAAATTACCTTATTTTCTTAAATAATCATCATGTCTTTCATAATATTATAAAATTGCATCTAAAAATTCTGGAACTCCAGTTTAACTAATAGGATATTCTGATATATCTCTTCCATAAAAAGGAATTTCTTCTTAATATGTATTATTAATTCTAGATAAAAAATCAATCTGATTTTAAGTTAATTCAATTTTGTGAATCATTAATTCATTCAATCTATATAATTATTCTTTATACTTTAAAACTAGATGAATTTTATTTGTTAATATTTTTGACCAAGCACTAGGTATTGCATCAATTGCTTATTATTATTGGATGGCATCACTTACAATAATTAATTTTTCAATTCTTTAGAATTGTTATAAAGGAATATTTCTCTCAATAACAATAAATGTAATACTTGCAGAATGAATTCAGCATTTATTTTACTTCTTTAATTTCTAATTTTAGAGTTTGTTAGTTACAAATAACCCATGTATATGAACTATTTTTATTTAAATATAATACTTAAAGGCATTGATTGTTTATAAATATTAATTCATCTTAAGACAAACTTCTTTCATGTTTTAAATTTGATTCAATATTAATATATAGATTGGGTAATTTCCATTCTATAATCCTATAATCATTTTATATATTTACATACCTATCTTGAGTAATCCAGGAATTTAATAACTTTTTTACTATTGCATTTTTATAAACTATATTTTTATATTAAAACTATCTTAATTCAAATAATATTTTTATGCTTATGTGAGAATTCTTAAAAAACTAAGTTATTGATATTTATAAAAATGTATGAATTCTTAAAAATTATGAATCTCTCTTAACATATTTACTAATAAACAAATTTAAAAGTTGTATACTTTAATTTTTATATCTCTTATAAATCGAATAACATTACAAGTATCCAGTTGCTTAATTAATTATTAATCAAATATATTGTCAATATAATCTATTTTTAAGAGTATATATTTTAAAGTGAACAATTGATAATTATATATATTATAATTAAAACTATTTAAGTAAAAGGTCTTTTGAAAAAAGTTTACAAAGAAATTATGATAAATATAAATAAAGAATATGTGATTAAAAGTATAAATACTGGATTTGTGAACATATCCTAATTTTAAATTAAATCTATCCTTTTGCCTTTAGAATCTTGAAAAATTTAGACAAGAACAAATTATAAAATTAATATATGTTTTTGTTCGTATATATATAGATAGTGATAAAATTATGTGGTGTTTTGAAAATATTCATTAATTAGAAAATATAAAATCTTTAAGTTCTTGTAGAACTTAGATAATTTATGTAAAAATATCAGGAAATGATTAAAAAGGGTATATAAATGAGAGATAAAGCCAAAAGAGAATATTCTGTATATTTTAATTTCAGATTTTCAAAGAAAAATTACAAATACTAGTAATATCAAGATTTATTTATTTTTTATTATGATTAAAGGAGCAGGATTTTGCTGAGAAAATCATTTTTGATTCAAGAAAATTAAATTAAGCAAATATTTTACAGTTGGAAGGAGATTTTATTTAAAAAATATTATAAAAATCAAATGGGTAATTTAGATTTAGTTTAATGATTAAAGAAAGAGCAAATAAAAGAAGAAAATGAAATAGAATAATATTTGAATATCAGATCTTTGATAAAATAGATATATATAATAATGATAATAAATAAAGAAAGGAATTAAAATATAGTAGAGATCGATTCCTAGAAGAATGAAATAAAGGATAACTTAATTTAAGTAAGAATTGATATAACATTAAAAATGGAATTTTATTAAAGAGTAAAGAAGAATAGTATTTGAAAAAAAGGTTGAAGTCAAAATAAATTTTGAAACTTTTTTGAAATGAGAATGAGAAAAGAATGAATGAAATAGTATTTTGAAAATAATGTTAAATTATTGATATATTATTGAAGTCTTATAAGAATAAATCTTTAAAGCTTTGAACTTATTTGATCATGATGGGGATTAAATTTGATGAATTTTTGCAAATTTTTAAGTGATTAATATTTTAAATTTGAATCTAATAATATGCTTGATTATACAGGTATTATAAGTATGAAAAGGGAGCAGTTCCATGTAAACATTAGGAAATAAAGAAATGAAAAACAATTTAAAGAATCAAGAAAAAATTATATATAATCCCTCTTTTCTTAATAAACAGAAATGCAAGAAATGTCGAACTAAATTAGAGATAAATTTGAGAAAAATGAAAAGCTTAAAGGAGAATATTTATAAATAATGTTAGATAAAATTTTTGAAGCACTACATAAAAATAATAATTTGAACATATTAGATGTAAATTTAAGTATTTAATTTAGACAATTGATGCTGCTATATGGATGTTAAAATCTGTAGAAGATCAAACTTATGAAGATGAATTAAGTGATAATTTGAAGATGTTAAGAATAGTAGATAAAATAATCTTATATTCTTAAGGATATGAGATTGATAATGAACCATTCAATTCATAAATCATTGTTTATGCTGCAAAAGTTAGTATATGTACTTAAATAGTTCTTAAAATATTGGACTTAAATGGAAGATCAATCATTACATTAAAAATTTGGTGAAATAGCAGAAACAGTGTATTTCTTGCTTAATAAATAAGAATAGATGTTTATTAAGAGAGGAGCAGATATATTGTATAATATTGCTTTAATTGATAATGGCAAATTGTTAAGTAAATTACATGAGCTTATTATTTTTGGCCAAAAATTAGTTAAACCTATTTGTACTGTATTAAAAACAACATAAAATACATAAATATTATCTACATTATGGAGAGTGGTTTTATAAACATTTCTAGATTAAGATAAGAGTGGATAACTTTTATATATCAATTTTATTATAAAAGATAATTAGGAAAATATACGATTTTTTAATCTCTTGGTAAATTAGGTCTAAGAATCAGAATAATAAAATCTCAAGTTATTTAAAAATTAAATGCATTTAGTCTAGTATATACTTGATTATTATTAATCTGATGATTAGTAAATCTATGAAGAATTTAAGTCATTGTTAATTACATCATCTTTTGCACTCAAATTAAAAGATCTTTGGCTTTTTCATAAATGGAATTCTATAGCAAATGTTGCTCATGAAATTTAAACACATTTAGATGAATAATAACTATGAATTCAAATAGAAGTTTTGTTTTTCGTATTTTATTTTAATTTCATTCTAAATTTATTTAAAACCTATTATTTTTCATCTGATTAAAGAGGTTTTATATTTTAACCAATTACATTATAATTTAACACTTCTTCATTTCTATTCTTTTAAATGATTTTATAATATTCAGTCCATGTTAAAGAGTTATTTTATAATGATTTTTGGAAAAGAGTTTTTATGCATGAATTTCGATATTTTTGAGTTGAGTTTTTACGAGGAGATAAACTAATCATCTAAAAGGATTGTATATAAGATTTTATTTCAATCTTAGGACAACTGTCTTAAAGACTTGGATTATTGCTTTCCATAGATCTTCTTCTAGTTTAAGTTGACATTCTAATTGGAGTTTTTATTTGCATCTTTTTTGGAGATATTTATTTTCTATCCTATTTGAAAATTTGATCATAATTTCCATTCCAAGGTTCTAAATTTAAAGGATTCTACATTTTTTTGTTAACATTGCTCCATTCTTCTTCTATATTTAGTAATGTAAATTATGGATCATTACAATACATTAATAAAATATAATGATTCATGGTCCTAATTCTTCTTTCTCAGGTGCCTTTAGTATTGGCAAAAAAATCGAAGGTAATTTTATGATGAACTTCCTTAGTACATGGAACATAAAACACCAACCCTGGGTAATGACAATTGAAATTAATGTTAGACCTAATCATTACAATTTGACATCTCCATAATAAGGAGGATTCAAATTTCCAAAATCAGTTCGAAAATAACTTTATGAACCTAGTCCAATTCCTGAGCCAGGTGCATATGATCCTAATATATCGGTATATAATTATTAGATTAGATTATTTAACCGAATCCTCCAAACATTAAATTTAGCAAAGCTTAAGAATAAGAGAAACAGCCACTTGATATTGGACCTGGCACTTATAATTGGAATGATTAGAGAAAATCTCCCGCTTTTACTTTCTAGAATAAATTTGAAAATTAAGGAACTGATGTTTTGAATACTCCAGGACCTGGTCATTATGATGTCAAAGAAAGCCATTCACTTCAACCCACTAATAAAGGCTTTACAACAAGTAACCGTATAAATATGTTACTTTCTAATGCACCAGGGCCTGGTTCTTATAATTTGGAAAATCTAAAAGCACAAAACAGTATAAAGTAAACATTTTAATTAAGTAGATTTCCAAAGTAATAGAGGATTATGGAAAAAATTGATTAAACTCCAGGTCCTGGAGCATTTATGACGATGATATCGAGTAAATAAGGGATTTCATTTGGAAAGAAATTATAAGCTTAGAGTGAAAAGTAATTTGTTCCTGGCCCAGGTACATATGAATTAAAATCTTTTGCTGAGAAAGAATCAAAAGGACCAAAGTTTAAATAGATCTTAATTAAAATTAGGATTGGAAAATCTAAGAGAAGTCAAATGCAATTGTAATAAGGACCTTCTCCTTTAAATTATGATATATCATAATATAAACCACCTAGTAAATTTTCATGTTTTGGAAATGCAGAAAGAAAAACGATGCATGAAAAAAGTGAGAATACTCCTGGACCTGGATCTTATTATTTGGGAGTAAGTCTTTCAAAATTAGGAGCAATAATTGGAAAATCATAAAAAGAATAAATGGTAATTCATGATTCTTTACCAGTAATTATAAAATTAATAATTAGGGTCCAGGTAAATATAATTTAAATGATACACTTTCAAGAGGACCAAGTTATCATATTGCAGGAAAACATGAGAAACAATAAGAACAATCTGTTATAGGTCCAGGTAGATATCAAATCAATAGAGATANAGTACATGGAACATAAAACACCAACCCTGGGTAATGACAATTGAAATTAATGTTAGACCTAATCATTACAATTTGACATCTCCATAATAAGGAGGATTCAAATTTCCAAAATCAGTTCGAAAATAACTTTATGAACCTAGTCCAATTCCTGAGCCAGGTGCATATGATCCTAATATATCGGTATATAATTATTAGATTAGATTATTTAACCGAATCCTCCAAACATTAAATTTAGCAAAGCTTAAGAATAAGAGAAACAGCCACTTGATATTGGACCTGGCACTTATAATTGGAATGATTAGAGAAAATCTCCCGCTTTTACTTTCTAGAATAAATTTGAAAATTAAGGAACTGATGTTTTGAATACTCCAGGACCTGGTCATTATGATGTCAAAGAAAGCCATTCACTTCAACCCACTAATAAAGGCTTTACAACAAGTAACCGTATAAATATGTTACTTTCTAATGCACCAGGGCCTGGTTCTTATAATTTGGAAAATCTAAAAGCACAAAACAGTATAAAGTAAACATTTTAATTAAGTAGATTTCCAAAGTAATAGAGGATTATGGAAAAAATTGATTAAACTCCAGGTCCTGGAGCATTTATGACGATGATATCGAGTAAATAAGGGATTTCATTTGGAAAGAAATTATAAGCTTAGAGTGAAAAGTAATTTGTTCCTGGCCCAGGTACATATGAATTAAAATCTTTTGCTGAGAAAGAATCAAAAGGACCAAAGTTTAAATAGATCTTAATTAAAATTAGGATTGGAAAATCTAAGAGAAGTCAAATGCAATTGTAATAAGGACCTTCTCCTTTAAATTATGATATATCATAATATAAACCACCTAGTAAATTTTCATGTTTTGGAAATGCAGAAAGAAAAACGATGCATGAAAAAAGTGAGAATACTCCTGGACCTGGATCTTATTATTTGGGAGTAAGTCTTTCAAAATTAGGAGCAATAATTGGAAAATCATAAAAAGAATAAATGGTAATTCATGATTCTTTACCAGTAATTATAAAATTAATAATTAGGGTCCAGGTAAATATAATTTAAATGATACACTTTCAAGAGGACCAAGTTATCATATTGCAGGAAAACATGAGAAACAATAAGAACAATCTGTTATAGGTCCAGGTAGATATCAAATCAATAGAGATATTACAGATGGACCAAAATTTAAATTTTCTACTAAGGAAAAGACAGATTCAAAAGAGTAATCTTAATAAAAATTCTATGAAATCCAAGCTAGTTTGGGATTCATTCCAAAATATTTATTATAAAATTGAAATTTGTTTTAATACTAATTATAAAACGGATTATTAATAAAATAAATGAGAATTGCTATATTGGCTCTTGTAGTTATTTGTGCATTATGCGGTCATAATATGAGACATAAAAAGAGGTATATGTTTTAATTAATTAGAAAAGTACTGTAGGAGAAGTACATGACTTAAGTAATGATGTTGGAGTAATAGACAAATCTGAAGTGTAAGTAACACCACCTCTTACAAAATAATAATATTAAATAAATAAGGCTGCTAAATAAACTACACATGCTATTGAATAAGCATTAAAACATTCTACAACAACAAATTTACTTGAAGTTTAATAATCATTTAATGATGATGTGATTGATAATATTCCTTTTGTTGAAGACACTATTGATTAAATGGTAAGTACTAAATAAGAAGATGTATATTCAAATGATGGCAATTCACCAGATATGGGTACAAGTGCTGAAAATTTTGAAGGCTCTGAAGCTCCTATGACATCAGAAGATAATTAAACAACTCCTTAAGATGAATATTATGCCAAAGAAACTATTATTACTAATGAAGATGTCTCTTTAATTTAATTAACTGAGATTGATGCACTTGCAGATCTTGATACAAGCATGCCATTATTTGATGAAGATTTCAAATTTGATGAGTAAGCTTTATAAGAAACCCCATTAAATCTTGGAGTTGATGATATCCCCCAAGTTTAAGCGGAATCAAATTCATAAGAAGAAATATCATCTGATTTAGAACGATAAACTAATGAAATGGTTGAAGCTTTGATGAATGATTAGGATATTTTAATAAATGAAGTTTAACTCATTCAAGTTGCAGATAGAGGATTCTATTGATGAATATATATTCAATAAAATAAATATCATTTTCTTTTTCTTTATTAATTTTCACATTCAAATAATTAATATTCATATCTATTTTTATAAGTTATAATTATTAGAATTAACCAACGAATATTAACAAATAAAGCTATTATCATTTATTTAATAATTTTAATGTTTTCTATTTGTTTCAAAGATCAAAAGATTTTGCAAGGTATTTATTATGTCTACTCATTTTTAATAGAGTAAAAGAAGATTAATACTTAATTTCTGATATTTTATATTGTTTCTTTAAAATAAGGATGTTATGGAATCATTAGAATATATATTAAGATAATATTTAGACTTATCAATTATTATTCTAGATTGATTTGCATCACACATTTTTATTAATTTAGAAATATGTTTAATTTCTTTGTTACAATATTTTTTTTAATATTTTCTTTATTTAAAAATTCTTAAAATATTATAAACTTTTAGAAATATTAATATGATTCATTCAGATGAAAGTAGCAGTGATCACTTCTCTCTTAACTCTTAGTATGAACTTTGACTATTTTAGACACCAAAACAATCTTAATTTAAGTTTGAAGGATAATGGAAAGAAATATGCAGTAATTGATCATTAGATCAGGGTTTAATTACTTAAACGCATTCTTTCTAAGGAAGCAACAATTAAAGAGGCAGCAAAAGAATTCGGAGTCAATTTCAGTACAGCAAAGGCAATTTTGTAAACATACAGGAAGGAAGGAAGAATTGGAAAAAAGAAAACTAGAGAAAGAAATAAAAAAAAGAAAGATGATTCAGATTATCATTTCACTAATACAAGGAAAGTTTAATCAATGTATGATTTAGAGAGGGAAGCTCCTTAACATAGAAGAACATTCTCACCTGATTTAAGGGTTTTTTTATTCGACATATTTCTTTTAGCCTGCAGATAGGACTATAAATTAGCATCCATTAATTCTATAATAACAATTGAACTTCTTAAACTCTTAAAGCTAAATAGGTTCCACTCCTAATTTAGATGAACCAAATGCTTAGATGGCTTTAGCAATCTGTTAAAGGGAGTTGGCCTAATAAAAAATGATTAATGTGCAATTATTATTAATGCTTTAAGTATAAATAAATAGAAATAAAATAGACTTATCAAAGTTCACATTAATAACTATCGGTAGAATAAGTCAAAATTGAATAAGATAAACAAAATTGAATTATATAAAAAAAATAGAATTAGAGAAACAAAATTGAAACTTAATTTTGTATTTATTAGCAAACCAATCATTTCTCACATATTAGAAATTTTCATATATCTATTCAAATGATTGTATTTACTTTCTTCTCAAAATAGTTAATTTAATTTAACAACTATAAATTTAATAAATGGAATTATCTGAAAATTCATAATCAATTTCAGGATGGTTTTAAGATTCTGAATAAAAGCCAATTCAATTAATATCAAAACCTACAAGCCGTACATATAATGTCTAATTTTTATAGAATAAGATATAAATAGATAGAAATTCTCAAAAAGAAGTGTAAGTATGTGTTAACATCTATAGGATGAGGAACAATATAAATCAAGTAATTTTATATAAGCTATTATTGATTTATTGCTTTAAGGTAGGACTTCAAGTTAAATGCTACTGCCAAATTAGATTATGAATAATAACAATAAAATATAAGAATTAAAGAGAATTATGGAATTCCTGCAAGTTAATGAAGAGTCAAAATATGATACATATCATCAATATAAGCAATAGACTGATATAAGGGAAATAAGTAAGGAATGTATTTAAAAACAGAAAGTTTAATTCAAGATTAAATTAAAGTAAAGTATTTATTTAATTGAGTTGTTTTAATAAATAAATATTGTAACCATTATAAGAGATTAATAAAACAAATCCATCAACTGATAGGTAATAAAGTTGTCAGACTAATACACTTAAATACAGAAGAACTCATATAAAAACTGATCATAATTAAGATTTAGGAAAATCTTCTTCAATTCACAGAATTTTAAATATTAAGGAAGCCAGACCTAGAATGATCAAATAGTTAAATGAGTAATAGAATAAATAAAAAGAATTTGAATTACTTTAATTAATGATTAAGAAACACAGAGAGAATGTTTAATAATATTTACCAAAAAAAAATAAATATTTAAGATGATAAAATTATTTCATTTTCTATTTAGTAGAGCACCTAAAATAAGTGATATTGTAGCTGCTATGAAAAGTTCCCATAATGGAATTCCAGTTTTATCTCTTAAAGCAGCAGCAATATTTTCTTCCGGTTAATCATTTTAATCTTTTTTTTTTTCTAGATCATAGATAAATGAGTTTCTATCTATTTCATTCTGTAATTCATTAATATCAAATTTATATTGTTCCTAGAATAGAAAGGGTTATAAAATACAATCAATTTAGCTTATTCTTTATGTTTTTATATCAAAGAATCTAATTTAGACTTCATGTTTTTTTCTTCATCAGTGTATTTGATATTACTATCTTGATTAGTCTATTGTTAATTAAAACCAGAATCAGAACTTTATAGATATCGAGATTAACCAATTAATTATTATTTATTATTGGATGGTGGCTATGTTTTTTAAGATTGTTATGATAAAGAAAGGTCTATTCTTTTAAGACTGACAGTTAATTTTTGTTCTTTAAGTAAGATGGCCCATCTAGATTCATCATTAGGAGCAGCATCATACTTCTATTTTTCAACAATTTAAATAAGAAACTTATCTTTGAGACGATGTTGAAGTTATGATTAATCTGATTTCATTTGAATATCAATTTTACAGGAAGAAGTAGTAGTAATAGGTCTTTCTTTTTCATAAGGAATAACATAATATTTAGGAGCAGTAGTTTTGATACGCAGCATAACATCTTGAGGCGCTTTATTGAAAATTTCAATTCTGGCATATATCTCCTTTTAATTAGGTAAAAACTCAAAAAGTAATGCATCTGGTGGTTTGATTTCAACAGCACTACTGAATATATGATTAAATTAACGTGGATTAATCAAATTTGCTTTCTGATTTATACTTTGAATCCATACAATTTGTTTAATATTTATATAATAATGTTAATATTTTTTATACAAATAATCTCTGCAACATATTTGTCTATCATTTCAGAAGATAGTAAACTGGCATCCATTTAAATAATATAGCCAAAGTCAGGAAATACAAAACGCTTAGTCTATAGATTGGGAACCGAAGATGAGTAAATTAATTATAATAAAAAAGTTAGTGCATTATAAGTGTTAATGGTGAACCATTATTTACATATAAAATACAGGATCATGAATTTGAAATCCTAACAGGATTCTCAACATCAGATGGAGTTAAGATAGTTGATCCAGAAAATAAGTTTTATTTTAGAGATCTTTAATAGCCAATGCTATTCGTTTTAGATGATTTTGAAATTCCATTAGATGGTTGGAGTGATACTAGAGTTTCTCAATGTTAAACTATATAGAACTATTTTTTAGGAGGTCCATGCTACTTTTCTAATAATACTGTATCTAAAACATTTGTAGGATTACCATCTCATGAATACATTACAATTTCATTTAATTTTCACTTTATAGATCAATGGTAAGGAGAAATAGCATAATTGAGAGTTGACAAATTGATTGTATGGTAAGATACATATAATTGGTGTGATAAAGTGATGCCTTGGTTATGTTACAAGTAAGGAATTAATAGTTGTGGAGGAGATGCTCCAGATTAAATAGGATAAGCTATAAGGCTTACGTTGTATCATATTAACTCTTTTGTAAACTTAGAGTTTTCAACTACTTTAGGTAAGAAGGATGCCTGCTAAGCATCTTGGGGAATTGATAATGTTGCTATTTATGTATATTGATATAAATCATTTTTTCTATTATTAAACATAATAGTGATAGTTCATTCTATTATAGAGAATAGTTTTTCTTAATTCTAGTCCTCTTTTTTGTTCTTCTTTCAATGAAATGAGAGTATTGAGATGATTCCATCTGTCTTTCCAGTTTCTTTCTTTAATTTATTTTCTATAATATTGATATAAAAAATAAACCTAAACATGAATGCCCATCTAATTGATTCAATTTCTCTTTATCTTCTATATCTAACATAGAAGATCATTCCCATAAGAACAGTTACACATTACAATGTATATGTGAATGGTTCACATACATTCCAACCCCATTCATCAACCATATATATTCCATAATAAAATGCTCCAATTTACAATACAGATAAGACAAACAATAAAGTTAGCCATCTATAACCAGTCTTTTCTGCTTCTCCTATCATTACATCTAATTATTCTCTTTATTTGCAGATTTCAGCTTCTAAAATGTTAATTAAATGTTGTAATTCATATAACTTATCTTTAGTTGGTTATTTAAGTATAGACAATCCTTGTTCCATTACTTTAATAATTTCTTTTTCTGTTAGATTTTACTAGATATTGCAAGAATTTAAAAACCAAGACAATGTATTAGCATGACTTGGATCTAATCCCTAATTTACCATTTGAATATATCTGTTTTATGGTGAATATTTCAACTATGTCTATTAATTCAACATCTTAGCTTCATTCAATTAATATGCTGGACTAATTGTAAACTCTTCATCCTATATCTATAACTTAATTGCTTTGTTTTTTTTATCTTTCAATATATAGTTAAAAAGGTTGCTACTCAAACTCAAATCTGTCCCATCTAAGTTAAAATCCACCTTGGTTGACTCTTCCAATTACAATTACTCCATCAAAGTCAAAAATGAATATTATTGATGAGCGAAAAACATCTTAGGTCCCATAATGAATGGAAATGTCAACACCAGCAAATCATCTTTATATGTTATCTATACATCTAAATAGCATTTTCCATTTCATTACTTCTCTTAGATACTATATGCCAATATTATGATCTATGATTAAATCCTTTCATCATTTTAGCAAACCTTATCATTTTATCTTATTTTTATATAAATCATCTATTCATTAACTATTTAACTACTGTATCCATTGATGGCCTCTTTGTCTCATCCTTGTTTCTCAATTCATTAACCAATTGTTAAATATTCTTTGGCACATTTCTTCCGGGTAACTATTCATTTTTCATAGCCTTCTGAACTATTTCTTACATCTCTAAACAATCCCATGGAATCTCTCTTGCAAAGATCTCCCATAACAAAGTACCATATGCAAATAAATCTACACTCTTATCATAAGCCTACAATATATATTTATTATCTAAACCCTTTTAGCAAATAGTTCAGGAGCCATATAGGTTGGTGTACCACTGAATTACTAATACCCTTAATTTAATTCAGACTATTATATAATACTATTTTTTATACACTTCTCTTTGTTAAACCAAAATCACATAATTTTATTGACTATCCTTACAAAAGTACATTATGTGATTTTATATCTCTATGTACAACTCCTGCTTAATGCATATATTGAAGCACTCTAGCTATCTGAATTGCTATCGAATATTTGAATTACTCATTTATTTAATGACTATACTATTTCTTATTTCAATACTTTGTTTTATGTAACAAATGATATAAACTTCCTCCTTGAACATATTCTGTCGCAATTACTAAATTTGGTGGTTTTGTACAACAGGCCATCAATAATACAATATTTGGGTGTCTTAATAATGATAGCATTTCAATTTCATTATTGATTTCATCCAATAATTGTTATGTAATATTGGGATTGAATATTTTTTTGATGGCAATCTAAAATTGATATTAAAACTTACCTCTGTACCTCTCAAATACCCTCTATGCACGATTGAAAATCCTCCTTATGAAATGATTTCATGAACTTCAAATTCATTTGAATCTATTTCTAAGACATGATTAGTATGTTGTAATTCGGATATTTATCTAACAGCTCGATTTTATGTTTTAGGTCTTTCAACAATCTATGGTCTTTCTTATTTTGCCTATTAATTTGATCCTGGACTAATTTAAAACACCTTTTGTAATATTTAATTCAATTATGGTTGATGGAAATGACCTTATAATGATTAGTATTTAGGTAATAATGGATTATTGCTTAGATTCAAACTTTATAAATTAGACATGCTTAATAATTCTTCTGGCACTTCTTCTATGCAATTATTGCTTAAATCAATCTCTTCCAAATTAGTTAAACCTGCAATTTTTGATTCGATTGATGTGATCTTGTTAAAACTTAGATCCAAATGAGTCAATTTCAATTAATAGATTTCAGGAGGTATACTGATCATAGATTTACCAGAAAGATTCAACCGAGGCTCTCCTGATCGTTTTATTCTTCGTATAATCAATTAAATATCCTCCATAATTTTATAATAATATTCAAAAAATTTCCTTTATTGAGTTAGTCATAAACTTGAAGTCATTGTTGAAATCAGATTACATTAGTAATCTACTCATTTTATTCCAATAATCAGAATGCCCATCAACAATTTAAGTAAAATCACAATTTATGACTTACTTATATCCTAAATAAATTGGCTCTAATCCTATATAGATTAAAATTTTGATAAATACCACAAGGAGAATCGAAGACTTTTGCCACTGTTAATAAAATATTTAATATCTAATCTTTTTTTGAATAAATATTATAAATTCTTCCTGCTACTGCATTCCATCTTCTTTTCTATAATTTATGAATGTCAGCAACCCCTCCCATAATTAATATTTCATTAATAAATTATTTTTAGTTTTTTTCAAATAGTCTATCTAATTCTTTTATGCATTCCAATACTATAACACTTCCTAATGAATGACATATGATATTAATTTATCTATTTCCAAATAACTAATGACCTGCAATTAAATATGCTAAGTACTTTCCTACCCTTTCAGCTTCTTTGTGAGCTTTTTCATATGGATTTGATGATATGAATCCTACTGCATTCAAAGCAACTCCAACTATATTTAATTTACCCAAAAGTTATGGTATCAAATTCTAAACCATTGAAAAAAAATCTTTAGCTTCACTACAATTCCAATGCAACCCTAATACTGTGCCTTAACAGGAATGCAATAAACTACCCCATTAATCTAATTTATTATCATCTCCACTTAAAAATCCTGAAATGCATAAAGTTATAACATTTGAATTATTGTCGTTATCTGAAAGTACTTAAAAGTATATTTATGTTGGTGGTTACACAGTTTCAAGAATAATATTAGCATTCATTTTCTTCTTCTAATTTTCGATTAATTTTAACTTTATTCCATCAAATTTTTTCTAAAATAAAGCAAATTAATTATCCTTTATTTATTTTTAGCTACTTCCATAATTTGGATTTATAATATTGAAAAAAAGTTCATTTTTTTAGTAAAATTCCAAATTAATCTAGGCTTAATTTTAACCTTAACCAAAAAGCATAAAAGAAACTTATGTACCAACTAAATCAATTTCAAACGGCTTTTCCATAGATTCATTTTATTAAACTTATTTTAATCTGTTATTAATTTACCTTAAAATTTAGAATTAAATATTATGGGTGACTTTCTCACATAATTTTATCAAAAGAAAATTAAAATATTAAAATTTTCCATTATTAAGTTTTCTAAGTATTTAAATCAAAGCATTTCTTTTAGCAGGCTCATAATCTTCAAAGATTAATCTGCCATTTTAAAATCTTATTCCTGCTAAAATTAAATAGATTTGACATATAACTAATAAATTTGTATCTTCATTTTATTCATTCCACCATTGTTAGGCTTTTTCGCATCTCTACTTATTATGTAATTAAAAATTCATGAGAACATTGACTGAAAATTATTCATTAGAAAATATTTAGCTTGCAGATTAACTAATATTAACATTATATTAGGATAGGAGCTACAATAATATTACAGCTTAATCAGCTTCAACACTAGATTATATCCAATCAATGGAGAATATTAAGTATTATAAATTAGTATTGATTTCTGGATTTGTAATACCTTCGATAAATTTTTTATTATGAAAATATTGTAAAAAGTAAAATTGTATTAGCATGATATAATTATTATAGGTTACTTTATTATTGAAGTTTACATAATTAACAAAACTTTCTTAAATTTTTGGTACAAAATTTTTTTGTAGTTTTTAACGATATTTATAACTAAATTATTCATAATTATATACATGATTGCATTTGATAGTTTAAATCCATAGTTTTTCTAAACATAATCTTAAAAGCAAGCTGTATGAATTTAGTATTAGTTTTCTATTAAAACTTTGGCATCTAGAATTTAAATATTTTTTTAATGAATATTATTACATAGGATTTGAACTTAGAGATCTGTATCATGTTATTCTTTAAAATATTACTTTAATTTTGATTTTAATTTCATATAAGTATCTTTATGTATAGATTTAGCTTTTTTAGTTACTTTTTTATACACAAAACTTTCTATTTCAGCAAAAGATAAGACAAATTCATCAAAAATCATTTGCTTAATAAATTCCCCTTTGAAATATTCAAGAAGTATAAATGAAACTTCATCTAATGCTTGATTAAGCCATATGGCTTTATCAGAAACTCCAGATTATTCATAAAATTTTCCAGATGTATCATTTATAATAGCTTATAAATCAATTTAGCAGTATTTAGCAGATTAATTAAAAAAGTATTTTCCAATCAATTCTGAATTGAATTTTCTATTAAAATTATATTTATCTAAAAATGAATTTACTATTTTGTAATGTTGTGCTCTAAGATAGTCAATTAAATAAAAACATTTACTTTAGAATATGAGATTTTCTTTTATTATTTTCCTATTGAAGATCTCCTTAATAAATAGATGAATAAATAGTTGGATCATCAATTTAAAAATTTTTCGCATTTTAAACATCCATATATTCAGGATAAAACTTATTTACCATTGCTTGGAAAGTATTGAAAGCCCCAAAAAATGTATTAAAATAAGTAGTTAGATTTTTAGGAATGACTTTTTATGCTGTGTCAATATATTATTGCATATTTAAAAATTAATGTAATTATTGCTATTAAATTAATCAATGTTTTGCATTTTTTGCCATTATTTTTTAGAATTCGTCATAAAACACTAACACTAATGATGAACCAACAGATCTCCAGATATTTGAGAGATTTCCTTTAAAGAATCCAGTAGGTCCTTCTTTTGATAATATTTTAGCAAAACAATCAACAGTTCCCTAATTATAATAATATATAAATTACTGAATATTCAACATTACCCTTTTATCCAGCTTACATCATTAATCTTCTTCTAACAGTATCAAGTGGATAGGCAAGTGTTTCAGATGTTGATACTACAAATTAAGCAAAAAAGAATCTTGCTAATATAGATGAATTTCTTTAAGCAGCATCATCTCCCCAAATAGCCCTTTTACCAGCATCATAACCACTAAAAATAATAATAAATTTATAATTACCCAAAATATAAAGCTCTATAAACAAATATACCAACAACTGAAATACCAAATCCTTAATAGATTCCTGTAATTCCATCAGTTTTAATAATTTATCCCATACAATCTACTAATCCTTTAAACTATCTTTCATTAGCTGCTTTTCCAATATCAGCTGCTAATCTTGTTCTACTGAAATCAAGTGGATACACAATTAATAATCCAATACTTCCTGCAATACCACCACTTAACAATGAGCCAGCAAAGAATCTAATTATTTTTATTTAATATACCTGCCTGGTTATTTCTTTGCATCAACACCTGCTAAAAATTATCTATTAAGAGCATCTTTCACAGAAAAATTAATGGCTTATGTTGGAAAGTATCTAATAACATTTGCCCAGTTTCCTCTCCAAAAAGAAAGAGCACCTTCTTCTACAAATACTCTCTTGAAACAATCCAAAATTCCTAAAAAATTTCATAATATCTAATTACCTGCGTATGGTCTAGCAATTAATTTTGGATTTGTATGCTGTGTCTAAAGCAACAATTTTACTCTTTCTATAGGAGCTGCTATTGTTTTAGCTAAAGCTCCTGATACACCACCTGCTAAAAAGTCATATAAGAAATTTGATGATCCACCTGATGATGATGAATGTGCCATTTTTAATTAATTTATTGTATATAATTAAAAATAAAAAGATTTAAATTACAATAATTATAATATCAAAATTATTTAGATATCAACCTCTCTTTTGTATTTCAATTTTATCTATTTACTAAAATTTAAATTTATTATAGTTTTCCAAGAATAAATAGCATAAATATTTAAATCACTTAAGTATTTGTTATTTATATATGAAATTAATATTAAAAATCATTCATTATTGAATTTTTTACTTAAAAACTTTCTAAATCTCTCAATAACAACTATGTAATTGTAACTTGGGAAATACCATTAGTAAAATTGCATATTCTCAAAATCTCGAATAAATATTAACTAACCAACTGATCCAATTAAGTCAGAAAACTAATTTATAAAAGTATGATATTTTACAACAGGTTATGTATCAGATCTATGCCAATTAATACTGAAATCATTTCCATTTAGCTTAGTTTAAGTATTATGCATATTTGGACTGCCTAAGTTGCTTTACAATTATTGGACAATCTCTTTACTTTATAGGATACTTGTCGAATGAACTGGTTATTGTTAAGATTATAATGACGATTTCTTATCTTAACCTCTATCAATAGTAAAACTACTACTAATATTAGTTTATTTTTTAATTTATTCTTTAGTAAATAGCATTAAGGGTGTTTTATTAGGTTATTATAAAGGAGATGGAGAATTACTTACTACAATAGAATCATTGTTATTGCTATTTACATTACTTGGTTTTAATCTTGTAGTTCCATTTTCAGATGCTTTCAAAGTTCTTATAGTAAGTGTACGATTTATGTTCGAATCAGTATTAACACGATCCCTTTCTCTTCCAGTTATTCCAGTTTTATTTGTTTTTGGAGACTTAATACTTTATTGATGAGTATAAGTTTAAGTTAGATGTTTTGATGTATGATCTTCATCTGCAAATAATTAATATTCTTCATCTCTATCCTGTTTTCCTAAAAACTAATCTACCATATCTGTATTCTTTGAAATTAAATTAAATTATTAAGCCCAATTTACTGCTGTTATGCTTATTAGATTTTATTAAGTTAATGAAGAAACCCTCTTTTTCTCGAATCTATGGTATTTTTATCTAAAATTAGGAATTGTATATGTGCTATTAGATACAATTTTATTATAATTTGCTTAATAAAACACAGCAGGACACATGTAAGTTTCATGATTTTCCATACAAATATAACAAACCTAAGTTTAAACATTTATGAATACTTTGTACATACATTTTTGTTTTTAATTTACCATTCTATCATACCACATTCTGTATATCTGAAAATCTTAATTATGCATACAAACTAAATCATAAAACTATTAATAATCAATTACTATAATTTTGCATCTAGTTTTTGCAATTATATCACAAGGAGATTGTTAACATGCAAAAAATTCATATTAATTTACTATGCTGATTTTCTTCAGTTATTATACTCTTTTATTTTTTATTTTTATTGATAACTCTCCTTCCAATAAAAATATCAATTTATTCACATCCTAATTCTCTTATTAAATTATTTCACCTGTTTCAACTATCTATTCTTTCACAAATTCTGATAAACTTTATTAAAATTATGAACTAAATTGTTATTTAATGAATGTTGATTTTTGAATGATATCTAAGTAACTATGTAAATTTAAAGATCTTCTTAATTCACTAGGAAAATTTAATTCTAATTAACTAGGGTAAGAATCTGCTTATATATAATTCTAAACTTTTGACCATAATAATTATCTAACTTAATGTTGTATTCTAAAAGGTTGTTTACTCATTGTATTTTTACTCAGTAGCTATTCAAAAAGTTCCTCTTTTTTTTTTAAATCACTTGGTAGTTTTATAAAATTTAAGAATTACTATGAAAAGTACAATAGTACTAAAAAACTTAAAATTCTATTTACAGAATTATAAATTTAATAATGATTATCTTTTATTTCCAATTCAAAATTAAATAATAACTTAATTTATTCACTCAATAAATATTGATAATCGAAATCTTCTTCTAATAAATATTTCCAAAATAATGCACTATTATTTACATGCATTATTATTGTAAGTAATGAAAAAGAAAATCGTATAAATCTTTTTTCAGTCAATATATTAATTGTCTTTAATAACTAATAGACTTTAATCACATTTATAATGTTTGCAAACACAAAGTGAGTTTAGTACATAGCCAATATATTTATACCAAGTATTGGTAAATCAATAAAACTACAAGTGTTGTAATCTATAATTTTAAAAATTGTATATAAAAATACTATGATAAAGATATAGTTTTACCAAATACTAATAACAATTCAAATTTATTACAAAATATTGGTACCAAAATAGTATAAGATATTAGGATAATAATTAAACTTAGGTCTAAGAGGGTTCTCTCATAAGAATCTTTTAAAAATAATTTACAATTTAAAGGTTCCTTGTCTTCTGATTCTTCATTAATTGTATCAGTTGCTTTATCTTCTAAGAATTTTTAAAATTTCTTTGTAAGATTCTATTATTTTTAAGAAATTCTTAAATTAAAAAGCAACTTCTAAATAAATATTCTTGTGAGTCCTTATACATTGAATTTACGTAAAGAACTAGAGAATTTATTTGTTAAATTAAGAGGCTAATTAACAGATTAATCTAAAGGAGAATCAAATTTATCATTTTCTTTTAAGGAATCCTATTTATAAATTTCCTTATATGTTTATGATTTATATAAGCCACGATTAATCTCTAAAGGGTTCTTTTGCTTTCGTTTCTTAATTGATATTTCTGAGTCAACATAGATAGACTCACTTTTCTAGTCAATAATCTTTATTCCCATTTATGTTAAGTTAGCTTGTCTATAATGTTGTCCTCTAAGAGGACCTTAAGAACGATGAGTCATCATTATTAAATTTAATGAATAATTTATCAGATAACATTAAAAGCCTAAAATTTATGAAAAAAAATGAAGATGATGCCAAACCCATAAATACTTAACAGTGGCAATTAAATTTTACAATTCCATAAAATTAATACCAGCAATTAATGTAAAATCGAACAACTAATACCAAAGAAATTTTAGACATATAATAAAATTAATGTAGAGATAAATATGAAAATTCCTGATAAAAATCATATTCATGTTACAATCCGTTTAAATTATTATTATTTCATATATGAAGCAATATATTATTCGAGAATACCTTTCTTAGATGAACAAGATTATTGCATTATCCCTATCTAATTAATCATATTTTTATTTTTTTGTTTTTTTTTGGAAATATTTTCTTCTAATTTTAAGACCCAAAAATCTGCTTTATTTATTAACAATCAATTTTATTGAAGATTATAATTTTCAGGAAGTATATTTTTTGCAATACTTCAAGTCAAATATTTCCAATTTTTCCTAAGACTATCTGTTTGATTTTTACTCTTAATTTAAATTATATATACTTATTTTTGGGTACTTTATTAGTTAAAGCCTCAAAATATTAAGTTTCATTAAATTATGTACTACCTTTTATTCCTTGATAAATGTGAAGTCGTGGGGTAAAAATGAATCTTAATTATCTATTAAATATTCATTTTTATTATAGTATAATTTTTATTTTAATACATTATTTAACTCCATAATAAAAAAGTTTTAAATAAAAACAAATTTGTTTTTATGTTAGCAATCGCAATCACATTCATCTGAAGGAAATTAGTACTTTTAATTTGATTAAGAATTAAAAAGCTTTAATTTTGATGCCAAAATATACCTATTGAATTAATTATATTAAAAAATATATTAGATTCAGAAAAAAATATTTTGAAATTATATTAAATAATTAGATAAAATAATTATATATTAATAGAGTGAACATAAGATATTTTAAAAAAGATTTTCAATTTTTGATATTAAGAATCCAGTTTTATTTTTAATAAAAAATCTATTTAAGGCTAAAATATTTGCTTATAGTAGCATCCAATATAAATGACTGAGAGATTTGCTAAAATAAATGAATTACTCTAATATATTCTAAATATTAATTTAGTTGATATCATTATTTTACAATTTGAAAAAACAGTAATAAAATAAATATATGGATGTTTAAATTAATAATAATCAGATGGCTAAGAATTAGTGAGATATTAATTTCTAATACAAATTAAAAAACATAAGATGATAATCAATAACGTATTAAGTCATGCTTTTTTTAAAAGATTAGTTTAATTTCGTTTCGTAGTTCTGGATGTATAATTATTTGTATCAACAGAGAATGAAACTTTTTTTTATTTTTTATTTGTGTAAGTAGATTTAATAGTATGAATTCTTTTTATACCTTAAATATTTTAGCTAGTTTTTAAAATGCTTTTCACACTATGTTCTTTACTTGCACTACTTGATGCTTATTCACGAAAATGATCACTGAACTAAACTTCTTGAGAATCTGAATTGCGAGTATTATTTTATTGACTTTCAATGCTAGCCAAATAGCTTTTATCTTCTTCTTTCAAAGTTTAAATTGTTTTATTTTTATCTTTTGTTGGAGTTTTTTATTTGAAAGAATTAACCGTATAACTTATTTAAGAATTATATGTAACAGTATCAGTATCTTTTTTAGGTGCAAATTGTGAATATTATCTAGGTAGATAAGTTTTCGAAGGTATATTTTGCATATTTTAAAAATCTTAAGTATTTTAGAATGAGATAGATTGATTAAAATGTGCACTATTGAAATCTACAGAATCTTGTTTACAATCTTAAAACGACCTCTCTTATTCTTTTTCTTCTTATTATCTAGGTAATCATGTATAAACTACATCTATTTTATTCGATATCTTACTTCCTCTTCTATATCCTTCATAAATCTATTTACTCTTGTTTATACAGCAATTTCCATTACATGTCTTTATTAAATAAATAAAGGTAATTGTTAGCTGTTTTCAAGACTATTCTCATCAGCAATTAAATTATCTTCCAAATCAGTTCTACTCTTTTCATAAGTCCCTGTACCTTTATTAAGTTTAGATTTTGTTCTTTCAATTTTTTTGTTATCTTATTCTGATTCAATGTTTGACTAAATATATTTTGAAGATGTGCAGCTATTACAAGACCCCATTTATTATATGTAAAAATATTAAATTTAAAAATAAATACTGATAATGCAATTTAAATAAGTTAGATCTATATTATTGATTAAAATTATTTATTTAATTGATATTCAAGATTTATTAGATTTTTATACAATATTCTTCTATTTTTATCTACAAATTCAAGGTTTTCATTTTAATAAAGAAAATAATTAATTATTAATAATTAATAATTAATGTAAAATAAAATTATTGAAAGCGTTTTTATTTGTTTAATCTATGCATTTTGCTCTATGACATTTTCATTTTCAGCTAAATTTCTCTTTAAAATATTTGCCTTTCACAATACTACTATTGTAAGCAATAAAAATATTATAGATAGTTACTTTTATATGAGACGACTATTAATATTATCATCTGTACATTTTATAAAATAATAAAATACAATAAGGAAAAGAAGGAAAAGAAAGATTCTTAGGTATCAATCTTATAAATGATTGTCATTCAATTTAAAGAAAGAATCAAATAAAATAAATTAACTATTCCATTTTCCATATCCTATGGAACTGGAGCTTATTGTGGTATGACAGCTTTATCAAAGATTAGTATCCCACTGTAATTTAATATCAATATAATAGCTTTTTAGCTTTGAGAAGAACCCTTATATTTTTTGTTTTTATTGTTTAAATATTGATGGGAAAAAAGAACTAATAAATGAGTTTTAAATTTTTTATATCTGTTTTGTTTATTACTTCAGGAGCAATTATAGCAGGTATTAAATGTAATTATCTTTAGGATTGGAACACTTTAATGACGATGTTCAGGGATATTTATTACTATTAATTAATAATATGTTATCTGCTCTAAACCTACATTTGGCTTAAGGACTTAATTAATAATAATAATTTAGTCCATTAGACTTAGTTTATAATAATAGTATCAATTTATGGCCTGTTTTATTTATAATAAGCATATTAACTAAAGACATTAAATAATTTTTTGAATTTGAATTATTATATAGAACAGAATTTATGCTTAGTTTCACTTTAGTAGCATTATTTGGATTCTTTTTAAATTTAGCTACTTATAATTGTACTATGAAAAACTCTCCTTTTGCTATTGCTTTAACTCACAATATTAAAGTAAAAATTAATAATATTTTTAGGATATCTTTTCTACTGTATTGAGTATCTTAGTATTTGCAGACATTTAACCAGATACATTTTTAACTTTAGGAATTTCCTTGTCTTTTTTTGGTTCTTTTATTTATTCATTAACTAAGTTGTAAGAAATAAAAAAGAAATAATAACAAGCAATAGAATTAACAAATTAAGAGATTAAAGTTTTAATTAAATAATGAGAGTAGTATATAATTAGTGATTTCATGTAAAATCATTTCTATATTATTTAAATTCCTTTTCTATTTTAAATAGATATAATTTGATTTTCTTAATGTAAAATATTTTCACCTAATATTAAAATGAATTAAATACCTCTAATAAACACTGAATCCACTGATCCTAAAAATAGTCTATTTTTAAAAATGTGTTTATCAGTTGAAAAAGTAAAGATGTGATTGATTTTTTCGAAATTCAATTTCCATGCCTTTAATGGATCAAATACAACTAAATCGGCTACTTTTCCAACTTCTATACAACCTCTATCTTTGAGATTTAAATATTATGCTGGTCCAGTAGATACAAGTTGTTATAATTAGATAAGTTTTAATACCATTCTTTTATATTTAGAATTATTTTTATCTTAATTATAAAAAACCTATTTAATAATGTTTGGATCTTGATTTTTTTTACAAAATAACAAAGTCCATAAGGCTTAAAAAGTGCATCCTAAACTACACAATCCACTGACAGCTTTTCGAAAGTCTCCTTATTCTTCAAATTTATATAAACCATTAACATATAGATGTGAACTTGAAATACTACTAATCCAATTATTTTATGATATTGCTTTTTATAATAATTATTTATTATATTTTTATCGAATGGGAGGATCAGATTTAAATTTAGTAACCCCATCACTTATATCATCACTATCTAATAAAAGATAAGGATATCCAATATCACTAAATATTTAATTATTGAGAAGTTCTTTTATTTCTACTAAAGAAAAGGAAGAAGAAAATCCATTAAAAATAATGTTGCATTTAAATTATTATTTGATTACTTTTTTAACTTTTTAAATAGCAAATTTTTCCCAAGTAGCAGGTCTAAAGGCTAAAAAACATAGATAATCTTTATTGAACCTATTGTTATTATTTTAATTTTATCTAGGTCTCGATTCTGAAAAGTTTAATAGTAACATATCCCCAGATCCATGTTTACCATTTGATTTATCTTCAACTTAATGTAAGACTAAAGCAAATCCAGTTTTTGATTATCTTCTTTATAAAAGTCCTTAGGTTGTTTAAGCTCTTGATCTTAATCGACATTCAGATTTTAAGGACAAACTTTCTGGTGAAGATAAATCTGAAGATTGAATTGACATTTATGGACTATGTTTTTGATTTGAGTCTTATTAGTTAGAATCCTTTTTTGATCCTAGAGGTGATTCTTAATCTTATGTGGAAAGTTTAGTTTCTAACTTATATGATGGATATTGTTATTTTAATTACTATTACTATTGTTATTGTTGTTATTATGATTATATACTATCTGAATCATCATAAGGGAATTTATAATTTTATTCCATTTTAGGAGCCTCTTTATAAGTTATAAGTTCAGCTCTACTTATTAGAGAAATTTATGATTGTTCAGTAATCTATTTAGATTTTAATTTATAGATATTAGATTATAATTTTGGAGATTAAGGAGTATCATATTAATAATCGAATTCTTAGATTCTTTATTCATCTGAATTTTTATATTTTTTAACTAGATTCATTTATAATAGATATAATACCTATTTCTTTAATAGGAGAATTACTTTCATCAAGGTAATCCATTTATTACAAATATTTTGGATCATCATTTAATAAGTTTTCATCATCACTAATACATGATCCTGAAACTCCATCTGCATCAACTAAATCTAATTACGTAATATTTAATCTTTCAGGAAAGGATTTACTCCTAAATGGTGAAGTAATACCTAGATCTTTATCTACAGTAGTTTAAGTGTGTATAAATAGAGATGCATAGGATGGCAATAATTATAAAACTTATTGTAATTACTATAGATCTTTAAAATATGTTCCGGTATAGGATGGCAATAAATAAGAATCGAAACAAAATGCGCCTTGCTTCATTAATTAATCGATCTATGCAAATATAGGACTTGAGTGTGTACATCCTCTTTATGTATAATTTTGGCCATTTAAATAAAATCAGTTTATGATTTCAATGATAATTATTGGATTTGGATCTGGTAGGTTTCATTTGCATCCATATCTAAATTCAGTTAGTAAGGTTTGTTCACAATCAAAGATGTACCTCCAACAATTGCCAATCTTTTAGTGTAAAGTTCTTACTTAGTAAATTCTTCAATATGATTCCACATACTTAATGATACATTAGTATCTATAGCTGCTGCCATAAGCACTTGATTTTCATAGACATATTTAATAGGGTATTCATTTAATAATTCATTTGGTTCATGTAATATATATTTGATAAACTCACCTTCTATACATACATATCCACTTATTAATTGATCTTTGTAAAGTATGTATTTACTCTATATTGAGTACTTCATAAATTAAATAAAATATTATGATTATTACTGAAATCAATTCAAAAGAACCTATTATAGACATTGATTAACATCAATAATAATTTGAAGATAGAGAAAATAAAGTAAGCTAATCTATTAAGTAGAGTCCAAATGAATTTATTGTTATAGAAGTAGAAAAACAATAAGAATAATCAGAATTGTAAGAGATCTATGAAGAATAATTAGACAAATAATAATTAAAGTAAAAAGAAATGGAAAGATTAGAAAGAATCAAAAAGTACATACTTCAAGATCATTAGAATACCAATCACTTTGAAAAGATAGCTATCTACTATCAATGAATTATCAGACCAATCCATTAATAATAGTTGTTCTCCTTAAATTGATGTAGATCATCCTCATTATAAAAAAGTTAATAAAGATGTATCAATCAATTCAGCTAAGTAGTTTTTATTCCAAATACAAGAAGAAAATAAATAAACAGAACCGATTTAGTAAAAATAATAAAAAAAGAGGTTTAAAAAGAAAAAGAAGAAAAAGCAAATATCTCGTTAATTAACTCAATCATCTCTACCTATTCCTGAAATTAAATATTAATAAAATATGAATTTCAAATTTTATTTTAGAGATTAAAGAATAGATTGTAGTTGGAAATTATTGTTTACTTATATTACTATTATAATTTTAAGTAATATCGTACTTTAAACTATTGAAATAATAAGGTATTCTTAAAGTGTGTGTAAATTAGAAGGCATAGAAAATTTATTTATTTATGCTAATCAATTATTCTATATCTTAGGTAAAATTGGATTATTGAGTTTAAATTACTAAGAATTTACAAATACATTACCTACTAAATCAAAAATCCCTCTGTTTAATTTAGTAATC